GGTCATGGACAATTGATCGTTGGACATTTGGGTCAGTGACAGTTTGTCGGGGGCGTTTCGGGATAGAAGGGGGTCTACGTCTACTCAAAGGTCTATGTGCCCTACTGTCTGTACCTATGGAAGATGGTCCCGTACCTTGGTATATGTTACTGGGAGGTATGAAAGCCCGATCCTATTGAAATAGTATTTTGAAAATAGGGGGTGGTCAGTTCAGTGCAGAATTTTCAGTGTGGGACAATTGGTCATTGGACAATTGATCACTGGACAATTGGTCACTGGACAATTGATCAGTGGGACAATTGATCACTGGACATTTGGTCCATGGACAATTGGTCAGTGGACAATTGATCAGTGGGACAATTGATCACTGGACATTTAATCATTGGACAATTGATCACTGGACAATTGATCAGTGGGACAATTGATCATTTGGACATTTGGGTCATGGACAATTGATCGTTGGACATTTGGGTCATGGACAATTGATCGTTGGACATTTGGGTCAGTGACAGTTTGTCGGGGGCGTTTCGGGATAGAAGGGGGTCTACGTCTACTCAAAGGTCTATGTGCCCTACTGTCTGTACCTATGGAAGATGGTCCCGTACCTTGGTATATGTTACTGGGAGGTATGAAAGCCCGATCCTATTGAAATAGTATTTTGAAAATAGGGGGTGGTCAGTTCAGTGCAGAATTTTCAGTGTGGGACAATTGGTCATTGGACAATTGATCACTGGACAATTGGTCACTGGACAATTGATCAGTGGGACAATTGATCACTGGACATTTGGTCCATGGACAATTGGTCAGTGGACAATTGATCAGTGGGACAATTGATCACTGGACATTTAATCATTGGACAATTGATCACTGGACAATTGATCAGTGGGACAATTGATCATTTGGACATTTGGGTCATGGACAATTGATCGTTGGACATTTGGGTCATGGACAATTGATCGTTGGACATTTGGGTCAGTGACAGTTTGTCGGGGGCGTTTCGGGATAGAAGGGGGTCTACGTCTACTCAAAGGTCTATGTGCCCTACTGTCTGTACCTATGGAAGATGGTCCCGTACCTTGGTATATGTTACTGGGAGGTATGAAAGCCCGATCCTATTGAAATAGTATTTTGAAAATAGGGGGTGGTCAGTTCAGTGCAGAATTTTCAGTGTGGGACAATTGGTCATTGGACAATTGATCACTGGACAATTGGTCACTGGACAATTGATCAGTGGGACAATTGATCACTGGACATTTGGTCCATGGACAATTGGTCAGTGGACAATTGATCAGTGGGACAATTGATCACTGGACATTTAATCATTGGACAATTGATCACTGGACAATTGATCAGTGGGACAATTGATCATTTGGACATTTGGGTCATGGACAATTGATCGTTGGACATTTGGGTCATGGACAATTGATCGTTGGACATTTGGGTCAGTGACAGTTTGTCGGGGGCGTTTCGGGATAGAAGGGGGTCTACGTCTACTCAAAGGTCTATGTGCCCTACTGTCTGTACCTATGGAAGATGGTCCCGTACCTTGGTATATGTTACTGGGAGGTATGAAAGCCCGATCCTATTGAAATAGTATTTTGAAAATAGGGGGTGGTCAGTTCAGTGCAGAATTTTCAGTGTGGGACAATTGGTCATTGGACAATTGATCACTGGACAATTGGTCACTGGACAATTGATCAGTGGGACAATTGATCACTGGACATTTGGTCCATGGACAATTGGTCAGTGGACAATTGATCACTGGACATTTAATCATTGGACAATTGATCACTGGACAATTGATCAGTGGGACAATTGATCATTTGGACATTTGGGTCATGGACAATTGATCGTTGGACATTTGGGTCATGGACAATTGATCGTTGGACATTTGGGTCAGTGACAGTTTGTCGGGGGCGTTTCGGGATAGAAGGGGGTCTACGTCTACTCAAAGGTCTATGTGCCCTACTGTCTGTACCTATGGAAGATGGTCCCGTACCTTGGTATATGTTACTGGGAGGTATGAAAGCCCGATCCTATTGAAATAGTATTTTGAAAATAGGGGGTGGTCAGTTCAGTGCAGAATTTTCAGTGTGGGACAATTGGTCATTGGACAATTGATCACTGGACAATTGGTCACTGGACAATTGATCAGTGGGACAATTGATCACTGGACATTTGGTCCATGGACAATTGGTCAGTGGACAATTGATCAGTGGGACAATTGATCACTGGACATTTAATCATTGGACAATTGATCACTGGACAATTGATCAGTGGGACAATTGATCATTTGGACATTTGGGTCATGGACAATTGATCGTTGGACATTTGGGTCATGGACAATTGATCGTTGGACATTTGGGTCAGTGACAGTTTGTCGGGGGCGTTTCGGGATAGAAGGGGGTCTACGTCTACTCAAAGGTCTATGTGCCCTACTGTCTGTACCTATGGAAGATGGTCCCGTACCTTGGTATATGTTACTGGGAGGTATGAAAGCCCGATCCTATTGAAATAGTATTTTGAAAATAGGGGGTGGTCAGTTCAGTGCAGAATTTTCAGTGTGGGACAATTGGTCATTGGACAATTGATCACTGGACAATTGGTCACTGGACAATTGATCAGTGGGACAATTGATCACTGGACATTTGGTCCATGGACAATTGGTCAGTGGACAATTGATCAGTGGGACAATTGATCACTGGACATTTAATCATTGGACAATTGATCACTGGACAATTGATCAGTGGGACAATTGATCATTTGGACATTTGGGTCATGGACAATTGATCGTTGGACATTTGGGTCAGTGACAGTTTGTCGGGGGCGTTTCGGGATAGAAGGGGGTCTACGTCTACTCAAAGGTCTATGTGCCCTACTGTCTGTACCTATGGAAGATGGTCCCGTACCTTGGTATATGTTACTGGGAGGTATGAAAGCCCGATCCTATTGAAATAGTATTTTGAAAATAGGGGGTGGTCAGTTCAGTGCAGAATTTTCAGTGTGGGACAATTGGTCATTGGACAATTGATCACTGGACAATTGGTCACTGGACAATTGATCAGTGGGACAATTGATCACTGGACATTTGGTCCATGGACAATTGGTCAGTGGACAATTGATCAGTGGGACAATTGATCACTGGACATTTAATCATTGGACAATTGATCACTGGACAATTGATCAGTGGGACAATTGATCATTTGGACATTTGGGTCATGGACAATTGATCGTTGGACATTTGGGTCATGGACAATTGATCGTTGGACATTTGGGTCAGTGACAGTTTGTCGGGGGCGTTTCGGGATAGAAGGGGGTCTACGTCTACTCAAAGGTCTATGTGCCCTACTGTCTGTACCTATGGAAGATGGTCCCGTACCTTGGTATATGTTACTGGGAGGTATGAAAGCCCGATCCTATTGAAATAGTATTTTGAAAATAGGGGGTGGTCAGTTCAGTGCAGAATTTTCAGTGTGGGACAATTGGTCATTGGACAATTGATCACTGGACAATTGGTCACTGGACAATTGATCAGTGGGACAATTGATCACTGGACATTTGGTCCATGGACAATTGGTCAGTGGACAATTGATCAGTGGGACAATTGATCACTGGACATTTAATCATTGGACAATTGATCACTGGACAATTGATCAGTGGGACAATTGATCATTTGGACATTTGGGTCATGGACAATTGATCGTTGGACATTTGGGTCATGGACAATTGATCGTTGGACATTTGGGTCAGTGACAGTTTGTCGGGGGCGTTTCGGGATAGAAGGGGGTCTACGTCTACTCAAAGGTCTATGTGCCCTACTGTCTGTACCTATGGAAGATGGTCCCGTACCTTGGTATATGTTACTGGGAGGTATGAAAGCCCGATCCTATTGAAATAGTATTTTGAAAATAGGGGGTGGTCAGTTCTTTCTAAGCTCTTCAAATTTGGAACCCAAAACAATTTTTAACCACAAACAAAAAAATGAAAAAATATACGGCTGTACTTTAGCCGGTGGCCCACTCAGAAACGGGTCAAAATATATACCATTCGATTCGTCTCGGCGAGCTAAGTCGAATGGTACCATTCTTTTTTTGCGGAAATTCCTACGAGCCGAGATATAGGTACTTAAAAATCGAAAAACCATAGGGGGGACCAAGCACTTTTTTGGGGTGAAAAATTCGAATATGCAAATAATAGCTCATTCGAAAGAGCTCGTCGAGCTGAGTCGATTGACACCAAAATAAACGAAATCCGACTTGATTTGACAAAGTTATGAGCATTTGTTTTAGCTGCATACCTATGGCATCTGTGGAGATTTTTGCTGCTTCGGAGGCCCCAAATACGTCCAGAGCAAGGGAGATAGGAATAGGGTTATGTTACAAGCCCAGACCCAGCGCCCGTAGACTCCCCGCGAGGCGTGTGCCGCAAAACTCCGCGCGAAGCGCGGAGTTTTGCACAAGCGCCTCGCCGACGCCCCATAGGTTTAGGTTTTTTTGTTTTTTGTATCATAACTTTGTCTAATCTTGTTCAATCACGGTGATTTTGGTGTCATTCGACTCAGCTTGTCAAGCTCTTTCAAATGAGCTATAATATGGTTAAAAAATTTTTAATTCCAAAAATCACCCTTTTAGATTAACAGTTTTCAGAGGCCTATATCTCGGTCCAATCAAGTCGGATTTAGTTGATTTTGGTGTCAATCGACTCAGCTCGACGAGCTCTTTCGAATGAGCTATTATTTGCATATTCGAATTTTTCACCCCAAAAAAGTGCTTCGTCCTCCCTATGGTTTTTCGATTTTTAAGTACCTATATCTCGGCTCGTAGGAATTTCCGCAAAAAAAGAATGGTACCATTCGACTCAGCTCGCCGAGACGAATCGAATGGTATATATTTTGACCCGTTTCTGAGTGGGCCACCGGCTAAAGTATATCCAAATATACCCTTAATAAAGAAAAGGATGTTTTGCGAACTTCTTACAAAAAATCGCCCAACCCTTTTTTACAAGTGCAATAGATTTGTACTTTTCCATTTTTCACTTACACGTAAATTTTTTGTGTTTTGCTTAATTCTTGAAATCTTTGTAATTTTGGAAATGATTACTAATTGAAACAAAGAAAATTTGTCGTGAAAACGGAAAAGCACACAAAAAACATACTTATGTCATTAAAAAATTTTAGACCTTTAAATGCGGCTGTAGCATCTTTGCCGCATTTTTTAGCTTCTCTCATCTTTAACAATTCATCATCATCATATTTCAATCATTACCATTCGCTGTTGATGTTCAATGTCATCCACAACAGTTCCACCATACCCCGTGCAATTCACCTTCGCCATTATCGTCGTCATCGTCGTGGATGCAAAATATGGCTTAACATTATCATCGTTGTCATTGTGATCACTTCCAGACACATCTTCCTAACGTTAAAAAATATTTTTTTAATTTCGCGACTAAACAAACCCCTTCATGTTCATCCAAACTCATCTAAACCAGCTGACGACGACGACTCTGCTCAGTCAGATATTGTTCTTTCACGAGTACACTACTTCATCGTCATCAAATTTTGAGATAATTTGTGAAAACAGATAAATAAAGCATGTTCTTAATTCTTATTAGCAGCTTTCTCCTCTTTTTTCTTTTTGTTTCCACTCTTCTTTTTATCAGTTTCCATATCTTTATCCCATGATTCGAGACCTTAATTTGGAAATTTTTAAAGTTTTTAAGTCAAAATTTAACCTTTTGGTAAAGAAGTGTCTTCATCCATTCCACCAGTACCAGCTACAAATTCTTCATAAGTATGTTTTTCAGGGAATGGGCGTGGGCCTAACAGCCTAAAAAATATTTGAATTACAAGTTGAATTTTGAAAAAATTTTAAAGAAAATTACTCGATCATATCCTCGCGTGCGATCACTTCCTTTTCTAAGAGTCGGAGAGCAACCTAAAAAAATTTTAAAAATTCATCGTTTACTAATTTGGCTTAAACCTTTTCAATTAAATCAACTTTGGACATGAGCAAATCGCGAGTACGTCTCAATGCATTTCCAACCATATCGCGCACTTCTTGGTCAATAAGTTGAGCAGTTGCTTCGGAGTATGGCTTGTCAAAGGCCATCTCTCCAGGTTGAGACGTGTCAAAGGAAATTGGGTCAACCTTCTCGCTCATTCCGAATTTGACAATCTACAAAACTAAATTTAACTGCGTACGGAATGAAATTATTTTAATAAAGAAGTCAAAATTATTTGGAGAACGAACCTACGCATATGCGATTTGAGTGACTTTTTGCAAGTCATCTTGTGCACCAGTAGTTATTCTTCCAAAAAAGATTTCTTCGGATACGCGCCCTCCCAATGTCATGCAAATACGGTCTAGCAGTTGCTCTTTAGAATAAAGATATTGATCTTTTGGCATATATTGAGCATATCCAAGTCCTTTGCCACGCGGAATTATTGAGACTTTTAATAACGGATCAGCAAATTCCAAAAACCATCCAGCAACTGCATGTCCAGCTGTGAAAATTATTTTGAAAAATGCCCTCTGAATAGTTCACTAGAAAATACCTTCGTGGTAGGCGACTGTCTTTTTTTCATCAGGTTGCAGCACTTGACTTTTTTTTTCCATCCCAGCAACAACTCTCTCAATAGCCTTTTCAAAATCCTTTGCAGTCACTTCATCATGAGCATCACGAGCAGCGATTAATGCAGCCTTATTACAAACGTTTGCTACATCAGCTCCTAATCAGAATTAATTAGAAAATTTTTTTAAAAAATAAACCTGAGAATCCGGATGTATGAGCAACTACTTTTCTTGATAATTCCACTTTATCCAGACTAGTCTTTATCTGTTTTAAATGAACACGGAAGGTAGACGCTCTCCCCTTGATATCCGGGACAGAAATAAAAATTTGTCTATCAAAGCGTCCAGACCGCATAAGTGCTGGATCTAACACATCTGATCGATTTGTTGCTGCGATTACTACAACATTGGCTTTCTCATGTCAGTAGAGAAACCTAAAATTTCCGATTTTAATTCAAAAAAATAATCCAAATTATACCATCCATCTCTACGAGTAATTGATTGAGCGTATTTTCCTGTTCAGAATGTCCTCCAATAGAAGAGCGACCGCCTCGTTTTTTCCCAATAGCTCAATCTGACCAATAAAAAGAATGCAAGGTGATTTCTTTCTCGCCATTTCGAACATATCCCTCACACGTCCAGGGCCAACACCAACAAACATCTCAAGGAATTCTGAGCCAGAAACAGTAATGAAAGGTACATTTGCTTCACCTGCAGTTGCTTTGGGAAGCAGTTTTGCCAGTTCCTGGTGGACCAGTGAGGAGAGCACCCTAAATTAAAAATTTTCAATAAGAACTAATAAAAATTATCAAAAAATCTAACCTTTGGAATTTTCGCACCAAACGCTCGATATTGCTGAGGGTTCTTCAAAAAATTTTCAAATTCCATAATTTCAATTTTTGCTTCTTCGCAACCAGGCACGTCTTTAAATGTTGTTTTTATATCTTCTTTGTTAATAACTCTGACAGTTGATTGAGAGAAGCCAAAAAGATTTCCCATCGGTCCAGACATACCTCCTCGTCCCTTTTTGCCTTTAATTTGAAAAATAATTTAATTTTGTGAATTTCAAACCTGTCATTCCACTTCGAAAAAAACTGCGGAAAATAAGAGGAATCGCAATCATTATAACAAAATTCAAAACAGAAGGAATAACGTGTCCCTCGAATTTTTAGAAAATAAAATAAGATAAACTTTGAAAAACAAATCAAAGCAATTAACTTCAATTTTGTATAAAAACTGCAAAAAATAAAGGGTTAGGGGCGTCCCCACCCGTTTAAGGTAGCCCAAATTTCTTTAATTTCAAAATAATTATTAAGAATGGCTCAGAGAATAGCTTGTAATCATGGAGAACATGCGATTTTGTTCCTATTATTTAAAAATTCTCATCATTGCCATTATTTTGTTGTTGGCTATTTAAACTAGCAATTAATGTCAGTAATATATATGTACACCAGCAATTAATGCCAGTAATATATATGTACACCAGCAATTAATGTCAGTAATATATACGTACACCAGCAATTAATGCCAGTAATATATATGTACACCAGCAATTAATGCCAGTAATACATAATACACCAGCAATTAATGCCAGTAATACATGTACACCAGCAATTAATGTCAGTAATACATAAGTACACCAACAATTAATGCTGTAAGAAGTATGTACACCAGCAGTTAATGCCAGTAATACATATGTACACCAACAATAAATGCCAGTAATACATATGTACACCAGCAGTTAATGCCAGTAATACATACGAACAGAATTAATGACAGTAATACCTATGTACACCAGCAGTTAATACCAGTAATACATATACACCAGCAATTAATGTCAGTAATATATATGTACACCAGCAATTAATGTCAGTAATACATACTACACCAGCAATTAATGCCAGTAATACATACTACACCAGCAATTAATGCCAGTAATATCATACTACACCAGCAGTTAATGCCAGTAATACATAATACACCAGCAGTTAATGCAAGTTCAAACACGTTGGCAATCTAAAAAGATAAAGATAATATTCTTGAGAAAAAATATAATAAATATAGACTGAATTTAAAATCAAAATTAAAAAAATAATCTCTTGAAATATTTAAATTACATTTTATTTGAGAGGTATGTACACAAAAATAATTTGGTCTTTAAAAAATATAAGGTACTTGATGTGATTATTTTAAATTAGGGTTGGACACGACCGGTTTTAAAACCGTGATTTTTGATAAATTTTTGCCAGCGTACAACAGAGTTTGTAACATGTGGAGAATTGTCTGGCTTAGAATCAATCTCCCAACTCCAACCATAAATCTTTCCATTATCAGCAAGCGCAATAAGTTCAGATTGCATAGAGACGATTTTTACAAATTTTGTAACGTCATCGGGAAATTGGAATTTTGTTGAACCATCAGCAACATCAGTGCCCTTTAAGCCCCAGTAAGTATAGCGCTCACCGAGGAAGAAATGTTCCTGGATTGTCGAGGAACTATCCGCATTTTCCTTGTTTTGGTCTTTTGTTTTGTCTATTGAATTTAAATGTTAAAATAAAAAATTTTTCAAATTTAAACCTTCATCCTTGCGTCTAGCCAAATCACGCGAAATCAAGTATTCGTAGCCATCTCCAGAACGAAGCCCAGCATCGAGCAAAAAAGCAACGCTTCGTGTAGATAGGCCTCACTTGTGTCAACCAAATCATCCATTTCATCATCATCGCGAGAAAGTAAATTGTTGACTGCCTCGTTGACATTTAAATTAGTCCGTTGTAATTCACGAACAATCACATCACGAGATTTGCCTTGTAAAACAACCTAAAGATATTTTAACTAGGTAGCGAAGAAACGAAACCTGGCATTGCATGATTAAATCTTCTGGAACGGAAGAGGCAGGAATCATTGGTCGAGAACGATTTCTATCAATTACAACTCCAATGCGGCAAAATCCGCTAGAACGAGACCCTGGGCGTGTCATCATAATTCGCTACAAAAAAAATCAAAATTTGTGAAAAAAAAAAGCAAAGAAATAAACCAGAATTTTGGCAGTCCGATTTGCAACGTTTGCAGCAGCATTTGCAGAAGCTGACGCTGGATCAGAGGAACCAACAGTGCTGGTAGCTGGAGCTGTTGCTTAACCAGGGCCGGATTCATCTCAAACAAAAAATCTATTTAAAAGGTAAAAGATTAAAAAATACTTTTGTCTGTTGGGGCGGCAGATTCAATAGTGTTGGCAACAATCTCGTAACGAAGACGAGCGACTCGATGATCCTAGAAACGTATAAATAGAGGTGGGAGTACTGTGAACTATGTTGTTGGCTCTTGGAAAATCTTCGGAAATTCTTAACCGAACCAAATAGATACAAACTCGAACCGACCTTAAATTTTGGGGCATCCGTGACCGAACCAGAGAACTAACCCACACCCCTACTTTGAACTAAAACCTGGAGAAGGAAGTCAACATAATTATGCCCAGCAGTAACTTGCAAAACATCTTCAGCTGGAATTTTTCGAAGCACGGTACATCCAGGCGAAGTAGAGCAATAGCCTTTATTTCGTTTATCTGCGCATTCTTTAATCCTGAAAATTTCAAAATAACATGAGTAAATATAAAAATTAGAAACCTTTCAAGCAACAAATTCTCGTTCCCCAGAAGTGTATGTCCGAATAGGAAAAGTTGTTTGTCTTCAGTCATACAATAATCGCTTATTTTTCAATAAATTTAAAATAAATTTTCTAAAACAAAAAACAAGAAATATTAAGGCTTTGGGAGGAAATTTGTGGTTTATGGGCCCATTTTTCCTCCCAGGTTTTTTCCCTAATATGTCCATACTTGTCGGCTTTCTTCCTCAAATTTTTATTGACGAAGTTCATGAATATGCCATAGGGAAGTAGAGTTGAACTGAGGAGGGTCTGAACTCATTTTAAGTAAAGAACAATGAGGAGGAAATGGATGGCCTGTAAACGACAATGTTACCCTTTACACCCAAACAAAATAATAATAAATCGGTTTAAGAATCAGACCAGTGTCTAATAAATACGATGAAAAGTAAAAGCAAAAATATTAAAATTCGGCGCATAGCTTACGGCGTAAAATTTCATTATATTCGCGAATATTCGACAGAAAATTAAAAAACTTTAAGCTAATGCCAGAAAAATTGATGACAGTTTATTCGGTCTTTTGAAACGGAAAATTCGTTAACTCAAAGAACGAATTTCGTTCTTAACAAAAACCCTTGAACTCAGAATTCTTGGATCCGTAACAGGATTAAAAAAACAGGACCGAAACAGGATTGCCTTGAAGACTGTCCACGAATCTGCGATAGGGAAGTAAATAGAGTGGAAACAATAAGAAAGGAATCAAAAAAATAAAAAATAAGCAAAAGAAATGAAAGTACATATGTATGTATGTAACAAGTGAAAAATCGATACTCTGCGAGAATAAAAAATCAATAAAACTCTAACTGTCTTGTAGTTAACAATATGAAACTATATTTTCCGTATCCCCTCAAAATCTCTATTCCTTAAAATCTCTACTGGGCTAAAATGCCTTATAATCTCTACACAGCTAAAATGCATTAAAATCTCTACTCGGCTAAAAATTATTAAAATAACTATTCCTTAAAATCTCTATTCCTCATAATCTCTACACGGGTAAAACGCCTTAAAATCTCTACAGGCCAAAAATAGGATAAAATGTCTATTTTTTCATTCGGAAGACTTTTGAGTGCCAACGTTCAGTGCGGAAACGTTGTTCTGATTTCTGGCTTATCTTTTGATATTATTTTGCTTGTATTGTTTTTGCCGCTGCGGATGAACCCAGGCATGTCCAGCGGAACGACAGCAGCCGCTTCGATACGATCACCGCAAGAAAAATGAACACGACCGCAGCGAAGCAGTCGTGTATTATATCTTCGATATTTACGGCGGATACAAGAAGATATCCGCAGCCATTTTTAAATCAATTGTATCCATATCCGTATCCATTACCAAGTCTGGGTTTTCCAATGAAAAGTTCAAATTTTACACTTTTGTTGAGACTCTACCATCCATTTGCACGGTGTAGAGATTTTAATTATTTTTACCCCAGTAGAGATTTTAAGGAATAGTTATTTTAAGGAATAGAGATTTTAAGCATTTTTAGATTAGTAGAGATTTTAAGGAATAGCGATTTTAAGGAATAGAGATTTTATATGGGAGCCATATTTTCTCATCACACTTTCTCACTTCTTACTCTTTCCGGTTAGGGACGATTCGGCGCCCAGATTCCGCGCCGCTCAGTTCCGCGCACATATTTCAGCGCCAGTTATAGAAGGCACGTTTCCGCGCCAATTATTAAAAATATATATTTTACCAAACAAATTTGAAAATTTCCCTCCAAAATAGTGTTTGGCAAATGGATTTTTCTGGTTAATCTAGTGAAGTGATTTTTGATTTAAAATGGTAAAATGGTAGTACTTGTTTAAGGGCTTACGCCCAAACACAACAGCTTTCGGTAAGCGGTTCTTAGGATTTTTATACAAGTCTTTATTTTTAGAAATAGATGTTTTTTAAATATATAGCGTTTTGTTCATTTTATTGAAAAACCGATCATTGTTTAATGGGGTTGCGATGGCAGATTTCTACTCAGTTTAATACAAAGCCTGTCATAATAATATAATAATAAATTTTTATTTATCTAGTCCTTCATAATAGCTTAGTGCCTGCACAATATTTCTAAAATATGCATATTGGAAAATTATAATTATTTTATTTCGTACTGGTCAGATTTAGCTCCTTCAATAAACTCCTCAAGTGTTAATTGGGCATCACGATTTTTATCCATTGTCGAGAATATTTTATCCACCCGCTTTTCTGGTGTACTTTCCTGATATTAAGAAATTACACAAATTATCACAAAATATTATTTTAAATAAACCTCTTCCGGTAATTTAAGGCTGTTTCCCAACATTTTGTAAATACTGCCGACAATTAATTCTTAAATATATTCTAATAAAAATTTTAAAAAGCATCTTTACTAAAAACTTCGCCCTTTTTGAAATTTAATAACCTTACCCATTTCATTCCTTTTAATGAATCCATCCCTGTCAATATCGTAAAGCTTAAATGCCCAACCCAATTTTTCTTCTAATGTTCCACGACTGGTAATTGAAAGAGCACGAACAAATTCATGAAATTCAATTGCTCCATCCTTTTTAATGACAATTTAGAAATATGTAATTGACTTGACAAACCTTATTTTCATCAAAAACTTTAAATATAAATGAGGCAAAATCTGACGGATCTCCTTGTGGAAAAAATTGTTTATAAATTTTCTGAAACCCCTAAATTTAATATATATTATCAATATACAAATTTCAAAATCTGTTTAACATACTACTTCGGTAAGTAATCCATTTGGACAATCTCTTTTGAATCCTTTGTGCCATTGTTTTATTTCTTTTTCGGTAACTAAAATTATAAACTTATATTAAATATTTAATAGGCAATAGACAGTGCCTTGGTCCAAGTAAAGACTGAACTCTTACTCGGAACCCGAAGGTTTCGAAAAATGACTTTTTACTATTATTTAAAAAAGAAAGGAATAAAAAAATGAGAGCCGATAATTCGACAATACCGTTATTTTTAGTTTGTTCAATTTATTATTCATTTTCATTACAACTCACAATAAGTCTGGGTTGCCAGTGTTTTAATTTGTTCGGCACTCAATTTGCTGTGAGCTTTCCCCATGCGCATATCCAATTAGCAGCAAATTTTGCTATTTCTATTAGTATTTCTACTTATTGACAAAGAAAAAACTGTGACAAAGAAAAAATGCTTCTTTTGACCAATGAATAAATAATTAGAAAAAAATATGAGTGAGAAAGCTTTTCATTTTAAAAAAGTAAATAAAAGAAAGTTAGGATTTGTATATGGATCTTACTTTGTAGAAAAAGTTTACTTTGAAGCGAATGAACCTACACAATGTATAAAGTTATTTTGCGGCTTAAATTAAAGACTATCTATTTATGTATGGATTAATTTTGGCTGATATCAATGGAACACAAAAACAACCTGAAATCTTGCACGCATATAAAACACCGCTAGTTGCCATAGAGATAGGGTACATGCATTTATGAGATTTAAAACATATAATTATCCTTTATTTTCCTTTTATTATATAGAATTTTTTAAATATTTTTTAAAAACAATATATATACATACAAACCTTAACAAAAATAATAAAAACAATTGTCTGAACAAATTAATAATTTTTAATTGTGTGATCATTTAAGGGCAAATGAGTAAAATTAAAAAATAATTTAAACAATTTGGCCAAGTCCGAGAAAATTAAGACTAAAAGGTAATGGATTATTGTCAGTTAATAAAGAAAAGATTTGTTGTTCATCTGTTGGATTTGGCATCAGATACTTAAATTTATTTAGAGAAAAACCGTCCAGTACAGAATCAAGGTTTTGGTAGTATGACGATAGAGAGGATAAATCTATAAAAGCATAATTTATTTTTAATTATTTGAAATATCTCATTTATGACGCATTTTTAATTCAATAAAAAGCAGTTAACTATCACAGGGCAGTTTAGTTCAGTCCCGGCTCACTCAAGTCAGAACCCATCATTTTTTCATGTTTTTGTAACATTGGAAAGAGAATTAAAAACACTACAAGATATCAAAAAATCAAATATCCCAACTAACTGATAAAAAGTTATGATTTTTTATGAAAAAAGTTAAAAACTTTTTAAAAAAATGCTTTCTAGGCATATTATCGGTCATAGCTTTTTTATCAATCAGTTGAGAGTTTTGATTTTTTTAAATCTTGTATTATGCTTAATTCTCTATCTAATGGTATCAAGAACAATAAAAATTATCCAAACCTTCATAAGCTATAAGTGCCTAGACTGAACTGAGGTGTACCAGAACTACAATATAATTTTAAGTTAAATTCACCTGGCAATGTATTCGAATAGTTTGTTTCTTCGTTGAATTCTTCAGTATCATTTTTGTTCAAAGAAGAACAACATTTAAATATTGGATCACATAATGGTTTAACCCCAAAATAATTTGAATAAATTAAATGCCAAAACAACCGAGAATTTTGCCCAAGTGATGGATCATCAAATATATGACAACAATCCTTTAGATGTTATTAAACAATTTGCTGGAAAGTATATTTCAATTCTTACCAAAATTGAAATTCGATTCAACTGTCCACTTTCCAAAATTTCAAAATTTTCAGATTTATCGTCCAGATGAAATTCTTTTATTACTAATTTCTGTTGAAACTTTTGCTTAAAAATTAATGCTTTAATTTGTATTGATTTTTAATTAAAAACCTGAATAAATGTTTGTTCTTCAAAATCTTGCTGTTTTTCTTGTTTAGCTAATGATTCTGAAAATAAATTTAACGTAGAAGTTCAGTTAAGTTACGGCTGATTCAGTCACGACCCTATAACTCATGAAGTGATATTATATCAATCAGTCGAAAATTTTGATTTTTTGAAATCTTGTAAAGTATTGAATTCTCTTTCCAATGGTACCAGGAACAGTAAAAATTATGCATATCTTCATAAGCTATAGGTGCCGTGACTGTACTCAACCGAGACTGAAATGAGTTGAACCGTTAATTAAAAAATATCTTATACAAATTGCTCAGATAATGTAGGTAAGAATTTAAAATCATAAAATTCATAAATATGATATTAATCTTCATCGCAATTATTTTTTAGAAATGACTTGAAGTCAAGACTACTACCAACTGAACCAACAAAACACAACTTATTATAGAAAAATGATGCTTTTAGTAAGTCAACCAACCATTATATGATTGCTTAAAATCCTGCATCATTTCTTTTAAATTGTCATTGAACGCTAGAAAATCAATGTTTTGCTCAAAGTCGTGTAGAAGAACAAAATCATTATGTCGCTTTTTCGAACAGCAATGGATAATCCCGGAATCCAGTGGATGCGCTTCTGTATTGAAAATCCATCCACCAGCTGAAAATAAATAAATATAAAGTTAGAAATTCAATTTCTACGTGCTTTTAAATTTTAATATAATAAAGTAAACAAAGACAATCGCGCATTATTAATTTAGAGTGTAAACGAAATTGCGAATTCCGTGTGGCCACTAAGTTCGGGTTTCAAAAAACAAAATTTCTAGACAATATTTACTTTCTTTCGGCCCAAGACATAAAGCAATAAAAAGAAAAAGCTAATCAATCATATCAAATCAATCATGCTGTCATACGATCAATCATATATGCTCTTCCTCTCTAGTAAAAGTGCTCTTTCTTTACTCAATCATATTACCAATACATATGCATATATTTATGTGGCCTTTTAAGGAATGTTATAATAAAAAATTGAAAAGGTTATTTTTCTTAATGTCTATAATTATTCAATATTCTAGTCGTAAACAGACAGTCTAGACTGAAATAATTATTCTAACAATCGCCCACCAATGGAATTTACAAACTGAAAATATCCATATTTGAAGTTATTCTCCCAAAAGTTAAAAATAGTGACCAGTTAATTTTGAAATTAAAATGCCCAGTATCAATTCCTCTACAACTAACAACATAGAATATCAAACTTATAATCGTTCATTCTTTCCTTTTTCCCTCCTAAACAGAATTTGTTCAACAAGGATTTTATTATTTGCTCTTCCATCTTCATTATTTTTAGCTCTTTTAGTATTAATATCATTTACAACACAAATAAATATTGGAGATACACTAGTTTCTGTTGGATCTTCTCCATTAAGAATGACTAGAAATATTCAAGAAGATCCAAATAATGTTAGAGGATCAGAACGCCCGCTGCGTGTAATGACTTTCAATCTTTGGGTATCTGGAGCCAATGTAAAAGACGGACTTGAAAAGATAGCAAAACATATAAATAAAGTAAACCCGGACATAGTGGCGCTTCAAGTAAGATAGAGAGTTTATGATCGATGTATAAAAACATAATTTTTTAAAGGAAGTAAGGACTTTAGAAACAGCTGAAAAATTAATCGAACTTCTTGAACCAGCAAAATGGCAATATCGTCAACATCCATTAGTTTTATATCCAGACACTGCAATTCTAACAAAGCACCAATTTATCGATGATCAACAATATTTACATTTACAGTTTGTTGTTAAACAAAATATTTCTTCAGATTATTCCTTACAAAAACGACAAAATGAAGATGAAGAATCTAAAAATTCTAGTACAAATCCTAGTATAACAACATATGGTATGGGAGCATCTATTTGGTTAAAAGAAGATGATCCAGAAAAGAAGCATCTGATTAATTTTGTAAGTCTGCATTTAGATTGGCGAGCGTATGGTCCTTATGCGGCAAACAATAAAAAAGTGAATGAAACTACACAAATTATGGCTGGTGAACGTAACAATCAAGGATATGGTAAAAATATTTAAGAATTCTAGAGCATTTAAAAAATGCTCCAAATAAGAAAAATGAATTAAAAATTAAGGAAGAGCACAAAACATTGAACAACTTCTTGGCAATGAAATCTTTAAAAGATACATGAAAAATGCTGAAACACAACCACTTATTGTAGCAGGTGATTTCAATTCACCTTCGCATTTGGACTGGGTCGAGGAGACAAAGTGAGAAAATAATATAATATATAGAGATTAGGAAATAAATCAAACGGAAATCAGACATATCGGGACGTGCATATCGGAATACTTCAATGTACGAACAATTACTATACTGATTTTGGGACCTACGGCCACCGAGATTTGGGTAGTACAGTGCCCTAGGGTTTTTATTTTAAAGAACCAACGTAAACAAGCAAGAGGTTATGTCATTTTTATCATTGAAAATTCGATATCTCCTTCCTACCAATCAAGCAGATAGAGATTAAGGAATGTTTTTAAAAAATTTAATCTTATAATTAATAAACAAATATGTATTAATCCTTAAAAAGAGATATTCATGGTGGTTGGACCTTTGAATGGCCAGCAACAAAATTAATTATGGATGCTGGATTAAACGATTCATTTCGTGCTCTCTATCCAGACCCAATTAAAGAACCAGGTAATTCAATCAATTAAAAAATATTTTTTTTAATAAAAAAAGGAATAACTTGGTCAACAGTACAAAAAACTAGTGGACCAGATTGGGATTGGACTATTCCAGAACCACAAGATCGAATAGATTTTATTTTTTATAAACCTAATGAGCATTTTTGGCCTACAAATTCACAAATATATTCTGGTAAAGAAATATTAAAACCGATGCCTGAGCATTACAATAATGATTGGCCATCTGATCACTTTGCAGTTATTAGTGAATTTGTAATAAATTTTAAAGTTGAAAAGAAGAAAGATAAGACAAAGGAAGAAGGTGAAGAAATGGAAGAAAAAACTAATTATTATTATGAAAAAAATAATGAAAACAATTCAGATAGCGCTTTAACTTTAATTAATAGCCCAGAAATGACAAATTTTTCTTAATTTTACCCGCCCTTTATTAAACATTTCAACTGACCGGCCCTACGTCCTTTATGTTAATTAAATTTCAAAAAAATTTTTTATAAAAATATAACCTTCAATTATGCATTGTCCATCAGTTGTTTCCAAAAGTTTTGCATTTGTACCATCATTGTGAATAAAATTATTTTCATCAAAAATTAAATAAAGATATTTGATTGTCTCTGATAGAAAAAATGATTCCATCCTTTAAATTAATTAAAAAATATTTTTAAAATTAAATATAAAACCTGTCTTCCAATGTCCATTTTTGAACGTCACGAACAGAAGCATATCTTTTAAATTTTAAATAAAAATATTTAATGTGTAAATACCTACCCACATTTAGTTTTAGTAAATTGTTCAATTGTCTAAAAATATTTTACTCAAATTAAAAACTTTTAAAAATAAAAACAACAAACATCTACAATTCCAGCAGCAACATGTAAATATGCAGAATCTTCAGTTGCTTTATAAAGATACATTAAACTTTCAATCATTTCAGGTCTCAATGGATATCCTAAACGTTTTTGGACTGGTTCTCTGTTTGGAATATTGTAAAATTCTGGAGGAAGTCCCAAATGCCGTAAAACTTGTAAGTAAGAACTCATTATACGTGCAGCATCTTCAAATTTGCCAATAAGTGTCTTTAAATAAAAGGTAATATTGGGTTATTTCCTCACATGTCCGCAAACTTCTCCGAAACTTTTTACATCTTTCTTCACCTTAATTCTTTCTACTCACATAAAGATTAAAAAAGAGGCAAAGAAATAAGAAGAAGAATAGGGCAAAAAGTTGCGGGCATGTGGACATTTTATAAAAGTTACTCCAATATTATAAAAAAACCTTATAAAATTATAGAAAAAAAAAACAACCAATAATCCTGGCCAGAATGCTTCTAACGATTGAAATATTGGTAAAGAAACAGTTGCTTTATCTTTATCTACCCACATAAACCAATCACCTTTACGTACATGTAAATTTATTGCTTCTTCAAATTCTATAAAAATTCAAAAATTTATTCATAAATAATTTGATGTAATACCATAAAATTGTTTGATCAAATTTGGTCGTTGAAAAAGTAGAGAACCTTTAACCAAATATTCAAAATAAGAATCTACACCAGCACCAATTCCAGAATCAGTAGCAGTAAAAACACCTAAAGTATATTTTCTTGGTACTTGTGGATTATCCCAAACAAGTTTTTGCGGATATACTTATGCGATCACATACCCATAATGGTCGCATGATAGTCAGAGCAACAATACTTTCGCGTTCTCTATTCGATGTACTCGCGAAAGTTTTTTGTGGACATTTTTTGCGGACATTTTTTGTGGAAATTGCTTGCGAATGCTTTTTGCGGTTAAATGGTGAGAATATCGCATAAATATGCCTATAAAACTTGTTTGGGACACAAGTACCTTTTAAAGTACCTTTATTAAAAAATATTTATACCTTACCAGTTTGAACATCAATATGATTTCCAACCAAACCCAATTCTGACCGACTTTTCCATAAAGAATCCAAAGCTTTTAAAGCAATACGTTCATAATGTGGAATTCCAGTTAAACGAGATAATGCTCCAAATTCTAAAATAAAAGTTCCAATACCGGCAACACTAAAATTTTTTAATTAAAATTCTTAAAAAATCTATTTAACCATGTAACAGTATTTTCAAAATTATTGAGTCCATACCTAAAAAATTGAAAAATTTAAAAATAAAAATTAAAAAATACTTTAAATTAACTGTCCCATAAGGCATTCCTGTATTTGAACGAAATGCTGGTAATAATCGTTGGGCAAAACGTTCAGCTAACTCTAAAAGAGGTCCAGAACAAGGCCAACCATCATTTAAGATTACATCTAAATTTAATTTTTGTAAATCAAAATTAAATTTATTAAAAACCTGAAGAATGAGAAGAAAGCATATGAGCAGATAAAAGTCCACCTTCAAAATTAACAAAAGACACTGGCTTATATTTATTACCTATGTAGTTTCCACCCCATAAGCCCCGCCCATTTCCCATCTTCCCTCACACAAAATTACCCATCTGAATTATACCTTCATGACATTTATATATTGACCATAATGGTCATTTTAAGAGGAAAAGTGGGCGGAACTTATGGGACGGAAACTACACAGGAAACATAAATACATATGTATTTAAGTTCAAACCTATGACACGAATATTTGTCTCAAAAACAGAAATATTTATATTTCTATCCAAATCCATATTGTTAAGAACAATTTGAGAAGCTCTAGCAAATTCTGTTTGATTACCCAATATAAGAAGAGTATCCAATGAATCGATCTAAATTTTAATTATTTTTACAAAATTAATATTAAAAAATACCAATGTAAGGCTATAACTTCCCCAAGTGTCCTGCCCAGTGCAAGAAAGTCTGAAAAAAATGTTTGGTAAAAATCTGTTCTCGCGGACAATTTATGCAGACAGAAATTTATGAATATTTGGTGACATTACAAAAAATCTTTTCCTTATTGTTCTGTTTGATTACCCAATATAAGAAGAGTATCCAATGACCTGACTGAATAATACATTGTACAGAGAAATGGAGTAAAAATGAGGCAGTCTGCCCATTTTATACATATAACTGAACCCGCATAAACTGTCCGCAAAAACAGGTCTGAAATAACCCACAGATACCGGAAGTTTTTAAAAATCAATAAAAATATAACTAACGGTCTTAGCTCGTCCTTTGGGTATGCATAATTTAAATAGCCATTATACGCATGATAAAACATTGACTTGACTTTTTCTCTAAAATTTTTAAAATTTATTTATAAAATAACAAAATCACCGATATAATTCTTTCTTCTTTTCAGAAAAATCAAAATTTGTTGAATTACCATGGTAAGCGAAGAAAACACAAATTATAATTAAAATTTTAGGTAATATCCATGTTGAGTAACACATTATCCATAAGAATTGCCTATAAGACAAAAATTAAAAAAAATATTTAAGACAAAATGACAAATACAAGAAAAAGGCTGCGTATAATTCGTTCCACTAAACAAATCCCGAATTCGTCCCACCCGGATTCACCCCACCGAACAAAACCCCCGGACTCGTCCCAGTCCTAATTCGTCCCACCGCGAATTCGTTCCATATTGCAAATTCGAAAATAGGACAAAAGGCAATTGGCCGGAGACAATTTAACAGTGAAACTTGGAAGGTGCATTTTACATAAGGGTATTTTAAAGTTACATTCGGATCAATAAATCCAAATCTACTCATAATACCTCAATCTTGGATTAAATTTTATAAACAAAATGAATAATAAAATATAAATTAAATTCATGTGAAAATTTTTTCTTTATCTCCTTCTATTTTTTAAAGGCTTAAACTTTTTCCCCATACACTTGCTGCATTTATATATAGAACAAATCTTTTTATAATCTTCTGACGATGCATCTTTTGAATTTCCAATTACATCCTTTTTAAGTAAAAATATCAATCTTTTTATTAAATATTTCTAACTCATACAGTATAACGTTTATCAATTGTTTCCATTGTAACCAAATTTTCTTTACGTGCTCCAGCATTCTTTTTGTACTGCATTACACTTTTGTAATCATAAGGAAGATTGTAAGTTGTACTCTGGATTTGACCAATCTTGCCAAATTGATTTTCAAGTCCTGTTTTTAGGTTACAATACATATGTATGTTAGAATTTATTGAATGAGTCTATCCCTGAAGACCTACACCCCCCAAAGGCCACATCCAAAATACATATGTATTGACCCTGAAGAACTACAACTTTTGAAAGGGAATACATATATGGGATTAAGGAGAATAAATCCACAACTCTGAGATAAATAACCAGCTCTATGAAAATAAGTAAACAGTTATGTATTTTAGAACCTATGGTACGGTATTGAGTTTTTTAATTTATCACCTGGAATAATATTTTCCCAATGAATCTTGATATATTTATCTCTGTCATAACGCATCTGTTCGTGCCAAAGACCCACCTTATGCATTAATTCATGAATTACCGTTGAATGGTCTGTACATCCAGGATAGGCTAAATATTTTTTATATTAGTTTTAATAGCAGATATAATTAACTTAATAGACAGCCCCAACCACACGATTCTTCCCATCCTGATTCCAACATAAGAACTTGACGTCCACGGATTTGGCCAACGGTTGTGTAGCATCTTTATTTGAAAAAGAGGGAATTTTAATATGTATTGGGTATTTTTATGGGTCGACAGAAGATCAAGTCAGATCCAGATATTTATGCAACTAGACACGTCTAAATTTTTTGAAAGACAAATCATTTACCCTTCATTTATTTTATTCTGAATGTCAACATAATCATTTTCGTTTCTTCTTCTTGGTCGAAATTTTACGCATGTATTGTCGGAAATTTTGTCCATAGCTTTTTTAATGGTTGCGCGTTGTCTTCTTGCTATTAATTAATGATTATTTTACTCTAAGCACTGAAACCCTTACTGAATCTGCCAGTAATAATGAATGGAATTACATATTTCCCATCTTTATCACGTATCCTAGTCCACCGAAAATTTGAATCTGACCGGAGAGCATTTCGCATTTTCCTATAAAAGTTAAAACTTGCAAGTAAATTAATTAAATCCAAACATTCTCTCTTCATCCCATAGTTGAACAATATCACCTGTATGTCTTCTTTGTTGTAACAAATCCAATGTTTTACTTTTCTTTAAAGCTTCCATCCAAGCTTTTTCTCGTTTTTCTTCCTCTTCAGTCTCATCTGTTTCTTCATTATCTTCTTTTTCAATACTTGAACTTGATTTGGACTCGTCTGATGATGATTTTGAAGAAGAGGATGAAATGAAGTCAGAAGATTCAACAGTATTTTTATCAAATTTAAAGGAAGATGATGGCCATGAATTAGTTAGGGATCTCAATAAATTTTTGGGAAAATTTGGGAAAGATGGGAATAATGAATAATATTCAGGGTTCCCGTCATATTTATTAAGTTCTCTGGCATTTATTAAATTTATTTTTAAATTTAATATTACTAAAATTCGGGAAAGACTTAAAATTCTTAATGAAAATAAAATTAAATCCATTTTTAGTCTGGATAAAAATTTCTAAATATAAATGGAATATTTTCATTTGACTAACTCTTTAAAAACAATGACTCCGCAATTAAGTTTTTGAAAAGGTTTATGTTTGTATAGATGGCAACTACTAAATATTTCACGTCATTTTAAATAAAACTTATTTTAAATAAACTTAATTAATCATCCAACTACTTATATCTTTTGGATTTTATATGACTAATACTTCCTTTCATTTTTTGAAAAAATGGCTAAAAAATTTTTAAATGAAAATTTTTCGATTTAACGGGTTATATGAATTGTGGAACAGCTCAAAAGGACGCGTGGCCATAACGGCACAAAGCCATAGCTTGCTCCAATATTCCGAATCTTACCAATTTAGTATTAAACAGTTCCTCTCCTCGAACTAAAGAGATTGGTACTATTTTTGATCAAAATTGAGGAAAAAAACTTGCCGGATCTGAAATGTCTGACATATTGATTGTTCAAAATTTTTAATATCAACCAATATGAGAGAACACTTCAGATCGCTTAAGTTCATTATAATGATAAGATTTGCTTCTATATTTTTCATAAATGTTTGTTTTAGAATTATAGACTGAATTATAACTGTAAAAAAATATTTTTTAAAAATAATTTTTGTGGAATAATTTAAAATCTATACATTAATGGACTATTTTTGATCATTTTTATATATATTTAATTTATGTATGTATCAATCTACCCTCCCATTTTCAAGGGGAAATGAATGCACAAAATGTTAGCTAACTTTTTTTGGACCACACAAAGTGTTAAAATTTTTTATGTATTAGAATGATTTGTATTTAGGTATATTTGATTTTATTTTAATTATTAAGCTAAACTGTAAAAAAAGTATTTTTTTAGAATTGCAAACATTTATGAAAAAAATTTAAAGAAATTTTATTTTAATGTTAATGAACCACACAAATTGTTAGATTCTCGATTAATTTTAAGCGTTCTTTCTTATTGGTTGATATTTTGAAAATTTTTAACAATCACTATGTCAGACATTTTAGATTCCGGCGAGTCTTATATCATTAGGGTTGACAAAATAGACTGACTCTCCGAAAGTTTGAGTCGGACATAGGATATTGGTAAAAAATGACTCGTACAGCCCGACCCGATAAAAACAAAAGCCCGAAAAATGCCTCGACTGACGGCCTGACTCGAAGACGCAATCCTAATCATAATGATGTAAATTATATTTTTTACATTTACCTATTTCCAATATTATTTTTTAGTTGATTGGATATTTTTTCCCGAATATCCTTTTTTCAATTTATTAAATGACTAATAGCTTATATTTTTTCGTAAAAATTATCATATGTATGATTATTCATAAACTAAAATTGTGACGATTTTGGTCATTTTTTTATAATTGAAAATTGGATAGTTGGCAAAAGAATAAATTCCAGCAATAAAATTTATTTATAGAAAATATTATAGATTTTTAGCACATTGTAATTTATATGTATGTATATCTATTTACACAATATCACTCTATTTATTTTATTACAATCTTCCTACCTTTCATCCTAGGAAAGCTTGATTTCATTTAGACCTTGATGCTCAGCTTTCAACTTAAAAAATTTTTTTAATATTGAAGCCTTCGAACTTGATTCTTATAAACTTAAATGCAAAGGACGTCGTTTTTTCAATGGTGTCAAAAATAAGTAAATTAGCTATAACTGGGGTTGTCAGCTCGCTCGGAAGATCGACGAGCCGAGGCTTAAAACTCAAAGCTCAAAAAACTCGTATGACTCGAATCGAAATAACAAGCTTAAATGCTCGGAAACGACTCGAAAATGTCAACCCTTAGCTATAATCACAATATCATATGCCAAACATTTGTAATTTTTAAAAATTACCTCAGCCTTCTCATCAGCAGTCAAGTCATCCACAATACCAAACTTCTCACGAATATTTTCAGCCGATATTCCCGAAAGCATTCCAGCAATTGTTTTACAACAAACATCTAAGAGTCCAGGAACGTCCAAAAAATCAGCAGCCTTTAAAAAAATTTTTTTGAAGCTAGTTAAACTAAAATTCACGATTGTGAGTGCAAAAAGCTCCGAATTTGACAAATAACCCAGAAAATTCTTATCCCATTCCGGAACTGGCTTATTTCGAAGTTTGACTAATTCATGATCTTGCAAAGGCTCATCATTACTGTGGCGTTTGCACCAACCAAGAACTGATTAAAGAAAATTTTTTTTTGTTAAATTTCAAATTATTTACCTCTTCCCAAAGTTTGATCATCAACAAACGGAATATCAATAACTGTATCTTTTTTATCATTTCGAATATCAATTGATACATTAACATATCCAATCATTCGAATCTTTGAAAATTAAAAATTGGTTTTTGCTAAAATGTCTTTAGAGCAGTTCAGTCGCGACCCTATAACTCATGAAAGGATGGTTACCAATCCACACCTTCAAAAGTTATAGGTGCCGCAACTGAACCCAAACCTTCTCGTTGAAATTTGGCATCTCTCTTAATTAAAAACCTACCATTTTCTCTCCAATACGTTTTGTTTTGACACCTTCAACACCACCAGTTCTCAATCTAAACTTCTTTTTGAGGCTTGATATAGCAGTTGTTGTTGAAGAACTTTTTTTGATGTTTGATGATTCCATTTGATTGATGATCCCTTAGGAGATGCTTGCAAAGAAAATAAACTAGCCGATTTTTGATTGGATTGACTTGAGGAGACTATGTTATTTACACAGAGCTATTGCTTTTATAGGTAAGAGCTGAACTTGTACATTATTTGATTATTAATTTATAAATGTAAAGCATATAGTTATTAATTTCCTAAGGCTGAGCAGTAGGCGGCGTGGTGTAATGGCTAACACATCAGTCCGGTCTACTGAAGATGCTGGTTCGCTCCCAGCCGCCGAATAACCTTTTGCTCTAGCTAAAGGAGAGAAATAGCTATAGCCCAGCTGCTTTACTGGTAGCACCGGATGGTTCAGCGAACGCTGAACGTATGACGATCCATCCCATAGGCCCTGGGTTAGAGAAAAGGAAATTCCGCCAGAGAAGGCGATGATTAAGCTACCCCGCAGGTGAGAAAAAAAAGCGGGAAGAGGGCAGATAAGAAGACTAGGGACAGTCTTCCCTGGGGATGGAGGTGTAAAGCATATAGTTATTAATTTCCTAAGGCTGAGCAGTAGGCGGCGTGGTGTAATGGCTAACACATCAGTCCGGTCTACTGAAGATGCTGGTTCGCTCCCAGCCGCCGAATAACCTTTTGCTCTAGCTAAAGGAGAGAAATAGCTATAGCCCAGCTGCTTTACTTAAACCAATAAATTTATCTGTATTTTCTAGAAAATTTACATAAATACATTTTTGTTTAAAAATTGGGAAAAATTCAATAAATATTTATGTACAGATCGTTAAAAATTTTTTTTTATTCTATGAAGTTGTAGAAGCTTCATTTTCGCCACCATCTTTTTCCTCTATAGAATCCATCCAAACATTTCCAACATCCAAAATTTGATTAGAAGGCACAAAAAAAGTTCGAAAAACTCGACCAAAAGGTTGCCGAACAAATTGTAAAATTACAGCAGCTCCCCCATTTACTGCTAATTCAAATTCACCAATACTTGTATCCATATAATTTTCAAATGTTGACTGGGATCCTTCTAATGCTGTTGCTGATGATGGTGAAAATGAACGTGATAAAGAAAAGCCTTGCTGTGGATGATCTGCCACAGAAACTCTAACTCCAGCTAATGGCCCTCCTTTTATTGAAAGAATACGGCCTCTGAGCACAGAAAGGAGCCTGTAAAAATGAATTTTAGTAAATATTAAAATTCTCTACTATGCCCAAAAAATTTTAACGCGAGCCTAACTCTCATATGTGTATCTAAGTTGTCCAAAAAGGTTGATTTTCCAAAAAGTAAAAAAATCTTTAAAAAATCTATGGGGATAAGTAGCTGGTTATAGAACCTATGGTCATATGGTCAAAAACGACCAACCCATATTCCCGGATATTGAAACGTAAACCAAAAATCTTAATCAAAAAATTCAAACTTTGGATCAAGCAAACGAGTATCGGCATAACGCTGCACAGACAAATCACCGCTATCAAAAAGGAAACGAACACGTTCAAAAAATGGTATTTGTTCTAATGTTGTATTTTCCTGCTGTTGTTTAGTTTCATTGATGAAGGAGGGTTTTAGAAGTAATTCTGGTGAAACAAATGAACCCAGACATAAAGAATTTGATAGACAAGAATTGTGTGAACAACATTCTGTAGAATCTTCACAATCAGTTAATCCATCTTTTTTTTTTAATTTTTAAAGATTTTATAATAAAAAATATACAATTAAAAAAATACCTTCATCATTGTCTTCACCATCTTCACAATTACTTTCTGCACGAAATTGGCAATATTCACCATAATAACCATAATTACATTCACAATGCCACCAACCTTCTCCATTTACTTTTTTAACACTCAACATACATTGGCCATTTGATGAGCAATTTTTTGGACAAAGTTCTAAAACAATCTTTAATAATTATAAACTTTGTGTAGGCCTTTCTATTATCTCCCCAAATATGTGGAGATAAGTACCCGGTTCTATGTGCTAGAATTTAAAATAAATTTTTTACCAATTTGACAATTAATTCCAGTCCATCCAGATAAACAGTTACATTCTTTCATCTTTTTGCCTTCTTCATTTTGTTTATTAATTAAAATACAATTTCCATGTCCAGAACAATTAAGCAAGCAATCTTGTTTTTTATTTTCCTCATCATTTTTAATTTGAATTTGTTCAATTTCTTCTTTAATTTGTTGTAAATTTTGTTCACAATATTTACCAATCCATCCAGGTAAACATAAACAAGTACCATCTGGTTGGCATTGACCCCCAATACCACAATCCTTATTATCACACCTTAAAAATAATTAATTATATTTTATTCAAAACTTCGCACGATGTGCTCGTTAAAATGTTATATAGTTTGCCATAAAACGAGAAAAAATAGAGAAAAAAGGGGTGGGTGTAAACAAAAATATATCAAATTAATCTTTTTAAATGTAAACCATTCAATTGTTTCCTCACATTCCACGCCTCGAAAGCCTTGGTGGCACAGACATCGACCTTTGTTAAATACGCCTTGACCAGAACATAGCACCGGGCAAGATGTTTCTGTAAAATATTAAAATTTCATTTATTTTGGGGTTAGATTTTAATAATTATGTACTTTTTATTACCTTCACAAAATAAACCACTATAACCAGGATGACAAACACAACGTCCTTCTATGCATTCTCCTTTTCCAAAACAATTTGAATGATGACATTGAGAAATAATTTTATTATTTTTATGTTGTTCAATATTTGAAGGTTCTTCCAGTTGGGCAATTAATTCAATATACTCTGACTTTAAAAATAAAGTTAAAAATGGATTCAGCCCAGAAGGTCACATCCAAATATTTGGGCAAAATATTTGGACCTCTTCTGCCTTATCTGACAATTACACGAGAGGATCTCCGCTTACATCCCTTAATCCCAATAAATCCATCCGCCTACCGCCCAACCAAAAAAAAATATTTTTCAAACTATTACTTCAGTTTTATCATTCAATAATCCAAAATGCCATATTCCTGCTTGTAAAAAGTGATTAACAAATCCCAATTTCTTCTTTTGTCCAATTTTTCCCTCCTTTTCTCCTTCATTAAATGTCGTTTCTTTCTCCAAATGTAAATTTTCACCAAAAAATATTTTTTGCCAATCAAACTGTCCAATAGTTGGACGAATTGTCTGTCTTGCAAAAATAATTATTCGAGAAGATGGGCCAATTGTTAAATTTAAACGGAATAGAGAATTCTGAGGAATATAAATTTGAGTAAATAATAAATGATATGGAGGGAGTTGAATAATAATTGGATTATTAAATAAAAGTTGAGTGGGAATATTTGGCAATTGATTGGCTTAAAATGGGAAGAAAAAAGTTTTTTTCAAATTTAAAATTAATAATACAACCTGAAGATGTGGAGGAATGTTGTTGTTGAGCATTTGATAAAAATGAGATTCTAGTATTTTTATTTTGAATATATTGGTTATTAATAAATTTTTGTGAAGAAAATGATGAATTTGAAGAAAATAAAAAGTCTTCCCGTAAGACTAAAAATAAAATTTAAAAAAATATTTAACAAAAAAAAACAAACATGTTAGCCAAACAAGTAATAAACAAAGTGAGAGCAATAAAAGCATCGCAGGAAGTAACAAAAATAAAATAGCCGGCCAACGACCAAATCGGTGACAACAATTTAAACATTTTCTATGCCTCTTCTGTATATGCCTATTTTGTTGAGGCCGTCTACAAAATTAAAATTTAAACGTAAGAAAAATAAATTAACCTCTTTGGTGGTGGACAATTTGGTGGTTGTGGTGGAGCATGAATTGGAGGAGGACCACGCAACGGCACTAAGGAACCACAAGCATATGAGACGCCGCCACCAGAACTTGAAGAGCCAGCACCAGCACCAATAAGTAAAGGAGAACACGGAGAATTATTAGCTGATGGACGATTTATTGTTGATGTTGTTCTCATTCCTATTGTGGCAAAATCAAAAAGAGAGGATTGGCGTTGTTGATGACGGTTATTAGTGGCATCAAAATTGTTGTTGGAATTATTAAAAATGGTTGACATATCATCATATTTTCTAAAAAATTATCTTAAAAATAAAATGAAAATTCAAAAAGAGGGAGTCACATTCAGTAAGGGATATCATCAAAAAGGGGCAAGGGTTAACCAATATCCGAACTTTTTTCCGACTCAGTCCGTAGCATCCCTGATGTATTTATAACTCAATTTTATTAAAAAATTTGGCGCTTTTTCCAAAAAAGAAAATATTTGGGAAAAAATGGTCATCCATTCACTCAACTACATAATAATAATAATCATTCTTTACAATTATAAGAATATTTAAAAAGAAGCTTCTGAATAATTGATGGAGAGTGAGTGTATTATTGTGTATAAGGGAAAACAATCTTCACAGATTTCCGCATGGCTGGAATGGCGGTTGCCACCACCAAGGTGAGAGAGAGTTAATTGCCGACCGCGAAAATCAGGTAGTAGACTAACTCCATATACTTACCAATAAAGAAACGATCTTATTAAGTAGTAGCTCTTGGCATAAAAGAAAAAAAGGTATGGTGAGAAGGGAGAAAAAATTAAGAAAAAATTGGGAAAAATGAAGGAATACGGCAAAAATGGCGCAGAATAGTCCGTATCCCCTCAAAATCTCTATTCCTTAAAATCTCTACTGGGGTAAAATGCCTTATAATCTCTACAGAGCTAAAATGCATTAAAATCTCTACTCGGCTAAAAATGATTAAAATAACTATTCCTTAAAATCTCTATTCCTCATAATCTCTACACGGTGAAATGCCTTAAAATCTCTACACGGCCAAAAATAGGATAAAATGTCTATTTTTCATTGGAAGCCTTTTGAGTACCAACGTTAAGTGCGGAAACGTTGTTCTGATTTCTGGGATTATCTTTTGATATTATTTTGCTTGTATAGTTTTTGCCGCTGCTGATTAACCCAGTCATGTCCAGCGGAACGACAGCAGCCGCTTCGATACAATCGCCGCAAGCAAAATGAACACGACTGCAGTGAAGCAGTCGTGTAGTATATCTTCGATATTTACGGCGGATACAGGCGGATATCCGCAGCCATTTTGAAATTGTATCCATATCCGTATCTATTACCAAGTCTGGTTTTTCCAGCGAAAGATTCAGATGGTACACTTTAGTTGAGACTCAACCGTCTATTTGCGCGGTGTAGAGATTTTAATTATTATTACCCCAGTAGAGATTTTAAGGAATAGTTATTTTAAGGAATAGAGATTTTAAGCATTTTTAGCCTAGTAGAGATTTTGAGGAATAGCGATTTTAAGGAATAGAGATTTTGTATGGGAGCCGAATAGTCAAGTCTCGATTTTAAATGGCCACAATTTTAGATACCTCTCGTCTTTAAAAATAATTCTTTAAATTTGTTCGGCTACTGGGTAAGAAGAGCAGTTAAACGATCCCTCGATCTCAGATATCCCTCATTTTAAAATAATTTTCCAGCCTCGTGGAGGTATTTAAAACTAGGGTTGTCGACTAGCTCGACCCGAATCTCGAAAGATCGACGAGCCCGGGCTGTTTAGCTCAAAAACGAAAATATTTATATTAAAAATTCGGCTACAAAAGAAAAGTCAAAAACATAAAAACTGAATATATTTTATGTGTGAATAAATGCTTTTGGACCAATTATTCTTACAATAATAATACACAAGACTTTTTCACCCATCATCCCCAGCCCTTTTACTCTTCCCTATTGTCCTCCTAGTTTAAACAAAAAATTAAAAATAAAATAAAGGCACACATTGTAGTAATGAAAAATGGCGGGAGGTTGTTTTATAAATAGATTTACAGAAAATTGTAGAATTTTTTAAAAAATCTCCCAAAAAACTGAACAAAAAATAAATATCATTATTTATTTATTTATATAAATATTCATAATTACGTAACATCCACTATGTGAGTATTAAATGACAAATCGAGAAAAATATTAACGAAGCACTTGAGGTTATACATATATCTGATTATTTGTAAGATTAATATCTTATAAAAATTTGGTATATAGAATAAACAAAAAACAAAATTTCAGTGGAATACATGATGTTATATATAAATTAGTATAGGTTGAATTTATTCCTTGAAAAAATGAGGAAGTGCTTTTTCGTTTTGGGATTCGCCAGTAAGTAATTGAGTGTGCGCTGAGTCTGGACATTCCTTTCGAATCGGGACACGAATTCGGTCAGGTCGAATTCAATTTAAAAATTAGAAAAGGACCAGAAACATAAATCTTAGAAAAAAATATATGCCAGTCCAATTCTTGATTTTATAAATATTTTATATATTAGCATAATTTGGCAAAAAAGAGAGAGGAGGGTTTTGGATGGAAGAAAAGAACAATTATTAAATGATGAATTGAATGGACACAATTTAAAGAAGAGAAATAAGCAGACTGCTGGCACAACATAAAAATTTAGAAATGAAAGAGAAAATTATAAAAATTCCAGATATACCAACAAGTGTCTTTCTAATTTGATTGCGCAGTTTTACTTAAAATTTTAGTAAAGCGTAAAAGGAAACAAATTTGGAGGATTTTTTTAATAAAATGGAGAGTTTTTGGATATTTTAGAGGTTTACTAGTAGGTAAATAAGTGTGCTGAGTCCGATTATGTCCAAGTTTTATTTATTTCGAATCTCGAACACGAATTAAGACGTGTTAGTTTAATTTTAGAAATAAACCTATCGATATTTTTTATCAAAGTATATTTTACCTCGAACTTATTTGTTCATAAGGAACGAATCTTGTATGTAAATGACCATCAACAACTGAAACAATTGCTGAACAATTCTTTAAAGCACCAAAAGTTGAGTTCTGGCAGAAATCTAAAAACTTGAATTTTTTTGAACGTTTTTTGGCGAAAGTAGGTAGTATATGAATTAAAAATTAAAGAGTAAATATACCGACAAAAAGGAATAATAATAAATAGGAGGGTATTGGTATTTTTTGGTTGAATGGTTAATAATTATAATTAAGAGAAATTGTGGTCTGAAAACAAAAAAAATTTGCTTTTGACAACGCCAGATAAGGTGAATTTCACTAATTTTTATAAAATTATTTAAAAAAAATATGAACACTCAAGTAGTAAATGTCCACAATTTAATATTTCTATGCAAACATTTGTATATTTGTTTATTTACTTTACCCGTTAAAAGTAATAAAAACAAATAATAAAAGACATTTCCCACCTTTACTTTTTGTATTATTAATAGTTAAAATGGCCTAGCAAATAAAAGTTTTTATATAAACTAAAAGTTTTGGAGAAGTATTTAATGGGGTTAGAAGTGAAAAGTGACCCTGAAGACCTACTTTTGAAATAATAATCGAGGGATTAAAGGGGAATAATACTCAACTCTGTGGAGATAAATACCCAGTCTGTATTTAGATATTTTAGAACAATGATACGGCAATGCATTGTGCGCTATAACCCTGGGTGAAGAGACATCTCTACCGCCTTCAATCACACCAAATCCCTTGATATTCCTTTTTGATATTTCCTTTCAAAAGTTTTAGGTCTTCAGGGTTAACCTCATGAAAAATGCTCGCTAAAATTTTTTTAACATTTTAGATAATAAATAGACCTTTACTTGTAGATGTACAAGGTTCTTCATATTCATTGCTGTCTGAAACTGGGGCATGGTCCTCCATTTTTTTTCTATATTAAATTATATTTTGATATCTTAAATAAAAAATAAATAAAGAAAAATAAAGGTGATGGACTAAATTTGAAAAGGAGAGGGGAAAATTTGGTTAAATATTAAGCGAATAAAAGCACTTGCAGGTGGGTGGCTGCTCCTCAACAACGATATTTTTTCCCTCAAACATTTTTGCCTTCTCAATTTCTAAACAAATTGCCCTCTCCTTTTACAATATTTTTATATATACACTAAATATTGTATCCACAAATCGGTTCAAATGTGAGATGGTTGGTTAATTTTTAATGGAGCAAGAAACAAGTTTTAAGAGAAGAAAGTTTTAGGTCTTAAAAAAAGACTTAGGATTTTATAAACGTTAACTAGTTAGGCTTTTTGGTTTAGTCAATGTCAAATTTATTAAATAAAGTCGGGTAGGTATATTTAGAAAAACAGGCAAGTTTACAAAAAATAGTTATTGCCCTAACAATAACGGACAGCTACCCACTTTTCAATTAAGAATTCTTTTCAACTTTTTTTACCTCTACCAGTCAATTGTCAAAAAAGGGTGAAAAGAATATGAGAAAAGGTTTGGCGGAAGTGAATTATGCAAAAAAATATGGGAATAAAAGAGAAAAAAGGACTTTTTGACGATTTTTGTTGTGGACAATGGCAGTAACAAAACCAAAAATTCTGGACGGGCCAAAAATGAAATAAAGAAAAAAAGATAAAAAGGACATCCCGCAGTGGATTTTGTTAAAAAAATTGTGTGCAAAGGCGTGAAATATTTTTTAGATTTATAAAATCAAAAAATCAGGTACAAATAAAGTTAGAAATTTTGTTTAATATTATGTCAAAATTGTTAGAAAAAAACAAAATCGTAAAATGATAAGAATATTATGAATGATTAAAAATAAAATGACTCCCAAAACGCGAAAAATAGAGATAAGAAAATTGTAGGCGACAATTGGGTATTGTGACAATTGAACAAAAGACTATTGGACTAGGGACGATTGGACGTTGAATCGTGGTTAAGTGGAATTTATATAGGTAGATTAGAAAGTTGGGCTTCAAGTTCGGTCCATTCTCCTGACAAAACTAGAATGTATTTCAGGTTTCCTTTTAATGTTTAAAAACAAGAAGTTCCTCATGTTCAAAAATAAGAAGCCAAAATATTTTTTTTCATTTTCTTGAATTTCTACTAAATACATAGGAATAAATTGTTTTGTTTATATTACATTGGCACTTCTGGCGATTTTTTTGAGTAGCTTGTATATTTTTAAGTTGAGAAGAAAGACAAATATTAAACGAATAACTTGTGTTAGGCAAACCAAAATAAAAAATAAAATAAACTCTTAAAGTGATCAATACTTAAAAAAAAAGTCGAAAATTTCTGAATTTGCCGAAAAGTTCTGTGTCAGATGAGACAGAACTCTGACAAGATTTACTCTGACAAGATCAGAAACAAAAAACCTTCTTGAAAATTATACCGGATATTTAAAAATAAGAATCTTTAAACATCAAAAATTGACCACAATACATAAAACATCTGTGAGGGTTTATTCAAGAATATGTATTATATTTCTTTAAATTTTTTATAAAAAGGAGAGAATGGTCGTCGGCTAGTGACAACAACAAAAAGGCCATTGGTCGATTTTTTTCCGATCTTTTATTGCTTTTTCAACTCTTAAATGTGTAAAAATGTTAATTATTTGGCCAAAATACTACAAACAAATCAATTGTATAGCTTAGTGAATGGGGGGGGGGTGAAGTAAAGTAAGAAATTAAAAAATTATTTAACTTATTTTTACTAACGAATTTACTATTTTCGCCATTAAATAATAACAAAAATTAAGAACTTGTAAAAATAACAATATAACAACAATTAAGAGAAATACCTGAAATTTTTTCAATTATCTTTGGCATCACCATCATCATAACAAAAAAATCCAAGCCTTTCAAGTGGACTTGGTGTTCGTATTTTTTTAATATAATCATCCAATTGTTTACTAGCTGCCAATAGAAAGCCCAAAAATGGAGGACTTGGCTTATGTGGAGAAGAAAGAAATTCTGGATGATATTGTACACCAACAAAAAATGGATGATCTATATCAAAAATAATTTACCCTAGTTTAAATAATTCAATTTATTTAAATACCTTCTCTTGATATTTCTGCCATTTCCATTCTAATAGCAGTTGAATTAGTACCATCACCACCTCTTTTACATAATTCATCAATTTTATCAATTAATTGATTCTAATTAAAATAATTAAAAATTTATTTAAAAAAAATAATTAAATTTACAAAATCTTCAGCCAAATTATCTCCTGCTGCATTAAGTAAAGAAGAGGCTGATTTTGTACGAACATTTCTTTTAGAATCCCAAGTTTCATCCACACCCATTCCTAAAATTAATAACGGTAATTGGATTTTTAAAACTTAAGAAACATACCTACAAAAACAAGGCCTGCACGACATAACTTTGGAACAATTGAAGGATTAATCTTAAATTAAGATTATTTTTAGAAATACCAAGTAAGCAGAATTCAAAATTACCTCGTATCTATGGCGATGTCTTTCATCAACAGAAGGTTCATTATTGTATAGTTTATCTATAATTTTATAAATTAAAAAAAAATTAAGAAAAATCTAGAAGGTCAACTACCACCCAAGAAGGCCAACTACCCTAGTGGTCAATTGACCCTGGAATAAATAAAACAACAAACTTAGGAGTGAATTTTTAGTTAAAAACACAGTTGTTCGACTTCCCAATCTCATTGTAGCACCCATTCCATATTTTTCACCAGCATGTTCAGGCATGTTAATAACAACTTTTTGTTCTGTTGTTAATTCACGACAAAATTCTGTTGAGTTTGCACCAGGAATTTTACAAACATTTCTTGCAAATTCAATAGCAGCACATTGAAGACCAAGACAAATTCCTTAAAAAAATTTTCTTCAATTTTTAAAATATTTTAACTACCAAGAAATGGAACACAATTTTCTCTGGCATATTTGCAAGCTAATATTTTACCTAGAAAAATATAGCGTTATTTAATAATTGAAAAAATTCCAGCTACTCCACCTCACCCAAAAATTTTTATTACTAACTCCTCCTTATTTATAAAAAAATTTACCCTCAACTCCTCGATCGCCAAATCCACCAGGAACGATAATACCACTAAAATTAAATAAGTATATAAAAAATATACATATTAAAACAATACTTTACAGATAAAAGAGAAAGTGCACATCAGAGATGCTCTCTCGAATTTTAAAAACGGAAGGCGGGAGGATGTAAAAAACGGAATTCTACTGAACATGGAAGCAGGAGGATGAATAACACGTGAATGGACGGAAGGGTAAAAAAAGCGGACTTCTATAGAAGCCTGGCCCTAGTGATTCCTGGCCCACAAGAATTATCACATCTCTGGTGCACAGTAGTATAATTTTCTAAATAATTAAAAAAAAACTTACTCGCAATTTTTTAGCAAATTCCAAGCCTTTTCGTTATCTTTAATTGCCCCATTTTTAATTGGTTCAAGATTCTCTGCATTTATAAAATTAATTTTAAGTTTTCTACAAGAATAAATTGCTGCATGTTTTAATGCTTTAATAACAGAAGCATAAGCATCATAAAAAACATCATCACTATCAGAATTTATATATTTAGCTACAAAAGCTATTTTTATTTCTTCTCTTGGTTTTTCAACACTATAAAAAAATTGAAAAATTTTTTTTTTAATATTTTTAAAAATAAAATTTTTACTATTCACTTAATTGACGCCATCTAGAAATATTTAATTCTGTTTTGATTTCAGACAACAATTCTGGAAGTTGAAAATGTTCACATAGTCGATTGAGTACTCTTTGTTTATAAAGCAATATTGGGACCTGTCAAAATTTTATTTAAAAATTATATCAGTAAATTGAGGTAAACGCTGTGCGGCCATATCGGAACGGACATACCGAGGATTGCTGTGGGAAAAATAATTCCTTGTGTGTTTACTTTGGTCTAAAAAAATAAACTTTTTTCAATAGGCAATGTACTAACAATAAGTAACAAAAAGCCAGTGGCCGTAGATCCTGAAATCAATAGGGCAACCGTTCGTAGATTGAAAAATCCCGATATATTTGTCATGATATGCCCGCATGCCTAATTCGAGTATATAAATAAAAAAATTTTAAACAAACTTGGTAAATATTTGAACAATCAAAAACATCGATAATTTCGTCAGATTCTAACTGTGAAAATGCTGATATTTTTGCTCGTAACGCATCGTTTAGTGGCTTTTTTGAACGACAAATAAGTAAGTCAGGTATAAGACCTGTTTCCCTTAAACTTTTAAGGCCATTTTGAGCAGGTTTAGTCTTCACTTCGCCGGTATCCTTTTATAGAAATTTTTTTTAATTAAGAAAAAAATAATAAAAACCTCATGCAAAAGTTTCGTTACATGAACCTAAATTTTGTCATGATTTAATCTTAATAATACGATTTGAAACTCACAGTCATAAAACGATTTCTCTCAGTTTTTCTTCTAAAAGCTTGGCTAAATGCATTTGTATAAGGCATTCCTTCTATATCTCCCACAGTGCCGCCTAACTATAAAAAAATTTTTGAAGATTTTATATTAAATTTTAATACCTCAATAATACAAACATGTGGAATTTTATTAGTACCATCCAAAGGAATTTTCGATACGCGTTCAACCCATTCAATTATTGCTTCAGTAATGTGTGGTACTGTTTTAACAGTCTAAAAATTAGGAACAAATTGCTTAAAGACAAAAATTCATTTAAAAAATTAAACCCTTCCAAGGTAATCTCCACGCCTTTCTCTTTCAATAACTTGTTGATAAATTTTGCCGGTAGTAATATTATTGTCCCGACTTAAACGAAGTTTCAAAAATCTTTCATAATTTCCCAGATCTAAATCAACTTCGCCACCATCATCAAGAACAAAAACTTCGCCTAAAAAATTTTTTCAAATATTAAAAAAATATTTTTAAACCGTGTTCAAATGGTGAAAATGTTCCAGCATCAACATTAATGTATGGATCTATTTTAATGGCCGAAACACGATAACCTTTAGCTTGAAGAAGAACACCAAGGCTAGAAGATATTATTCCTAAAAAATCTTTTATTAAATAAAATTTAAAAATAACCTTTTCCAACTCCACTCATTACACCTCCAGTAACCAAAATTAATTTAACCGAATCATTAGAACCGGAATCACTAGAATCAGAATATTGCTCCATTACTTATTGCTATAAGATCCTTAAAAGAATTCAGAAAGGTTTAAAAATTATAGGAAAATATTAAAACAGAAAAATGTGACTGTGTTTTGACCGCGGTTTACTAAAGATGTGTTTTTTATGGAATAGCGCGTCAGTTTTTTCTAACCCACGCCAGCTTCTCCCTCACCTCATATTGTACATATTTCCCTGAAAAGTTAGCTGTGTGCTCGCCTACCTTACATTAGTAAATCGCGGACAACCCACAATTATTTTAGTATAAATCCTCCAAAAGGAATTTAAAAAACTAACAAATATCAAATAAAAACAATATTATTGATTCAATATCGCTACTTTTTTAAAAATTTTATTTAAAAAACAAACAAATATTTTTCAATTTAAATAAATCAATTTCTTTTTTGCCTAAATAAAGGTTTATAATAAGCCTTATCAGAAGACAAAGCATCTATTTTTACAGGAAACATTTGTCCAAGTAATTCCAAAAGATTGGACGGATCAACTTCATTGTATATTGAATTATTATTCAAACTTTGACTGAAAAAGAAATCCGTTGTTAAATTAAAAATTTATTTTTACCTTGATTCTTTAATTGGTTCAAATCTTTCAAACAAAGAAAATAAATGTTCAAATTCTGGATCAACAGATAAATCTAAAAGTGCACGTTCTTGAGGAGTATGAGTAGTTTTGTCGAGAATCTCCAGTTTTTTAGACAATTTATTCCCCAAAAGCCTCTGGAAATTTTTTTAGAAAATTAAACAGAAAATATAAATTTATAAAAAAACCTGCAAAGGAGGAATTGGAAATGAAGATGGAAGGCGAATTTTAGGCATTTTATTCTCATTTTCAATCAATTTCTTTTCTTCGTGTTTGTGAACAAGAATCCATTGTGAACGATTTAATTCGTTTCCAAATTTGTAAACACCTAACGGAATGCCACGAAATGTCCATTCTCCCCAAAGAACTCCTTGTTGAAGCCAGCGATCCATTTTTGGACGGGCCTGAAGAAATAAAAAAATTGTTTGTAACTTGTAAGCAAAATAAACATACTGCAATAATTTTAATATAGGACGATTCTAAAGGCCATTTTGTATTCCAACAATAATTCTAAAAAAATTTTAGCAATAATTTCTTAAAAATATAAACCGTTATATATCGTCCTTCACCCATATTTCTCAACTAAATTTTTATTTATTTTTTAAGTTTTAAAAATATCAAACCTGTGAAAGTATTTCCCAAACAAATTTTCCCTTACTAGTAAAATCGTGTTGTCCGATAAAGCGAAGAGACATTTTCTATAAACAATTATTAAAAATTAAAATAAAAAGAAAATTATTTCTAAACATAATTGAGATATGTATTTCGAAAAAAACAAAAAAAATATATAAGCATAAATATATTTATTAAAAAAAAGGAGCAAATTATAATAGATGATCAAATTTTTTCGAAATCTATTGCGAGACACTCCTATTGGAAAGAAATATTGGCAAAGAATTTTTTTAGGTGTTAATTAAAATTTAAATCGAATCGTTGTATATTTTATTATTTTTAAAATTATTGTTCGATTGGGAAAAAATGTATAGTAAAGAGAGATAAAATAAATAGTGCCAAAAACAAAAAAAAGAAATCAGACGCAAAAAAATCAAAATTTTATGAAACAATTTTGTTGCTCAAAACAAGTCTTTTTTTAAATATTAACACTATTCGTCTGATTCCTGGAATAATTGTAAATAGGATATATTCTTTTAATCTGACATAATGTGCGTACTATTAGAGATATGTCAAAAATTAATCCAAAAGATTAAAATGATTTTTTTAGAATTTTCGACCCATATGGGAAAAGAATTTTGAAATTCACTTTCCAATTTATCAAAAATAATATTTTTTGACATAACTCTAACATATAAAAATTTTTTGAATTTTTCAACAATCAAAGATTAGTAAAGGTACACCTTCTTAATTCAACATTAAGATTATCTTCAGTTGGAATACTAGCATTTTTATTATTACTACTTGTAGAGCATAAAACCTCTTTATTAATAATAATATTACCATTAGCACCATTCAAATTAACAACAACATTTGATGATCCAACAAAATGATTATTTTTTTCTTCGTAGCTAGGACTCTTTTTAGGTGTTCCTGGTTGTGAAGTATTACAAGAAGACGAAGAATTTTCTTTATTTATATTACTACTAATACTACGTTCAATTGATAATCTTGCTGTTGTTGTTGAAGCATTTTCTCCTTCTGTATTATTTGCAGCAGAAAAAAGTTCCAATTCAGCAATTTGCTTCTTTTGTAATTGTGAAAGTCGTTTTTCACATGTACGATCAAAGAAGGATTTATCGTCATTAATCTGAAAAAAATATTAAAAAATAGGCTTTTTTAATTAAAACTAACCTTTTGTTGAACAACAGCCAAACGTAAATTGAGCCTATCTTGTAGTTGAACACGTTCACGTTCAATTTGAGCATATAAAGAAGCTTTTTGTCGTTCTTGATAATCTGTCAGTAAACTTAATTCTTTATTAAGCTTCTCTGTTAATAAACGAAGATCCTCTTCTTGTTGTGAATCTAATTTGACCTGTAGAAGAAATTTTTCTTAAGATTAAATTTTAATAAATCAAAAACCGTTTGTTCAGTAACCATTTTTTCAATAGTTAATTCATATTGATCAGCTAGAGCAGCAATTTTTCTATTTTGTTCCTCTTTTAAACGAATATGTAATTCCTTGTGCTCTTCTTTAGGAACTAGTTGCAACATATGTGCCTGATATGCTTTAAATTGTCTTGATTGGATTTTGACTGCTAAACGAAATTGTTTGCGAATTATAGCTTCTTTAGCCTTAAAAGATATTTTTAAAAAATATTCAACAAAATCTCAAAAAATACTTTTAATTCTCTTGGTTGTTGTTTTGATTGCATAGCATGTTCTTTAGTTTTTTCTTCAAGAGCTCTTTTATTATAATCTCTTTGACTTGACAATTCTGCTTCATGTTGTGCTTCTAAATGACGTCTTTTCATTTGTTCAATTAAATTAAAATGAGAAAATTCCAAAGATTTAATAATTTCATGATGTTTATTTAAAAGAGCATGTAAAGTGTCTAATTGACGTGCGCGAATATTTAATTCCTAAATAATTTTAAAAAATGAAAGTGTAATTAGGTTTGCCGTTGTCGAGACAGGCCGAAGTTGAGGGATTCATTGGGAATGATTTTAACTGAACGGGCCGTTCGAGTCCCTTTCGAGCCAAATATCCTATACCAAACGAACTTCCGGTCCGACTCGGTCCATTCATGGCAACCCTAGTTAAAATAAAAAAAAACAAACGTTATTTGTAAGTTGAGTTTCAAGATTGTGAAAGCGCAATAATTGTTGCTTATTTAATTCTTTAAGCTCTTTTTGTAAAATAAAACTTTGTTCATCAGCAAATTTTCGTTCAACATGTTGTTTGATTTCGTTAAGGCGAATCTTTGCTGCTTTCAAAGCTACTTCATAGGCATTTTTTGGAAGACCTTGACTTTTAAGTTCCTAAAAGTATAAAATTAAAATTTTTTCTAAAAAAATCCAAATTCTAACCATTTTACATCGTTCTTTATTAAATTTATATTCCTTCTTTTGCGCCGCTACATAACTTTTCAAGTCATGTTTTAAAGTTGCTTCTCTAGTTTTATTAGTTTTTCTGGATTCTTCTTCATTTTCTCGTCTACGCCGTTCTAATTCTAATTGAATTTGTGTTCGTACTTTTTCAGTTTCTCTTTGACAATTTCCTTCTAATTGTTCACGTTCTCTATCTAATTTTAACCTTTGATTGTCAGCATCATTACTACAGCGTTCTTCTAATTGTTTCAATTCTTTATGGTGTTGTTGCCTTAAACGTTTATAACCACACATTTGTTCATATAAATTATCTGCTTGATATTCTTGAAGTTCACGAGCAATAATTTTTGTAGTCCTAAGTGTAGAAAATTTGGAACGGCGAAGAGTATTGATATCATCCTGAATATTAAGAGATTAATTGAAATTGTTTTGATTTATGAAATAAAATTCTAAATAAAAACCTTAACTTGTTGTTGATCAAAATTAGTAGAATGCAAACTTAATATACCAGAAGGTGTTAATATTTGTTGTTGTTGATGTTCAGGTTCAGAAGAAGGCAATGAATCTGTTCCATTTAAACTAATTATTGTTCTGTTATTAATACTCAATTGATGTTGTAAATGTTGATTATCTTGTTTTTCATCATTTTCTTCTTTGATTTCTTCTAATTTATTTGATTGTTGTTGTCGTTGATGGTTAATATCATCTTCGGACGTAATAGAAATATCCTATAAAATATTAAAAAATCGACTCTTTAGGGATCAGGAGTGTCAGAAATCGAGGTTTACCGGGGAGAGCATGCTTGATTTCTGTGTTTATAGACTGCGTTTCGGGGGAAAAATTGCTGTCCTAGCTTAAGGATTCCTTTACAAAAATTTGTTTTACTAATCAATTTCTTAGCTTTTAATACAAAAAAATAAACCTCATTTTGCGTCTCAACACCTTCAACATTTTCTTCATTTAAATGACCATTAGCGTCCATACAAATAAGACGCCGCAATCTGCCATATTGCGAATGATCTTGCTCTTTTACGGCATTTTTAATACGATTTATTAAATTCATTATTACATTCGGAGGCTTTTCACAAGTTATAAACGGATGCTTAAAAAACTATTTAGAAAAAATTATTTAAATTTTTCATACAGCTAAACAAGCATTTGTAGAAAGTCGTTGTTGAGGATCTTTTCGAAGGCACTGTTCAACAAAAGAGTGAAAATCTTCCGACCAAGGAGAAAGTTCTGGGTCATCAATTGGCTGTAGAGAAGGAGGATCATTTTGAGCAATGTGATACATGGCAGAATAAGCCTTAAAAACACATATGAACAAAATAATGTCTGACATTAAGTCTAGATTAAAAAATAATGATTAGAATAGTCACTACCAACATTCATGTCCAAAAATGGAGGCTTTAATTCGGCTAAAATTTAATTTTTTAAATTAAGCATAACAATAATCTTCTCACCAAGTTCGATACAAGTTATACCAAACGACCAAATATCAGCACGTTCATCGTAAATTCCAGAATCCTGAGCAAGTATAACCTCTGGCGCCATCCTAAAAACAAAATTAAAAATAGAATAAGAAAACACTCACCAATAAGGACTTCCAACAAAAGTTTGTGCTGGAGAAGTAAGAGATGCACTTCCCAAATCTGCAAGTTTAACTTGTCCACAATCCGTCATTAAAATATTTCCAGCTTTTACATCTCTGTGTATACGTTTAATTCCATGTAGATAAGCAATCCCTTGTAATGTTTGTTGACATATGGCAGCAATTTCTACTTGCAAAAATGGCTTTTTGTAAACCTTTAAAATTAAAAAAATGAAAAGATTTGTAAGATTTTGCAAAAAATCAAACTTTGAGAATATCTGCAGCAGAGCCTACACAGTACTCCATAACCAACCTTTAAAAATAATTCAAAAAATAAATTCTTAAAAAAACCAGCATGTCTGTTCCTTCAAAAAACAAGCCTTGAATCGAACTATTTGAGGATGTTGAATAGACCGAAGAAATCTAACTTCTCGTATAATATCATTCCATTTATCCAACGATTGCTTTCCAGAAAAATTCATTTTCTTTATTGCCACTGGCTCTTTAGTTTCTCTATCGAGTGCCTATAATAAATCCCGATAGTAAGAATTTGAGCACTCCTGCCGTTTAAGGGGGCCGCTGTTCTTTGACCTTTATGACTACTTTTGGCATCAAATTTCAAATGAGATACATTATATTTATGGGAAATGTTAGCAAGTTGTAAAGGATAAATTTTGATTGATAGAAAAAAGAAAATAAAATACATTAGTCTCATAACGGTCAAAGAACTGCGATAATTCTGACTCAAGTATTAAAAATTTTAAAAAATACATAAAAGACAGCTCCAAATGCACCATGACCAATTTCACGTAAATCTTCATATCGGCTTTCCGGATCCTTTGTAGAAAATAGTTCAGCCACTTCAGGATCTTTTAAATTGCCTGGCTTCAATTTTGCAGGAGCCATTTAATAAACTAAATCTCTAAAAAATTATTTTTACATTTCCATTATTTTTAAAGAATTTAAAAATAATGGGAATAAACAAATCAATCTCAAACAACTCGTTAAACGATATATAAATTGCACGCATGTGAGCACAAAAATAGAAAAAGGCGACACCACTCTACCACCATCTGAAAGAACCAAAAAAGCGGTTTTATCCATTATCCACATTTGCGCGCGCAAAACCAACGACCCATAAAGCGGGTCAAGTATTGAAGAGATTTTGGTTAGTTTTTATAAAGGCGAGATCGAGGTCTTTTTTACAAAGTATCGAAAAAATTTCGAGGCTTGTTTTTATCAGCCCAAAGGCATACATATTTAAAAAAATGAAGTTTATGAAAAAAGATAAAATAGAAAAAGGCAACTATTATTGTCTCTAAAAACATTCCAATAAATTTATTTTAATTTTATTCATAAAAATAAAAGGGATTTTAAGTGTTTATGCCTATGTTTCCAATATTCTTCATTATTTTATCATTTTCTTGTCTTTTCCAACATATTCTTCTTCGTTGTATAAAAGCTTCTATTTGATACAATATTGGAACATTTAATTGTTTATAAAGAATTCAAGGCCAACTTCAATCAAAATAAAATGAATAATGATCACCTAAAATTTTTGATTTGAAACAGAAAAAAAATAATAAGCTTACAGGCATTAAACAAGGCAGTAGAAGAGCATAATAGCTTTAAAAAAACTATTTTAATTTTACGAGATTAAAATTCCTTACGTATCAGCACTATTAAAAAGCTCCAAAGTTGATTCATCTACCCAGTCATCTGGTACCATGAAGGGTATTTGAGGTGGAAAAAAATTTAACTTGCCCCTATAAAAATTGAAATTTAGAAGAAAATCATTAGCAACCCAGCGATCTTTAATTATTTACCTTTTAATAATTTACCATTTTGTCGCTTTCGCTTTTGTCACAGTTTCCATTTAGGGTAGAGCTAGGAATTTTGAAAAAACCGGGACCGGGTCCGGGTAACGGGTTCTGAAAAATGGACCGGCCGGGTTCCGGGTCCGGGAAACCGGGAAAACCCGTTCCCGGTTTCAACCCGGTCTAGAAATGGGCGGGTCCCGGCCGGGAAACCGGGTTTTTTTATTTGTTGAAATGGGGCTGTATTTTTCATCATGGGGCTGTATTTTTCAACTATCCTCCTATACGATTTTCGAAGTTTAGATGGTAATGAAGCCAGAACTCTTAAATTTTCTGCGCACAAGCGAAAATTTTGGAAAATTCATGATTAAATTAAAATTTCTAATATTTTTTCAAGTAAAATCTTAAAAAAAAAATAAATTTGCAAATTTAAAATCAAAATCAAAGTTTAAAATTATTTTTTTAAAAAGAAAATTTTCTCAGCCCCACTTCCATACATGGATTCGAACCCCATCCCCATAAATTGACTAGATGAGTGAAGTCAGTCAATTTAACCACTCAATCATCGACCAATAAAGGGAAATATTGGAAATTATAAATATTCCTTTCCCTTTTCCTTCAAAAATTTAATATCGAAGTACGAAAATATACTAAATATTTTTCCCGGTTTCCAGGTGAAAAAAAAGCCGGGACCGGGTCCGGGTAACGGGTTCTGAAAAATGGACCGGCCGGGTTCCGGGTCGGGAAACCGGGAAAACCCGTCCCCGGTTTCAACCCGGTTGCTTCAAAAAAACCGGGAAAAAGGACCCGGAAACCGGGTTCCGGGTCCGGGTCCCGGACCCGTTCCTAGCTCTAATTTAGGGGGAATCATTGAGTCTCGCCGGTTGTGTCCCTGGCCATATTTTGGTCATAACTTTTTCGATTCTTAATCGATTTAAATAAATAATATATCAATCGAAAGCTCTTGATGTAAGGATTATTTTATCTAGCAGTATTGATTTGATCAGATCAATATAGAAAAAGTTACAGCCTGATAAAGATCAAAAATCACGATTGCGCGCACTTATCTAGATGTAACTTTTTGTAGCATGATCTTATCAAATCAATATAGTTGGCGAAAATAATCCTCATATTCATGGCTTTAAAATGAAAAAAATTTATTCGAATTGTTTGAAAACCCAAAAAGTTATTGATCGAAATATGGCTCAGGGACTCAACCAGCGGGACTCAGTGATCCCCAGCCAAAAATTTTTTTCTAATTTTTCCTTTATTTTTAAAAATTTTTGATTATTAATTAAAATTTTATTTTTATTTCCTTTATTAAATTTTAGCTAAAAAAATGTCTTCTGACCAGTCTCGACTTTTACTCCAAAAACAATTAAATGACCTTACAAAAAATCCTGTTGATGGTTTTAGTGCGGGTCTTGTCGATGAAAGCAATGTTTTTTTTTATTTTTTTCAATATTTTTTAAAATTTTTAGATATACAAATGGCAAGTGTTCATAATGGGACCGCCTAGCTCGCCATAGTAACTTTTCAAAACAATTTTAAGGTTATTTTTTTATTTTCAGTGAAGGCGGAAATTTTCGTGCAGAGCTTATCTTTCCAAAAGACTATCCATTATGTCCACCTACAATGCGGTTTATTTCAAGAATTCTTCATCCTAATAGTTTGCTTTAAATTTTATATTTATTTTAATTTTTATATTTATTTTAGTAGACCGTGAGGGAAATGTCTGCATTTCTATTTTGCATGAGCCCGGAGACGATAGATTTGGATATGAAAAGGCAAGTGAACGTTGGTTGCCTGTACACACTGTTGAGACTATTTTAATTTCTGGTAATGTTTTTCGGTTATGTTGTTTCCCTCTCCCGCCAAATTTCCACAAGGAAATTTTGTGAAATTACGCAAGGAAGAAATTACTATATTAAAAGAAAATCGGTTAGGGGAGGGAAACGACATAAGTACCGTTTTTTGATATTTAAAAAAAATTTTTTAAGTTATTTCAATGCTTTCTGACCCAAATTTTGACAGTCCTGCCAACGTTGATGCAGCGGTATTTTTTGTTCAATAATGCTTTTTAAACTATATATTTTAGAAACTCTATCGAGAAAATCCAGCGGAATATAAGCGACAGGTTTTGAATTATTTAAATTTTGAATTAAAAAATATTTTTTAAAGGTCGCTAGATGTGTTCGAGAGACCGAAGAATTATAACAGCCCACAAACATTTCAAAATAAATTGATAACTCAAAAATATGTTTGTTTGTCTTTTTATGCGGTATAAAAGTTATTTTTAATTTATTTTTTGAATAATTAGGATAAGTCAACTCCCCCCGAAATCAAAACACTAGAGTACGGTTTTTGTAACGACAATTATATTTTATCAAATGAAAGCTTCATTCCCCCTTTTATATTTTATTTCCCCTTTATTAAATCTAATATTTAAAAATTAGACTAATCTTTAAAAAATAAACAGTTGTTGTCATCTCCCTTCAAAATTAAATTAATATATTTTTTAATTTAACACAACTGTCGTCTCTTTATTTAATACAAACTTTCAATTGTTTATTTTTATGTGGCTAATAACCTGATACTTTCCCCCATACCAAAAACTATGGGGACATATCACATTCTATTAAATAAAAGTAACATTTGATCCATCAAAAAAATTTTTTGTTGGGTTTTTGTGTGATTATCGAAAGCAAATCAAAAATCTTTTCGGACATTAAAATGGCCAATACAGATAATACAACTTTAATTACTAATTTGTGTACTACAAAGTTTGCAATATTAAAATGGCTTCAAATGCTTTGTTATATTATTATTGTATTTTTCCTTATTGATGGACACAGACAATGGGGAATATATACATTTGTTTGTATTTTAATTAGATCCGGGATTTTGTTCTGTACCTTTTTCTCTAAATTTTAAAGATGTTTATCTGTGCAATAATTTTTGGCATTTTATGTTTGGCAACATTACTTATAAATTATTTTCTCTCTCAACCTCGTGCTACTCATCAAAAAATTGTATAAAAATTAAATATAATTATTAACGGGATCAACCCAGAAGGACAAATCCAAATATTTGGGGGATTAAGGGGCGTAAAACGGAAATTCTCTCGTGCATCCGTCAGATAAGGCTGGATTTGACCTTCTGGGGTGGGCCCATTAATAAAAACATTATTTTAAGGAAATTATCTTCAATGTTATTGCATTAGTAAGATTTTTTCATAACTTTAAAGTAATTTTAAATACAAAAAAAAAGATTTTTTGCCTTATATTTTTTGGCATTCTGGCGGTTGATTATGCAAAAATGAATTCTGGCAATTACAATTTCCACAAATATTTGCCTCCGCCTAATATTGGAAAGTTTGTTATTTTTCTACAATTCTTTATATGGACAAGAGGACGGTCGGAATTCAGATTTCCTACGGTTTTTTTATTTTCGAGTTCCGACTTTAGATCGATTTCCGACCGCCCCATGATTTGAACTCACAAATGAGATTTTTGACTAAAATCTCGCCAATAAAATTCTCAGAACCCTAGATTCGAAAAACTCGAACCCCAATTTAGATTAACATTTTTATTTTTAGAGAGGGTTGGCGAAACAGAATCCTTGTTGTTCTGGTTTGTCTTTTAAATTTACCCAACTGTTGATTAACTTAATTTAGATTACTGAAGCTCTAACTGCAATTCTCCATGGACTTTCAATTTTCGGAATTAAAAAATAACCTAAATATATTTAAAGATATTCAAATTTCTCATTTAAAATAACGAAATTAAATAAAAGTGAACAAAAAATTTTTTTAATTTTATAGTAACAAACCCTTGAAGAGATAAAAAAGGAACAAAGAATATTTATTAAAAAGCTGTGTATTTTTGTTGTTTTTAGTTATTAATTCTTCCTCTTATTTTCCTAAGCCTTCCCTGTTGTTTCTTAAGCCTCAACGCCTTTTTGTTGTTTTGCCTTTTACAGTCTTTTGCTTGATCACAGCAGTTTTTCCTTTTACTTTCTTTTGTTTGGTCACAGCTTTTTTGCCTTTTACACCCTTATGTTTAACGGCAGCTCTTAAAAAGAAAAATTATCAGATATCTTTAATCTTGTATAGTTTAAAATCTTACTTGGAAACCATATCGCTCGGTGGGTCTTCTATAATACTTTTAGGAGGCACCTTCATTTTCTTTTTGCAGCAATGGACAATGAAATTGATGAAGAACAGCGGCACACATAAATGGGCACAATAGAGCAAAAGTATAAATTTTGTAGAATCAAAGATGAGTACTGCATTTGCTAGTAACATGGCGGCACAAATAGAAGATGCTGCTTAATGCTCAGGGTTGCTTTTATAATAAGGAAATGTAGCGGAAGAAATCTAATATAAAAAGTAGCTCTAGTCAACACAACATAATCTAACGCTGCGACTTAGTAAGTCAACTGACGCTGCGACTCCCAATCGAATACAATGACCGTCTTCGATCCGACGACCTTTGTGTTACTGCTCTACTGTGTCGATCTCTGTGTGTCGCTGTTCGCCATCGCTTTTGCTGTCCAATGCTGCAAGAAGAAAAAGAAGACGAAGGATGTCAAGAGCTCTGTGAAACAACCACCGGGCGACACGAAATCTGGGTATGTTGCTCTATTTTTTAGTCTTTGTTAAACATTTAATTAAGTAAAACGAAGGAAGGAAAGGACAAACCTGCGGTCAATAAGTCTATCGACAAACCTCTACTCCCTGGTGCAGATGCTGATGCCAAGTCAAGGACCGATAAAACCAAGTCAGTTGGGACTGCCGCCACAAAATCCAAAACTGAAGACGATGCAAAGACTGCAAAGTCAAAGATGGGAGAGAAGTCAGGAATGGCGAAGACTGCGATACCCTCAGCTTTAGGAGCAGGAAAACCGCCGCAAGGACCAGTGAAGCCAGGTGCACCTCCTGTACCGGCACCTCCTGGGGCACCAGCTGGACCGCCAAAACCTGGAGCGCCGCCACCTTCTGGAGCAAAGCCATCGACCGTTCCTGGAGCAGCACCACCACCAACTGGAGCAGCACCACCACCCGCAGGAGCAACTCCACCTCCAGATTCTACAGAAGGCATCAAATCAAAGAAGGAAGATGTCAAATCGAAGAAGGAAGACGTCAAATCGAAGAAGGAAGAGCCAGCAAAACCACCTGAAGCGGGCAAGGGAGAGAAAGGCGTGAAGAGTGATGTTGGACTACGAGTAAGTTTTTAAACTAAATAAATGTTACTCTCTTTAAAATGTTTTTTAGTCAGATAAAGCTGCACCCGATCACAGCGACAAGGAATCGAGTGGTACGGAGAAGAAGGAGGGAGAAGCAACACCACCTATCGGTGACGAACCGCCTAAGGAGGAAGACAAGAAAGGCGACGAGGGCGGTGCTGAAAAAGCTGAGAAGGAAGAGAAGGCTGAAGATAAAGAAGAAGAGAAGGAGGAAAAGGAAGAAAAGGAGGAAGAATAATGATGAAAGAATAAATAAATTTCCAGTGCCTCTCTCCTCGTAATTGTTGCCCTTTCTTTGCCAGAATATTTTGTTTTCCACTAAAAATAATTGTGTGGCAATAAATGCCCAAATATATTATATTCAATTGATTTCAAATATAATTGTCATCAATTTATTCTCAATTATTCTTCTATAATTCCAAAAATACTTTTGTTTTTTGGAAAAAATGTTCTAATATTTCATGTATATGATCCTATTCTTATTGTACATATCTCGATAATTATAAATTGCCATTGTTGTATTCCTTGTCAATAAATTGTGATTTTTTAAAGGTTTTTTTAAAGAACCTAACTGTTGTTCATGGTAGTCCCTGAAATTTAATTGCGATTGCACATTTCCCCAAACAATTCTTCAATTGCTGCTTCATCATCTTTGCTTAGTTTCAAGGGTTTATTAGACTGCTGACTAAAAAACTTAGGATGTTGCATTTTAAAACAATTTTTACATTGAGGTATAAGCCATTTTATAATAACGATTCATAACGGAATTACGGAAAGTAGAATGGCGTAAACCTAAAGCATGTCCTATTTCGTGAACAGCAACATAGCCTTGAAAATAACAAATTCTCGTTCAAAATTCAAATTAATTTTACGCAAATCCAGAACAGTTTGTTGTTCTTCTTTACTCTTTGTAGAGTCAATAGAGCGCCGTTCCCTGTTTATTTTCCACTTTTTCCTTCGATTCCAATTATTCGTTACTGAATCCTGAACAGGAGAAATATTAATATACTAGCTTTGCTTTAAAAACCTCTTGGTTTTCCCTTCCCAAATCCCAATATTCGCTCGCATCAAAATGAACAATTCCCAATGGTGGGTATGCCGAATGAGCAACAAGACCTCCACGTCCATCAAAACTTTCGGCATCTCCATGTGCAAAACCAGCAAAAAAAATGTCAATATCCGCAACCCGTCTAACATTCATTAAAGAAAAACGGGTAACTGGTGAGAGATCAGTTAATTTAATAAATCCTCTTCCATTTCTGTTGTCATTATTACCAACTTGTGACCATAAATGTATTGCGTCTGCAATTACGCGCCTTTAAAAAGTAGGAAAAATTAGATTTAAAAAATAACAAACTTAGTTTGCGCAAAAAGCTCGTCTGATGGAAATAAACCATAAGGATCACGAAAAGACCAAGTCAGTCGACAAGTATTCCAACGTTGACTATGAAGAACTAATAGGTATTATATGTAGTTGGGGGGAAATTGAGGGGAATATCGGCTAATTTGAAGGGATTAAGGGGACAAGTAGGATCGGAGGATTAAAGTGAATAAGTAAACTACCGATCGGAATACCGAAAAATAACGTCGGTAGTAAGATACCGTCCGATCACTAATTATATGCAACTACTTAGAACGAGTATCCTAAGAAATTTTTTGTATTACTAACCAAAGCGTTTGTTTACTTTATGTTGTTTATTTAAATTTTTAGAAGTAATTTTCAAAGAAGGAATAATTAAAGCTGACAATGAATGAGATGATGATAAAAAATCACAAAATAAAATTAAAAATAATATTTTAAGCTTAAAGAGGTAGGAGAAAAGGATTCTTCTCATTTCTTTTAAAATGAAATCCATGGTCAATTTATGAATAAATACTTTTTTAATTGAAGATTTCAAAAGGAGATTATGAAAAAAAGCCGACAAACATGTTTTTTAATTATGAAAGGAAAAACCGGAAGTTTTACTCGCTTATTGAGAAATAAAAGAAATTGAGAGGGGATCGGGAATTGTTTTAGGTTTTCAAAGGTGGACTAGAAGGAAAAATAAATTTCAGTTTACTTTAAAATTTAATTTACAAAAAAACAACCTCAACTTTAAAATAAAAATTACACTAATGTAAAAACCTATCGTCTCAGATAAACAGTCTTTTCTCTTCTTTTATCACGCTTCTTCTTTCCATCAGTATTTTCATCGATTTCAGGAGCAGGTGCAAAAAACCAAGGTCCAAGCAATTTTGTCCATAATTTGTAAAATCCAAACATTGGTAGAATCAACAAAAGTAAATAAAAATAGGCAGAAAATAAACTCAGAATTTGTACCAAAACACTCAAAATAACAACATCTTTGCAATACCTTAAAACAAAAATTTAAAAAAATATAAAAAAACAATTTTCTTACTCTCCAAATGCCTGGGGATCATTAAGATCGAGACCAGCATCAACAATTTGATTTTTTTCGTTTCGTGCATTCTTCATCTATAATTTTTAAAAGTCAAATGATTATAATTTAAAAATTAATAAACCATAGAAAACATTAATCCAAGAGAAGAAAGCTGGCAAATGGTACTGACAATAAGACCTATCTAATTAAAAAGGCCTTTTAATATTTTTAATTTAAAATAGATCGAATATTGTGACTTATTGGGGAGTTTTTAGTTTCTGGAACGGTTGATGAGGTGTCAGTCGACTAACATAAGCTCGGCTAACTTTTCGAATGAGATTTCGCACATTCAAACTCTCCATGAAGTACCGAACACTTCGAATGGCACATAGTAAATGTCACAGAATAAAAAGCTCCCTACAGGTCACAATGCCCATAAATCCAAGTAAATATAATCCAAAAACAAACCCAATCTCCACGTGTAGCATTTAATACAAAGTAATTTAATATTCCAACAATAGTCAAGGATGTAAAACTAGCAAGTGAATACGCAATTAAGGTTTGTCTATTTTCCTCATAAATTTGTCGCTGGCCACGAGCTGCTTGCTTGACATGTTTCTGGCTCATTTTATAACTGCACAAAAGTATTTGGAACAAAAAGTAAAAATAACACCAAAATAAAAAATAAAAGTGCAAAATTAAATGCATACACAATATAAACATTAAACTCAAAAATACTAACAATTTATCAAAAAAAATAAAACCAAATTTATATTGTAAATAATTAACAAAATCTTGTGTTGTCAGAAGAAAAAAACAAACACAAAAGTTGTACGCATACTTATCAAAAACTTAAAAAAGATCTTCATTCCTCTTTTTAATTATAATCGCCATATATATCCTTCTTAATGGAGTATGAGACGGAAGATTTCATTTGAAATATAGAAAGAACCAGTAGTATTTGGTTTCAACACAAAACAATGATTGAACGAATTAACTGGATCATCATCCGTCTAATTTAAAAATAAGAGTAATTTGGAAAAAATGAAAAACCTTCAATTGCCCAATAACAGTAACAAGAATCGATCCGTCTGGAAGAGGTTGACAATCAGTCTGAAAAATGAAATCAAATACCAATTATAAAATAAAAATACCATAGTAATAGCATGCTGAATGGAACGAAATTGCAACGATCCAAACTTTTCCAAAATAGCAGCCCGACCTCTAACCGGAGTTCCTTCAAAAGTCATAAATGATAGATCAGCATCGTAAAGGTCAGTAAGACCAGCAGTACGAGCAGCTACATCAGGAACGTCAAATTTGCTATAGTAATGTGCTATAAATGCCTAAAGAATTTTTTGATAAAAAATTGATAACGAAAGTGTACCTGTCCGACTTGGTCAAAGTTGGTATTATAAGCCATAGCTAATAATAAAAGAAATATTATTTGGTCAATTCCTTTAAATTAAAAAAAATAAAAACAGATTGAAAAAAAATAACATGAAAATATTTTCAATGACATGCAACTTATTCCGTTAATTCGTTCAAATTTACCCGTCGAAAATTTGAGTAAGACTCAGATAGAAAAGAAAATTTAATGGGATGTATTGTCCTTAAACAGAATGCCAAAAACAAAATTTATCAAAAATCACGAGCAAATTTAGTCATGAAAAGTCATTAACATCCTCCCTTCCGGGGTTCCCTCAAAGTTCCTCGTTATTCCCATTAGGAGATTAACCTAAGGATTATCCGGAGATTATCCAAAATCAAAGTAAATCCAGAATTTAGAAAAAGTGACGCCAAATATATTTAAACCAAAATCTCGCGCTAACAATACAAAATTAATTTTGTTAATTTTCGTTTTGGAAAGTGTTGAAGTGTCAATTGTGTCTATTTTGTCGATTTGTTGAAACATTGCGAAAATTAAATTTTCACACGCTAAATTTTTTTAATTTATACGGGCCTTTAGAATTTAAAATTTATTCTCTTTTTCTAGATATTTACAGCAATTATGGAAGTAATGTTCAACTTTGGTTATCTTCCTCGAATAGGATTTCCAACAGTAAAGAACTATTTAATGTTCAGCTCCATACTTTTCTTTAGCGGATTTTATTATTACTATAGAATTGTTCAAACTCTTGGAACTACTTTAAATGTTTGTTTTATTTATTTTACAGTTCTAGTGGGTTTTAGTTCTAGTGGGTGCCATTGTTGCATATAATCACACCAGATCCCCCGATATCCTCTTTATTACTCCGACTTTTCGATATTCCCTTTTGGCATCCTATTAAAAGGTTGTAGGTCTTCAGTGGCAGTAGTCATTTTTGGCAAAGGCCTCCAGGGTCAATAGGTCTTTAGAGTATATGTCTTAAGTGCTCGTTCTAATCCTTCAATAAATTGATTTATAAAGTTTTAAATTTTAGTTAAATATTGAACACAAAGAAGATGACGTTGAATTACACGAATCTTTTACGGAAGAAAATTTTGCCAGAAAATTTATTCTGGTTGTTCAGAAACATCGTCTTCTCTTTTATGTATATTTTTTTATTTATTTGTTTAGTCCTATAATTTAATTTTTAGATTCTCCTCAATACCTGTTGTGCCATTGTTGCATTTTTTGGTAAAAAATCTATCGAATTCCTGTATGGTCGATTAACTAATCATGTATAATTTTTTATTTTAAATAATTCATTTATTACTTTTCAGGAAGAGTCGACTCTTAGAAAATATTTTAGACGCTTTGTTCAAACAAAGCTTACTTTTTTAATTTTTATTTCACATCACAACTTGTTGGAAGATATTCTCTGTTGGACACCTTGGTTAGCCATTCAAATTGTTTGTTTACTGATTTTGGAATTGGCAGAATTACGCGTTGCAAATGTAAAAATATTTTAAGTAATTTTTTAAAGTTTGTTTTTAAGACATATAATAATGTTTCTTCAAATGTGTCTATCCGACGCCGTGTTTTTATTGCTTCTGCAACAACTAATATTTTTGCTATTTCGATGATTTTCTTTGTTTTTGGAATTAAGGATTATATTATTTTCAATTATACTCTATTTCTTTTGGCTGACGTGAGTTTCAATTTTTCGTATTTATCCGTTATCCGTCCACAAACTGTGAGTGGTAACTTCTTTGGGCTTGTTCCAATTCAAATGAATCATAGCATTCGAAAACCCTTGATAAGCGGTATCTTTTTTATAAGATCTTTCGATATAAGATTCATTCGGATTGTCCAAAAAAGTTATAACCGATCAAATTCGGCTTGAACTCAATTTGTTGGTATATAATGGATAAATTTTAAATAATTATTGAACCATTAAACATACTCTAATTTTATCCAGTGTTTAATCCTTCTTATTCAATCAATTCATTTATTCTTTAAATTATTTATTCTCCAAGATTTAAATACACAAAATTTAATTCAACAACAACAGGGAAGCACTTATTATATCGATTTTATTTATGGATTATTTCGAGATTGTTTAGAATTTGCAAATTATCTACATATGATTTTTTATTCTCATTTGGCCATTACATATTGTTGTGTTTTTCTTATTATTCAAGCACAATATTATTATGGCCGTATTTCTTCAAAAATTAGAAAACATTGGCAGCAAAGGGAAATACTTTTACATATTAGCAATAGGTTATTCGTATTTTAATTTTAAAAATGGAATTTTTTAGTTATCTACCAGCCAATGAAGAAGATTTGTTGAAGAATTCTCAATGTCTTATCTGTTGGCAACATATGAAAAGTGCTCGAAAACTTCCTTGTTCTCATATGTAATATTTTTTTTAAATTTAAAAAATAAGAATTTTAGTTTCCATGAGCATTGTTTGCGTCGTTGGCTTGAACAAGATTCTAGTTGTGCTGTTTGTCGAAAGTCTTTGTCATTTAATTTGAATAATTTGCGTCAACACCACCAACAACAAAATAATATTAATCCTATTATTGCTGGTGATGATGTCGGGCAGGCAATGCAAATGATTGTAGAAATATTCTCACCTCACAATAATCGAATAATTAGATGGATATCTCGATTTGTTTATGATTCTATAAGTGAGGAACAGGTTAAAAACAATTTTTAAATATAACATTGGGATGGGTTCTATTAGAATATTTACGGCATATTTTTTGTAGGTAAATTCAATGGTTAATCAAGTTGCGGAAATGTTTCCTCAAATTCCTGTTGATCAAATTCGCCAAATTGTAAATACTACTGGTTCTGTTAGTGGTTCTGTTGATACTTTATTACAACAGAATAACCCTGCTGGAGCTATTAATAATGTAGAAGTAAATCAAGATGCTCAACAAAATGCTGGTATTCAATTTGCTGAAGAAGCTGCTAGTGGTTCTGAGGATGATGATGATGGAAGTTTTATTACTAATACTTCCGAAGATCAAGAGGATGGACAAGTATATATTTTTTAGTTTTTAAATTTATTTTCCAAATTAATTTAAAGCAAATGACGGATGATGAAGAGCATCAAAATCTTAATCAAGAAGTTCCTCAATCATCATCACACTTGTTACAATCTTCTTTACAACCTTCACAAATGATTCGACCACAAGGATTTATTAAGACAAAAAATGAATGGCTTAATGGTCAAATGACAAAAATGCTTATTGATAGTAGAAGGTTTATTTTCTAAGGATCTTTTTTTTTGGATTAGGATGACTTTTGTTGGGTTAGAATGACTTTTATTAAATTAAACTTCATTCAATTTTATTTTACAATTTTCTTTTTTAGAAGATATCTTTCGTCTTCTAGAGGACAAGACTTGGCCAGATTAAATTTTAAAGTATTATGCGAAGGTTCTGGTCTTTAATATACTATACATGTTTTATTAAATGTTAAAATTCTATTTGATTAAAATTAAATATTATTTAAATGAAAAATGTATTAATTGGTGGCCGCATTTAATCGTTTTCATATATTAAATATGTGTAGTATATAATTTTTCTTTAAAATTGTCGATCACTCATACATTTTTCTGACATGTATATGCACTCTTATTTTTTATACATTATATTCTCTAGAAATTAAAAAAAACTTATATAATTCATATCTAATTACCTGAATGTTTTTTCATTTTAAAATACTTTTTGTTTATGTTTTTAATATTTTTTAGAGTTTTTAGAAATTTTAAAAAATGGTTGATTCATTGCTAGCTGCATATGGTTCTTCTCAAAATTGCCAATTGTCTTTTGTGGATACGGACGAGGAATTTCAGGTTTTTAAATTATTTCTTTTTGTTTAAATCTGTTATATTTTAAGGCTGGTGTTGTGACTCAACAAGATGCTTCGCAAAATGATTTTGCTACACAGTTGTCTGTTGCATCGCAAGATGATGGAGTGTCTAGAGGAGTTCCATCAACGACAGTTTTATCGGAATCGCAGACTGAACCTGATTTAAACTTTCAAGATGACGATGAATTTGGCGATTATATTCCTCCGCATGCTTGCAAGTTTGTTTTATTTATTATTACATCAATCCTTGTTATTTTGAAGATATTGCGGCTTGTCAGACCCATCTTCTGTTGGACAATGTACTGTCTGTGGCAAATGGTTTTGTAATGGTAAAGGTAATACAGCTGGTAGTCATATTATAAACCATTTGGTTCGTGCACAACATAAAGAAGTTTCTCTTCACAAGGACGGTCCTCTTGGTGAAACTCAGGTATCTTCTGCATTTAGTCTTAAATATTCTTACAAATAATGTTTCAGCTAGAATGTTATCATTGTGGTTCAAGGTGTTTTTTTTATTTTTTACAACTTTAACTACAAATTTAGGAATGTTTTTCTTCTTGGTTTTATTCCTTCAAAGACTGATTCAGTGGTTGTAATACTTTGTCGTCAACCTTGTGCCCAACAGAATACTCTTAAAAATGCTAATTGGAGTGCTGAAGATTGGAAGCCTTTAATTCATGTTTTTTTAATAGAATTGATTTTCTTAATATTCGTTTTTTATAGGAACGTCAGGTTCTTTCCTGGCTCATTAAAATACCTTCACAGCAAGAACAACTTCGCGCTCGTCAAATAACTGCAGCACTCATTAATCGTCTTGAAGAATTATGGAAAGATAATCCTGAAGCTACTGTTGATGATTTGGAACGTCCAGGAAAATATACTAGTGAGGCCGAACATGTTTTGTTGCGATATGATGATGCTTCAGTGTATAAGTTGGTTTTTTCGCTAATTTTTAAATAATTTTTATTATCTACCCTTGAGATTTTAATATTAATTAATCAGGCGTATCTTTAATCCACTAATATCAATGGAAGCGGAATATGACAAGAAAATTAAAGAATCGATTAGTTGTCCTGTTGGTCAAGTTAAATGGGAGGTTAAATCAGCAACCAAGGTGCATGCAACTTTTCAATTGCCTGGATTTCGTGATGGAAGTTTGTGATTTATTTTATAATCTATTTTTTCGTATATTTTCAGATATGAAATTAATGATTGGAGATGATCTGCGTTTAAAACATTACCAAACATTAGATGGTAAATAATTGTTTGCATAAGCATTTATATAATTTTTATTTTCAAGGAAGTGAATGGAATTGTATGGGACGGCTCATTAAAATTCCAGACAGTGAGTTTATTTTTATTTAGTTTTTTTGTGTGAAAATTTAACAACTGGCTGGTAGTTGTAATAGAATTATCGTAGAGACAGTTATGCTCTTATCGTAGAGAGCATAACCGACCGCCACTTTCTAACCCGATTATGTGTCATTTTGCTCATTCGTATTCCTTTTTCAATTTAGATCATAATGAAGACTTTTCTTTGGAAATGTTTGCAAGTAGCAATAAAATTCCTACTGATAGACGTACAAATTTTATATGTGAATATGTTTGGAATTCTACATCTTTTGACAGGTCTAAAAATTTTAAAATAAGGTTTTAATTTAAATATTTAAGAATGTTTGCTGCGCTTGGACGTTTGGAATCTAAAGAAAATTGTGTTTCACAATATATTTATCATAAATTAATGGGGCATGATGTTGATGATATTTTGTTTAAGGTTTAATATTGTAGTTTGATTTTTAATTGTTTATTTCTTTAAGCTGGTTATGCCTAAGAAATTTTCGGCTCCTGGACTTCCTGAATTAAACCACAGTCAAATTTCTGCAATTAAAGCTGCTTTACAACGTCCACTTTCATTAATTCAGGTTTATAAATTGAAATTTGATTGGTTTGATGATCTTGTTTTCAGGGTCCTCCAGGAACAGGTAAAACTGTTACATCAGCCACGCTTGTTTATCATCTTGTAAAACAAACAAGCGGTCAAGTTCTTGTTTGTGCACCTTCAAATATTGCTGTAGATCAATTAGCTGAAAAAATTCATAAAACTGGCTTGAAGGTTATCCGTTTTTGTGCAAAAGGACGTGAAACTGTTGATAGTTCTGTCGCTTTTTTGGCATTACATAATCAACTTAAAGCGCTTCAATCGGGAGAACTTTTTAAATTAATGAAATTAAAAGTAATTTTTGACCTTTTGTTTAAAATATTTTCCTTAATTTAAAGGAAGAAATTGGAGAACTCTCACAGGCTGATCAAAATCGTTTCATGTCGCTTAGACGTCAAAGAGAGAATGAATTGTTATCTAAAGCAGATGTAATTTGTTCAACCTGTATTACTTCTGCAGATATTCGTTTGGCTAAAAAAGAATTTCGGTAATATTCTTTGTTTTTATCATTTAAATATATTTTTTTAATTGAATTCAGTTGTGTTCTAATTGATGAAAGCACACAAGCTACTGAACCTGAAGTAATGGTTTCTGTTGTAAAAGGTGCTCGTCAGCTTGTATTAGTTGGTGACCATTGTCAACTAGGTTGTCTAAATTTTAAAATTTTGTTTTTATTTTAAAAGTTATATAGGCCCAGTAATTATGTGCAAAAAATCGGCAAATTCTGGTCTTGGTCAATCTCTTTTTGAACGTCTTGTGATCCTTGGAAACCGACCTTTACGATTGCAAGTTCAATATAGAATGCATCCTGTTTTGTCATCCTTTCCTAGCAATGTATTTTATGAAGGTTCTTTGCAAAATGGAGTTGCCGAAAGTTTGTTAATTTAAAAAGTATCATTTTAAATATATTCTAGTGGAACGAAAACTTGACAACTTTTCTTGGCAATTCCCTAATCCGGATAAACCAATGATGTTTTGGAATTGCAATGGACAGGAAGTAAATATCTTAAATTTTAAAGAAATGGAAAACATTATTTCAATTTATAGGAACTTGGCTCTTCCGGAACTTCATATTTGAATAGATCTGAAGCTGTGAATGTTGAAAAATTTGTTACGCGATTGCTACAGGCTGGATTTTCTCCCGAACAAATTGGAATTATTACTCCATATGAAGGTTTTTGTCATCTTTAATTTGTATTTTAGCTATTTTGTGCTTACTATTAATAGGTCAACGAGCATATGTTGTTCAATTTATGCAAACTCAAGGATCACTTCATAGCAAATTGTATTTAGATATTGAAGTCGAGAATGTTGACGCCTTTCAGGTTATACATTTAGGATAATTTTATAAAAATTAATTTTTTTCTATTTCTCAGGGTCGAGAAAAGGATATAATAATCGTTACTTGTGTTCGGTCAAATGAGGCTGGTGGTATTGGTTTTCTTAACGATCCACGTCGTTTAAATGTTGCTTTAACACGTGCAAAATATGGTTTAATTATAATTGGAAATGCAAAAGTTTTGAGTAGACAATCATTATGGCATCATTTGTTAGTGACATTTAAAGAGAATGACTGCCTTTTTGAAGGACCTTTAAATAATTTGAAGCCATCTCCAATAACTTTTCCTAAACCAAAACCTTTGACAGCTCAACATATGCCTGTGAGTGTTGAGATTTTTGAGCATAATTTATGATAAATTCCATAATATTTAAGGGATCCCGTTATGTAAACCGAACTCTTGGTTTTACAATGAAAGAACTTGGTATTGGTCCATATGCTTCTATTCGTTCTGTTCCTGTTGTTCAACAGCATCCATTACAACAATTTCAAGATCCACAGGGAATGATTTATCCAAATTTTCCTATGGGAGCTCGAGCATTAGGGTAATTTAAATTATTTTAAATTAAAAAAAATTATTTTTAAGCTCTCAACTACCTGTTCCTATCCATATGTTCTCTTCTTTTGTACCTGCGCCTCCACAAATGCCTCCAATGCCACCTCCACACCCAATTCCATTGAATTCAATTCATTTATCTGGAGTAAATAATGGAATTGGAGGAACAACGAGAAAGAAAATGTCTAAAAGATCTAATTCTCAACGAAGTTCAAATAGTACCAGTAGTACCAATATTATAAATAATTTCAACTCGCAAGCTTCACAAGAACAATTTCTTCCAGGAGTAGGATTTATTAGCCAAAATTCTCAACTTTCACAAGGAGGAATTTACAGTGATTACGGTTTTAGTTTTTTTAATATTATTTTTTTCAAATATTTTTAAAAGATGGCTCTCAACTAGGAGGAGCTTCACAATCACAACAATTTCAATTTCAACATCAGGCTCTTCCTTCAATGCAATTTAGTCAACAAAGAGATTTGGTTGAACAACAATTGCAAAATTTAATGCTTTCTCAGCAATCTGAAGCAGCCAGAAAGCATTGAAAGACTTTGGACAAATTATAAATCAGTGCTGATTAATGTGTGCAAAAGGTTTTTACAATTTTTAAAAATTACAAAAAATTCTTTTTTTATATTTAAGGACTTTGGATTCAAGCTCCAATAACAAAAAATGAAACTAATGGATGGTTAATGTTTTGATTATTGTTTAGAAGAAATAGAATTTTTGGGTGGATTTTAACAGTGAAAAAATAAGTCTTCAAATTTATAATTATCCCTTATTTCCCTAAATATTTGTGTGTGGATTTTATTAGATCATTAAAAGCTGTGATATATTTTACTAAATAAAAACGTTTCTATAAACCAAAATCTGTTAACCAAATCGTGCAGGTTTTTTGTAAAATCTTTAATCACAGCTTTACTCTCTCTTTATGGATTGGATAAATATTTTGTGTTGACTATATTTTCTTGTTTTATTTTTGTTAAGAATACTATATTTACTTTATAATTTTAAAAAATCATTACTAGAATAATTACAAAATTTATTATAATAAATATGGAGAACAATAATGATGTTGATTGTCTTCCACTAGATGACGAGGAAAATGGTTTATCCCCTGCAAAGAAATTTCCTAAAAAATCTACTGGCCGAGAGAAGGTTCATTAAAATTTTTAATTTTGTTTATCATTTTTTTAATTTAGAAGGGGCAAGGAGTTCGCCAAAACTATGTTATTCGAGAGATTATCCCAGTGAATGAAAAGCTTTTTTCTTTTTACCGTCAACAACAGATTATTCCAGAATCAGAATGGGACGATTTTGTATCTGCTTTAAGGTTTGTTAGTCTACACTTAACCGAAAATGAAATGACATGTTTAAGGAGAGAGTTGCCTGTATCTTTCCGAATTCAATGCTCTCTTCGGTAAATTAAAAAAAAATTCTTTAAATTCTTATTAAATAATTTAGTGAAAGGGATCATTTAGATGAATATATACAATCAAAATTTGTTAAAAAAATTGAAAATATTGCAAAAGATTCGCCTGAAATTGATCCTCCAAGAAGAGTCCCTTTTGTGCCATATGCTTATCAAACAAAAATGTCTAGAGCTTCAATTCGAGGACATCCAATTTTAAAAGATTTGCATGAATTTCTTATTAATGAAACTGAATTGGTTTGTTTCTTATTTTTTTCCAGAAATTTTTTTAATTTTTTAACCTTAGGGTTATATAAGCCGTCAAGAGGTGTGTAGTATGATTCCACCGCTTTTTCTTGATATTCAACCACATCATTTGGTGTTAGATGCATGTGCTGCTCCAGGAAGTAAAACTGCACAAATAATTGAATTAATGCATGTTTCATCAACAAATCCAAGTATTTTCTCATTTTATTTTTTATAATTTATTTGAAAATTTAAAGGTGGAATGGTTGTTGCAAATGATATTGATTATAAAAGGTTGGAGGTTTATTTTTAATTTTTTGAATAGTGTATGTATTTAAGATGTTATTTACTTGTCCATCAAACATTAAAAAGAATGCCAACAGCTGGTGAGATTTTAAAAGTTTATTACATTACTAAATTAAATAATTAAGATGTTGTTGTTGTTAGTCATGATTCTGGTCAATTCCCAGTTATGCTAGATTCTAACAAACAACCATTACTCTTTGATAGAATTTTATGCGATGTTATTTGCAGGTTTTTTTATATGCAATTGATTTGAGATTTAAAATGGATATTTTAGTGGTGATGGGACTTTTCGAAAAAATCCGGAATTGTGGAATAATTGGGAACCAATGAAAGGTTTTTATTTATTTTTAAAAAAATATTTTTAAATTTTAAGGAATTCATCTTCACAAATTACAATTACAAATTGCTCGTCGTTGTTTTGAACTTCTTAAACCTGGAGGTTTGATGTGTTATTCTACTTGTTCTTTGAATCCTTTGGAGGATGAAGCTGTAATTGCACAATTATTAAGACATTTTAATAAAGAAATTGAATTAGTAGATATTTCTGGAAAAATTCTGGATTTAAAAAGAACAAAAGGAATTAGTTATTGGAAGGTTTTTTTATGTTTGTCAGTTTAATTTCTAAATTTTTTCTAAGGTTTTTAACAAAAATCTGGAAGAATACTCTTCCATAGATGATGTTCCGAAAGAAGCTTTACGTCATTTTAAGCCTTCAATGTTTCCTCCTAAAAGTGAAGAAATTGAATCAATGCATTTGGATTATTGTTTTAGAATTTTGCCACATCAACAAGATACTGGAGGATTTTTTGTTGCTATTTTAAGACGGAAAGAGATAGTTAAAGTAAATGTAGAAAATGATTCCACAGATGAACAGCAACAACAACCCTTGAAGCTTAACCAGCCAACAACGCTTATAAGGTTATAAATATTTAACAATTATATATTCCTAAGAGACCTCTTTGGTGTTTATTTATCAAAAGATCGACCTCAAGAGGTCAACACCCTAAAGGTAATCTTGAGCCTCTATATCCGTCCTAGTATTTGTGTTGATCTCCAGGGTCAGTTGATCACTAGGGAGATGATAGGATATTAACCTCCTGCGAGTCTGGGGTGAACCTTTTATCAAGAATATACCTAACTTAAAATTTTTAGAAAATCAACAGTTACCAGAAAAAGAAGAGGTTTTGTTCATAAAGAAGATCCATTTATTTTTCTTGCCAACCATAGTGATGAGAATGAATTAAGAGAGGCATTGAAGGAATATTTTGGCATTTTACCAGAAAATTTTTCTCATCAAAATTTACTTGTACGTTCAACAAATACTGAAAGGAAAAAAGAAGTTTATTATGTGAATGATTCTCTAAAAGAATTTTTAATAAATAATGATGGACGTTTCAAAATTGTAAATGCTGGAATGGGAATTTTAAAGAAAATTATCAATGATAAAGTATCGCCTTGTCCTTACAGAATTAAACAGGATGTAAGTTACTAGGGGAGCAAGCCGCTAGTCTAATGTACCGCTTAGCTATAACCGTTCAAGATTATTGAATCCGAGAGAATTGAATTGTACACGGGCGTCTCGGATTCGATAATTTTGGAAGAAGTTGTAGCTCGGCGATACATTGGACTCGGCGGTACGTTGGGATGTATAGTACTTGTAATTATTTAAGAATTGAAAATAAATATTTCTTTGATTTTTAGGGATTACCTATTCTTATACCCTGGATTACTAAACGAATTATTGATATACCTACCTCACTTTTCATTCGGATTTTGCATGGTGGTCAAACTAATTTAAAAGAAAAAGAAACTTCACAATATTTACCATTAATTGAACTTGGAGAAGAGGAACATTTTTTATTTAAAGGTTTTTTAAATTTTACTTTTTAATATTTATTTCTTAGAGATCATCCCAAAATGTCCCCCAATATATTTGGAGTTGACTTTTAGGTTCAAATTTGAAAAGATCAATAAGGAGTTGACTTTTTGTGGTTGACCTCTGACATAAGTGATGATTTTCTGGGGTGGACCAAGTTTTTAGAAATTCCTTCGCTTTTCTAAAGTTTCTTTTTATCAGTGCTGGGTATTGGACGTTTTGTGGCTCCGGCTCTGACTTCAAATCTTGGACCGGCTCCGACTTAAAAAAATTGGCCCAGGGCTATATCCAGCACTGATGTTTATTTTCTAATTTTTAGGTTTAGAACCAGGTACAATAATTCTCCGTCTTCTTGAGCCTTTTCCAAAAGAAGTTTGTGCTTGGATAGGTGCTAATTCAATAAGTGCTTTTGTTTCACGTGAGGAACGTTTTCATTTATTGTGCATATTGGGTGAAGATATTATCAAATTAAAAAGGAAAACTGTTACATGTCGACAGGTTAATTAATTTAAATTTTAAAATTTTCCTTCAAAAAAAAATTTTTTAGGAAAAAGCAGCAGCCAAATTAAATAAAGAAAAAGATTTAATAAATGATTTGGAGGAAAGTAAGGAGGTTTAAATAAATTTGTTTTTATTTTATTTTTGGTCCTTCGTTCATATTATACCTTCCCCTATTCGAGTCTATGATTAATTTTCCTTTTTGGTAATCATATATTTTCCTAAACAAAATGTTAAGGTGCCATACAGTGAGAAACTGCGAGTAAAAAAAAATTTTGTAGTTGGCTCCGCAGAGTTTTCTCAATGTGGAGTTGGCTCTCAGGAGTTTCTCAATGTAGAGTTGGCTCCGCAGAGTTTTCTCAATGTGGAGTTGGCTCTCAGGAGTTTCTCAATGTAGAGTTGGCTCCGCAGAGTTTTCTCAATGTGGAGTTGGCTCTGCAGGAGTTTCTCAATGTAGAGTTGGCTCCGCAGAGTTTTCTCAATGTGGAGTTGGCTCTCAGGAGTTTCTCAATGTAGAGTTGGCTCCGCAGAGTTTTCTCAATGTGGAGTTGGCTCTGCAGGAGTTTCTCAATGTAGAGTTGGCTCCGCAGAGTTTTCTCAATGTGGAGTTGGCTCTCAGGAGTTTCTCAATGTAGAGTTGGCTCCGCAGAGTTTTCTCAATGTGGAGTTGGCTCTGCAGGAGTTTCTCAATGTAGAGTTGGCTCCGCAGAGTTTTCTCAATGTGGAGTTGGCTCTGCAGGAGTTTCTCAATGTAGAGTTGGCTCCGCAGAGTTTTCTCAATGTGGAGTTGGCTCTCAGGAGTTTCTCAATGTAGAGTTGGCTCCGCAGAGTTTTCTCAATGTGGAGTTGGCTCTGCAGGAGTTTCTCAATGTAGAGTTGGCTCCGCAGAGTTTTCTCAATGTGGAGTTGGCTCTCAGGAGTTTCTCAATGTAGAGTTGGCTCCGCAGAGTTTTCTCAATGTGGAGTTGGCTCTGCAGGAGTTTCTCAATGTAGAGTTGGCTCCGCAGAGTTTTCTCAATGTAGAGTTGGCTCCGCAGGAGTTTCTCAATGTAGAGTTGGCTCCGCAGAGTTTTCTCAATATGGAGTTGGCTCTGCAGGAGTTTCTCACTATATGGCACCTTAACATTTTCTTTTCAAACTCTTGTTGTACCAGTAACCCGATGCCGTTCCCGAATTATTTTTCTCAATTCTTTCCGAACAAACTCCGCGCGAGAAACCGTCCCCGGCCTTGTAAAATTTCAGGGTATTCAACCCATAAAATCTAAGACTCAAATATGGAGGGGGATATAAACAAAGAACTTCTTGGTTTTTGTTTTTTAATAAATATAATTTTAATTTAAAAAATTTTTATTTTCAAATTAATGCTTTTATTCTTTAATTATTTTATACGTTTTTTTAAATTTAATATCCATTTTTAAATAATTATTTTAGTTATTTTATTTTAAATGTCTTCAACAGGTGCTCGTGCTGTTGGTACAGATGGAACAGATTTTAAACATCGTCAACGGGTTGCAGCTTCAATTAAATTAAGGTTTTAATATTTTTAGATTGGAGGGGCTTATTGTTTTTTAAGGGGGAGGGTGATGTTTGATGTCATATTTGGATGGAGATTCTAGGTGATTGATTTTGGTTAACCACATGGACGAGTTTTATCCAACTGAACACCTTAGGCCATTGTTAGAAATTAATTAAGCTGCTTTCCACTATCTTCCCTCGGCTTATAAGCATTTTACGGGCTTTTTCTAGTTTTTCATGGATCACGCCCTTAACCCCTGCAATATTTAAATTTTGCTTTTAAAATAGTGTTCAATACAAATTTTATTTGAAATTGCTTTTTGCTCTTCACTTTTTAATTCTTCTACCATTATGGGCAAAAGTTGGTGGTGAATTAGTTTTTGATCAATTTAAATTAATGAAACAGCCAAAACTTTGGAGAAGATTGGATCTTCCAAATGCATATCCTTGGGTTTATTTTAAATTTTTTTTAATTTTAAATTATTTTTTTAAGGAATATATTTGGTGCTTATCTTTTATTCCAATTATTTTGGCAATTCCTTCATTTCAGAAAAATAGGGTTTGATGTTTTTTAACTTTTTTTTTAATTTTATTTTTAAGCTTCTTTTGCTCAAACTTAGTTATTATTCCCAATTTTTGTTTGGAATAACACCTTGCGCAATAGTAAAAAAAAATTTTAATTTAAGAGTTTAATCCTGAAGACCAACCTATTCCTAAATGACTATTGATTCTAAAGACTTAGATTTTTGAAAGGGAATATCAAGGGATTAAGGGGGCTAGTCTCTCCCAACTCTGGAGATAGGTTCTGTATTCCCTTCAATAACATCTTTAACCAAATCTTTTTTTGAGCAATAGTAAACTTCTTTTTTGGTCTTCAGGGTTGACTCTCTAATTTAATGTTTAATTTTAAAATTATTATTTTTTTCGTTTTTAGGGCTTGGGCAGCCAATTTCCTGAATTAATAGACTATATTCGTTTTGGAGAGCAAAGTAAAGTGCCAACATTTAGTGGAAGTTTTCCAATGGTGTTTATAATAATTTTATTTTTTTAAATTTAATTTTAAAAGGTTATTCTTTGGTATTTATTTTTTCTTGCAGTTTTTCAGGTTAAAGATTCTTTGAAAAATCTTTTAAAATTTTGTTTTTAGATTCAAGGATTTTCAATGTATTTCACTTTTAATTTGTTAAATGCTTGGAGAAGGGATCCAGTAATTTTAAAACAATCGGCAGACAAAACACAAAATATTGACAAAAAAGATGAATAGATTAGTTGAAGTTATTTTTGAAAAAGATATTCTAAATGTAGTTTTTTTATTTATATATGTGTTATAAATGTTATCGATTGATATCGATTTATTGATTTTTTATCGATTTTTTGAAAAATTAAAATTTTTAAAAAATAAAATAGATTTTATCGATTGATATCGATTTATTGATTTTTTATCGATTTTTTGAAAACTACAAATTTTACAAGTTTTAGAATATCGATTTTATCGATTGATATCGATTTATTGATTTTTTATCGATTTTTTGAAAACTTCAAATTTTACAAGTTTTGGAATATCGATTGATATTGATTTATTGATTTTTTATCGATTTTTTGAAAACTACAAATTTTACAAGTTTTGGAATATCGATTTTATCGATTGATATCGATTTATTGATTTTTTATCGATTTTTTGAAAACTACAAATTTTACAAGTTTTGGAATATCGATTTTATCGATTGATATCGATTTATTGATTTTTTATCGATTTTTTGAAAATTAAAATTTTTAAAAAATAAATTATCGATTTTATCGATTGATATCGATTTATTGATTTTTTATCGATTTTTTGAAAATTAAAATTTTTAAAAAATAAATTATCGATTTTATCGATTGATATTGATTTTTTAAAATATTTTTCTCAACTTCACTCAATCGTGCACTTAATGTTACCAGACTCTAAAGACCGGTACTCTACTGTCCGTTAAATTTTAGTGGATTAAATGTCATCTATTGGGCAAATTTTATATTACGCCAAAATTGGGCAATTTTTAAAACTAAAAGGCTGAATTTGAATCGCATGATGAAAGCCAACGAACAACCACTCATTCAACTCCATTTACTTTAAGTTCTGTTAAAAAACGCGACAATTAAAACATTTTAATCAAGTTTTTTTAATCAGCATTAAAATTTTATTATTTTTATAAATTAATCTGCTTCATAATCTTCCAAAACATGTTCTAAATGTACATTATGAACTTTCTGAGTTGCTTTCTTTGGTTGTTTTCTTTTTGGTGCTGTTCCTTCCCCAATATTTCTTCTTGGTGCCAAATCCCTCGCAGTTTCAAGTCCATGCTTTTGCAAATATTCTTCAATTTTTGTTTCATCTAAATGTTCGACACCTGCTGAACGCCAAAGTTGAACAAATTCATCATCAAGTTGGTAATCTGTATCTTCGTCATTTAAGAAGAGAACTGTGTCTTTTCTTTTGTTTATCTGAAAAATTGAAAAATCATATATATAATGGTACTGCTGCAGGAATACACACGTCATTTCTGTCGCGAATTTATAATGATTGTTCCAAAATATTTTGGCCTAAGCTTATGGAAAATCCTTAGTTGTCAGTGGAAACTTATAAACTTGCAAAAATAAGTCAAATGCTCCCTTCTTCATTGCACGGTTTAAAAAATAATTCTAATTCTAATCAACCTAGCAGATAGATGCTAACTTCAAGTTAAGTAGATTTAACAAACTCAAAAAACTAGACATCGTCAAGGATACAATTACAACCCCGAACTATTACCCACATTTCTTTAATAAATCATTCTTACAAACCTGTGTAGGTAAAGCAATACATTGTGGTCCAAGTGCTTTAACTAAAGCTTCAGGATTTGCTACACAATCACCCAATTCTGAAAGTAATATCCCTCCCTTTCCATCAGTATGTTGCTTCTTTAGAAGGGCAAACAAGGTTGCCTTTAAATTTGAAAAAATTTAAAATAAAAAATATTTAAAAGAAACCTTATTTTTGACTTTATGTGGTGGCTTATAAATTAATTTGTTTTCATTATCAGAGTCCAATCGGGGATTTTGTTTAAGCGCTTCTTGTAACCAAAGAATTGTTTTCTTATTTAAATCGTAGACCTTTAAAATAAATTTATAAAAATATTTATTTGTGAAATAAACCTGCATTTCATCAAGTATTTCATTTAAAGTCAATCCCCAATGTTGCACATTTAAATGTCGTTTACGCATATAATCCACTATTTTTGCCATCATACTGTGAGGAAAAAAGGTAATTGTCCAGTTTATATAACCCATGGAGATGGTATAATTCCATAATACAACGCCGAAATACCAAAACCACCAAGAAACCCTCCAACGTAATCGGAACCATGTGTTTGTATTTTTCCAAAGCTTGATATTTTGACAGCTTTTACAATTAGGTGTTTGGTATTTCCGCGTTTGGTATTACGACCTGCTCCGATGGAGATTTCTGCGTCCTAAGGACTTGTAAACTGGATATTCTTGGGTCTGAGTTAGTTTTTGTCTAAAACCTATCATCGCTGTTTATACGGGACGCATAAATCTTGCTCAAACCGGACAGGAGATAAAAAGAAAATAGCCCAAGAAATAAAATCCAAACCTAAAATTTGCTGCATTTTGTATAGCATTATTATTATTAGCCCCAGTAGACGAAGATGCAGCGGTTTTTGAATCTTTCGAAGCAACCACTCTTTTCCTTTTACTTTTTTGTTGGGATGTTGAAGACGACGATGTTGCTCCTCCACTTCCATCTTTCTTAATTTGTTGTAATGTATCCATTGAACTAATTGCATGTCTCATAAAATCTTGTCGAGCTTTTAAAAGTGCTGGATCCATTTTTGTTTTCAAATAAATTTAGTAAAAAAATAAAAATCTAAAAATTCTTTAAATATCAGAAACGATTATATTTAAAAGATATAATGTTGGATCAAACAAAAAAAAGTATCAACAAAAATAATAAAAATAAAAACGCAGCATAAAAAGAGAGCGAAAGTCTTGGGAATGTCCGTAGAGGCGCAGGCCAAAAAGGCGCGACCGAAAAGGCGCAAGGCTAAACATGTAGACGAGAGCATTGGACTCATCATCTTCCCGCAACAATTAACCGGCCTAAAAAATAATCTTGAATCCTAGTAAATAATTAAAAACAACCTCTTTAAAATTTGTACAGCTTCTGGACACTCTCTCAAAGCTGAAAATTAAGTTATTGAAAAACTCTTAAAAATAAAAACAACCTATCAAAAGATCAACCATTCAAACCAAACAAATCATTGCATCTAACCAATGGAACATCTGCTGTACGTCTTCTCATTTGACAAGAACTTGGCCACCGATTAATTGGCTTTACATTAACATTAAGGATAAACTTATTTAGGGGAGAAACCTTGCGGACAAAACTTGCGAATTTAATAAAGTAAAAAGCTAACCATGTAGACGAGAGCATTGGAGTTTAATCGTTGCACTGTTTGAGTGAAGCCACCGCCCATATTTCGCCGAAGCTAACATGGGACTTTTGCCCATATTTCGCCGAAGCTAACATGGGGCTTGTGCCCATATTTCGCCGAAGCTAACATGGGGCTTGTGCCCATATTTCGCCGAAGCTAACATGGGGCTTGTGCCCATATTTCGCCGAAGCTAACATGGGGCTTGTGCCCATATTTCGCCGAAGCTAACATGGGGCTTGTGCCCATATTTCGCCGAAGCTAACATGGGGCTTGTGCCCATATTTCGCCGAAGCTAACATGGGGCTTATGCCCATATTTCGCCGAAGCTAACATGGGGCTTGTGCCCAAATATGGGACTTTTGTTGTTGTTGCTGCTGAAGTTTTGTTGTTGTTGCTGCTGCTGAAGTTTTGTTGTTGTTGCTGCTGCTGAAGTTTTGTTGTTGTTGCTGCTGCTGAAGTTTTGTTGTTGTTGCTGCTGCTGAAGTTTTGTTGTTGTTGCTGCTGCTGAAGTTTTGTTGTTGTTGCTGCTGCTGAAGTTTTGTTGTTGTTGCTGCTGCTGAAGTACTGAAAAAATTGGATTCATTTTTCAAAAATTGAAAGAAAGCAAGTCTTGTCCGCAACACAATACTACCCTCCCCCCTAAAAAGGTTAATTCCCAAAAAAAGGAATAACCTCTCCCTCAAATAACCTCCCCCCTCTTGGCCGAATCAATCTTTTTAACCAATCGATCTTTAGAGGGGACACGACGGACAAAGCTAAACCGAAAAATGGCCGCCAGAAAAACCTTGACTTTTTCTCTTTTTCTTTTCCTCTACTATTTCGCTATCGATTTTTTCAAAATGTAAAAAAGCCGTTTGAACGCTAAGCATTAAACAAGCCGTTTTAACGCCCTAAGAAGAAGACGCGCGAAAGTATGCAAGATAAATAAGGAAAAGATTTATACAAAAAAAGAGTACAGGAAAACTTTTTATTGTACTGTCTCACTCTTTTTATGGCCGCGTTTTTATTGTTAGAAGTAGTGAACGACATATCGACTTTTTCTTAAGGAAAAAAAGTCGTTTTAAAAAAATCTACAATTATTCGCGAACGACTTTTTTTAATAAACAAAACGCCAGAACTACGTAAATATCGATGTTTTACGCCAAACGATTGCGAAACGACTTTTTTGTATCTCTTTTTCTCTAATTTCACATTATATTTCCTTTCTCTTTTTCTATTAATTTTCGTCTCTCTTGTTTTGTGCAGTCCATTCTTCTTGGAATCCAAAAACTTTGTAGGGCCATAACTTCCTTTATTTTTGTCTGTTCGAATTATTTTTGGCACCATTCGAAACAGCTCGAAAAGCTCCATCGAATGAAACATCAAACTTACAAAACATACCAATTTTGTATGTTTTGAATAATTAAAAGAAAACAATAGAAAAAAACGAAGAATTGATAAAAAAATTATCATCTACTTGATTTGGGGTCGCTTTAGTATATTCCCACAGATTTTCCAGCGAAGATTCTGTTGAACATTTTCTAAAGAACATTTTCAAATGTAGTCGAATCTTGACTCTAGGCTTTTCTTGGGCTTTTTCGGGCATAGGGGGAAGTTAAAAACAAAATTTCAATAAAAAAACGAGACAAATAAACAAAAATTTATCAAAAAAACTAAAAGCCAATGTCTCGTTTCACTCATTAGATTTGTGGCCCTAAAGAGGGCCGTTTGGGTTGTGGCTTCTATAGTTGTCGCTTCTATTCCATCTAAGACTGCAATTCAAAGGTTGCCAGGCAGAATCACTTCAACAGCAAATCGCCCGAGCACGTCGTTGTAACACTTAGAAAAATGAATTAAAAAATTGAAAAAATTTTAAAAAATTCCAAAAAAATAAGATTTAAAAAACAACCTCTCCTATTGTTTCCCCATTGTTGCAGCCGTAGGATGGAGTTCGACACACATCAAACAAGTTTTGATTAAACATAAAAAAGAAAAAATTTAGGAATGAAAAAAATTTAGCAACTAATTCTAGGATCAATGAAATCTGACCAATATTCAGATTTCTCAATATTCGGATACAGATCACTGAATATTGAGAAACCTTAGGGGCGGTTTTTTGGAGTAAAAAAGTTTATACAAACGATAGCTCATTCAAGTTTCAGGGTGCGAAATTCGGTTCGGGAAGTAATTTACCCACAAATTATAATGCACCGAAAAACAAAATAACCTGATAATGGTTGCTGCTCCAAATGTCGTTGATGGTAAGTGTTTGCTTCTGAAAATTCACTACTACCATTAACAATAAGACTTCCAAATGTTGTACTAGGAGGCTAATGAGACAGGCATTAATTCTACAGCTTAAACTCTTGTAACCCCTAAAAATAAAAAAAATGAGATCCAATTTACAAAAAACCTCCTTACAAATTGAGAGACTGCACTGAACGAAAATTAATAGAAAAAGAGAAAGGAAATATAATGTGAAATTAGAGAAAAAGAGACACAAAAAAGTCGTTTCGCAATCGTTTGGCGCAAAACATCGATATTTACGTAGTTCTGGCGTTTTGTATTAAAAAAAAGTCGTTCGCGAATAAAAGTAGTTATTCGCCGCGAATCGACGAAAACGTAGATATGTCGTTCACTAGTTAGAAGGCTTGTTAACTTTTTGTTTATGGCTTTGTTTGTTTGGCCCAATCTTTTTTTATAATCATCTTTACTTTATAATCATTTCCAATACTTTAAACAAATTTTTATCTTTTTTATGTGCTTTTACCTGTTATGTGTTCACTTTTTTGTATTACGTTTTTTTCCTTTTTGGCTCATTTTCCTTTCCTTTTTGTTGCTTTTATTAAACCTCTATTTATGATTTTAATAATTTTATAGATTTTTAATCAAAATTTCTAAAAGAATTTACTACCAAGTATAAAAAAATGAGCGACGGAAGTAACAGCGCAAGTACAAAACCTATGTTGGAGCTGTATGTTAAGGCAAGTAAAATTTTAAAAAATAACTATAAAGTGAATATTTTAGGCATCAGGTATTGATAGCCGTAGAATTGGCGCGTGTCTCTTTTGCCAAGAATTTTGGATGGAATTGTATGCTCTCTATGAGGTTGGATGTGTTCGTGTGGAGGTTTCTTAAAGCTTTAAATTTATTTTATTAAGTAATTTAAAGGTAAAGACTGTAAATGTCAATTCAGAAGGATTCAAACGCAACTTTTCTGGAGCTCAACCTCCTATTATGGTGGAAGAAGAAAAGTTTGAATTTCATAGATTTTTAAATTTAAAATATTTAGAGGGACAACTTATGCTGATAACAGTGAAATTGAACGTCGAATCTTCCATCTCTGTCAAGGTTTTCATGTTCCGCTTTTTGAGAAGGATTTGCAAGTTGAGAAAACTATCCAGAATCTTTATCGGGTTTGTTTTTATTGAATAACTTGCTTTCATTGAAAATTTTTTTAGAATTTCAAAATCTTTCTGCAAGCAAAGGCAACTCATGATAAAGGTAAAAGACATCCTAGTGCAATAGAAGAAGGCCTTCCTCCGCAAGTGACATCTTCACATAATAAATTATTGGAGCAATTGGCTAATATTGACCAGGTTTTCCGTTAAATTTTTATTCAGAATTGTGTTCCTTTCCGTTTTAGTTACTGGCTGATCGTTCTTCTCGTTATCTTCTAAGTGAATCAATGACTGAATATGACTGTGAGATTATGCCACGTTTGCATCACATTCGTATCATTGGAGAACGCCTTCTGAATTTTTACATTCCACGTCAATTCACACATTTATGGGCATATATATTAACTGCATATCGAACAGCTGCTTTTATTGAATCCTGTCCGGCTGATCAAGATATTTTGCATCATTATAAGGTATATTTACTTTTTAAAAATAAGTAAACCTTGTGAACTGGGTAAAATTGTCATTAGCTTGCTCCTTTTTTCTTCCCCAAGTCTTCCCCTCCCATCTTTGTATTTTGCCAACGAGCGATCAGAAACGATTAATTTTTATTCTGCTTTGGGATAGGAAAAAACTTGGGGAGAAAAGGGGCCCTTAATCGATAATTTTACCGTGAAATTTTAAGTACTTGTTTCGTTTGTGTCCGCAATATTTTATATTTTGCCAAAAATTTTAGGAACAATTAAATTTGGCAATTGATATGCGAGTGACACTTGAAGCACCAACAAAGACATTAACCATTCCTGAAGGTAACGATTATTTGTAGATAATGTAGCTATATTTATTTTTCTAGATGTTCTTCAAGATATACGCCGGCTCAATAATGGAATTCAAACAGGAGAAGGAAGTAGACAAAATAATTAGACGATAAATAAAAGGCAATAAGAGTAAATGAAGACTTAAGAAGGAAATTACTACAAATAAAAATAATTTTTTGGAAAAAAGGATTGGGCGAAAAATTTTAAGGTTTTGAGGGAAAGAAAAATAATTTTAAAAATTTGCCCAATCCTTTTATTAAATTAAATAAAAACTTGCCTATTTAATTTATATATTTAACACAAAAACCGATGCATATCTATCTGAAAATATTTAACATTCTCTTTCTTGATATTTTTAGTGTATTTTTCTTAAATAAAAATATTGCCTTTGTTTAGAGAAGTTTTTCTTTTATTGGGACTCTTGATCCCTAACTCATATTTCTATTCACAACTGTTTTTGTTTTTCTTTTTTTAATTCCTAGGGCTATTTTTAGTCTAAAAATGATGAAATTTCTTTTATTTGATTTTTCAGTGATTATTTGATTTAATATTAAAATACAAAATGGCCACAATTCCTTATTTTACAACAAATCGTCGACAACGCAGCCATTCGCAGTTACAACAGGTTTCTAAGATTATTTTATTGTCACTGGGAGGGTCGGACGTATCGGGATGTTTCAATGCCGAACAGTTACCCTAATTTTGGAACTAAAGCCTCAGCCATTGGGTCATGGATATGGCCACTGGGTCAGGGATGCAAGAGGTTATTTTTCTCATATCAATTCCGATATGTCCTCACTTATATTCTCCCACCATTTTTTAATATTAGTATTTTAAAAATATTTTTGAAGCTAATTCCATTATCTTCACAACAACAGCCAAACACCTCAACTACTACTTGGCCACCAATTCAATTAAAACAACAAAATTTAAATAAAAGGGAGGAAAATACAAGACTTTCAATACTGGGAAGTGAATGTTCTTTATCTTCTTATTATCGTTTACCTGGAATTCCACATGAAAATAATGGAGAGAGTGATCAAAGAGAGGATGGAATAAGGTTTTTAATTTTTAGAAATTTTTAATTTTTAGAGGTTCTTAAATTTTAGAAGGAATACTTTAAGGACTCCATCTTTTAGTGTCGATTCCTGTGGAATCTTCAGGACGGTTCCTTCTTCGGGGGTATTCCAACTCCAGGTTAGGGAGTCTAGGACGGTAATCGAGGTCCAGGACGGGTAGTGTTTGGGAGTATTGCCTTCCGGGTCAGGAACATATGACCAGACTTGGTCTTGACTATCCATTCATTTAAATTTTTAAATTAAAAATTCCAGGAGCCGTTGCTTGCAAATGTTTGAGGAGAATTTAAAACTTCTACTTGGCTCTTTAGCTTTGGCAGTTTTTGGAACTGCTCTAATAATATTCAGTTTTTGCATAACTTTTCTACCTAACGACATGGGTAATTTTTTAATTTTTAAAAATTTTTTCCTTTAAATAAATTAAAGATATTCATGGCTGGATTTTCCTCGTTGTTGGTATATTATTTGCAATTCCAGGCTTTTATCATTTAATATATATTTGTTGTGCTCTTTGTGGCCGGCCAGGTTATTCATTCGATCAATTACCTACACTCAATAAAAACAGAAAATCTTTGATTAATTATTGATGTTTGGGGTAGGGTTGGCGATTCCGGATATTTGGAACAAAACTATCCGGAGAGTTCCCAGGTCCGATTTTCAGTAATCCCCAGTATCTGGAGATTTCCCAGATAATCTCCTGTGGAACCGCCAACCCTCGTCTGGAGGACCAGCTTTGATTTTTACTCTCATAATATACTTTTTTAAATCACTCATAATACAATAACTTTTTCCACGTATTCCATTCATTTTTAAACTTAAATTCCACAATAATCTCAAATTGTAAAAAAAACTGTTTCTAAAAATTTAAATATTAATAAAGACAATTTTTCAATATATTTATATCTCTAGTACTAATTAAAAAGTAGTTTAATTGAGCAAATAATAAATTAGAGATCGGAAATTTAAAGAATCCTTGATTTTGGTTGAAGACCTTGACCAGATTCTTGGAACACTAAAAAATGCTTTGATCTTGACTCTGGGACCCAGGAAAAATCAAGGTCTTTATCCAAATCCAGGTCGATCTCTACAATAAATAATGTGTAAATTATTTTTATTTAAACAATAACATCTTTCCCAGAACCAAATTCCCCACTTTCCTCTGGATTTTGTTCGATTACACCCCCACTGCTTGATTCTGCAATTGTTGAAAGCCTTTTTTGAGAAGAATCCGTACATTCTTGACTTATGGAATGGGAGGTTCCCTTTAAAATTAAAAATTTTCAAAGAATTTTTTAAAAATTTATTTACTTGTTCAATCTGATCATAACTTTTTGTTAAATCTTCCTCATCATCCATCCCCTCAGCAACCCAAGCCATTCCTCTCCATACTTGGTGCATTATATGAACGGCTGGGGCAAGCATTGCTACTGTTGCTCTCGATTCTTGCCTTAAAATAGAATTTTGACCTTATGTCATCTTAAGGAAAACTCAAGAATCAAACGGAAGGGGATGTCCAAAAAGTACCATTTAATCTTCTATCTCTCTCCCCACAAATGGGGATTATTTCTTTTAATTTTCTAAAATACCTTAACGTTAATCTTCCCCCTTCACCACTACTTGAGGTTGGTTGTTGTTGTTGTTCTCCTCCCATTTGATTCACATTTACTCCATAATGTGCCATCATTCTAGAACGAAGACCATTCATTTCAGGTGAAGCGATGGCTGCTTTAACTGAATCTTCTGGACTTGGATACATTTCCTTTGATAAATTATTAAATTTTTAATTTCAATAATCTCCCTACTTGAAGCATTAAACAAAAATTGGAGTACCATCCAGGATTTGGGCATGCATTTGGGTTAGCCACACATAAAGCACATGCAAGCATTGTACCTTTCAATTTAAAAATAATTTTTGACAAAAACTTTTTTTCAAAATTATTCGAATTTTTCCTACCTACCAACAATGCAAAGCAAAACAATATAAAGACCAAAATTATAAGTTTCCAGATCAATTATAGACAAACAAACACAAGCCAATGAAATTAATAATAGTAAAAGAATTGAAAGGCACGCATAAAACATTTTTTCTTTAAAACTTGCTTCTAAAAAATAAAAAAAAAATTAATTATTTTAAGTGAATTATTAGAAAAATTTTTTTATCCTAAAAATATTTTTTTATTCAAAGCCCATTAGTCAATAATACCATAAAAAATTTTTTTAATGAGAGAAAGTATTAAAGTCAGCTTTGGCTCTATTAATGGTCCTTTTGCTTTTACATAAAAAAAGTATAGAATTTTTTTATCTTCAAAAAGAAAATGAGGAGCACACATCGCGCGCCATTAGTGCCACAGTTTTTTTTAACCATGTCAGACCAGTATCATCCTCAACTATAGTATATACATGTTTTTTCGTTAATGTGTGGCACACTACGTCAATTATTTATTTTTAGGATGGAAAAAACTTAGAAGAATGGTTGTAAAAGATTAAGAGGATAAGAACAAATGAGAGATTTTAATTCTGGGTGGGATTGTAAGATAAATCAGAAAAGTATATAATTTCTAACCTTAGAAATCTTGAAAAAGGTGTGCGGACTAAGGTTGGCGGTTCTTGGGAGATCTTCGGTATCGGGGGATTTTTGGATTAAGTTATCTAGGGTTTTAAGTTGGTTCGAAAACACTCTTTTCTTCAATAGGGCAATGTACTATCTGTGATCCAGTGGCCATAGGTCCCAAAATTATTAGGGCAATTGTTCGTACATAAAAATATCCCGATATGTCCGCATGCCGAAAAAATATTTGGAATTATACACATAATTGTGTAAATTATTTTTATTTATAAGTAATATACTAATCTGATTTTCCTTTCTAAAATATGCCAACTTGTGCGCATGCAGTTGACATATTTTTATGGAAAAAAGTTTTTATTTATTTTTCTATCCACCACACATTGTTATCTCTCTCAGATTGTTAATTAGAAGAAAAAAACAGGAAGAGGAGAAAGGAAGAGTGCCAAAAAATTCATTCCCCATTTTTTCTGTTTTTAACTTAACTAATCAAAATGGCTTTTTTTTCTTTCTTTTTTAAAGTCTCGCAATTTACAAATTAGAAAAAGCCCTAACCATTTTTCTCCCTTCTTTTTTATTTGCCGGCTGGAAGAAATTTTTTAAAGAGAGAAGTACACATTTTTTATCACTTACATACATCCTCTCAACTAATTGTGTAACTAAAAAATCCAACATAAAAGTTAGACTAATTGTAAAGTAAAAGTAAAGAATAAGGGAGAAAGATCTGAGATAAAAACTGGTCAGAAAAAATGAAAGTAAGGATAAAAATAACGTATGATGTTAACTCTGGGACTCAAACTAAGGGGAGGAGGCAGGATATCCATAAAGTAGTTAGAATTTTTGCTATAAAATTAAAATATGTAAATATTAAAACCAACCTATCTACACATATCCTCTTACGAGCCAACTTTTGACTCTTCTTTACATGTTTCTTCTTCTTTTATTATTCATCAACCAATCTTTGGAATATAAATCGTTGTTTGTTTCAAATTCTTCTTCATTTTCTTCTTTTGTATCTGGAGATGAAGTTGCCCTTTCTGTTCTCTTAAAATTCATAGATGTTGAAAATTGGTTAAAATAATTATTTTTGTTGTTCTTCTCTTCAAATTCTTCCTTTTCCCAATCCGGATCAGTTAATTCTCTAACACTTTTGGGACGTGGCCGAGGTTGTCTTCTTGTACTTTTTTGTGTTTTTAAAAGATTTTCAGTTGTTTTAAGACGTTTAGAAGAAACAGGAGAATTAATATTGGGTGGAGATAATGGGGAAGGTTTAAGATGTGAATCCCAAGGTTCTCTGTTGGTTATACAACCTTTAAAAATTCATTGAAATAAAATCTAAAAAATCTAAAACCTGAATGAACTAAAGACTCAATTCTCTCCGGAGAACGTTCAGCACTTGTAATAGGCTCAGTTATTAAAGGAGGCAGCAATTTACTGGAAGTTTCGGTACGTGGATTAGAATTCCATGGTTGTCGACCAGAAAGAATACAACCAGAATGGACCTTTTAATTTTTTTGATTAAAAATTTTTTATTTAAAAAATAAACCCTTTGTTCAATATCTTCTTCAATTTGTGGAAGATGTAAATGCTTTTGTACAAAATGTTGTTGATGATAATTTGAAGTTGAAGGCAAATCAGGATCAAAAATAGGCTCTTCCACAAATTGTTCATCACAAGAAGATTCAATTATTGGATGTTGTGCTCTCAATTTGAGTAGACGTTCTCTTCGTTGCCTTAAAAAATTAAAAGTCATTGCCTCCCCACTCAACACATGCCACTTGTTAAAGTGCTTTACAGGGCCTACATAAAACAGCCACAAATTGCCGCCAGGCATCGAACCTGAGGCCCCCATTAAGTCCCCACTAATTAAAAAAATGTATACTTAATTATTGGTTGAACATCCTTCTTCAATTCCGTTCTTTTCTTCTCATTTAATTCAATCTTTTGTTGCTTCTGTTTTGACAATATTCTTTTTTCTTCTTTTTGTTTATCCTCTCTTCTTATAGAAAATAAAGGATTAGGTGTTTTCCTTTCATGTCCATCAAAAACTCGATGTCCTTTAACTAAAACAAAAACTTCTTTTTCATCCTTTTTAGACTTATCTTCTTTTGTTGTTTTTTCAATTCTATCTAATCTTGGAATTTCTTTTTTTGTTTTAATTAAAGTTGAAGATGAAGGATGTTGCCTGGTGCATTTTCTGATGTCCAAAGGAGGAATTGATGGAAGTTTTTGTTGTTTTTCTAAATGTTGTTTTTTGAACTCCCCAATTTTCTTTGTAGACAATTTCCCTTCCTTTCGATTTCCTATTTTTGGTAAAATTTCAAAACCTTTTTTAATATCTCTTCCTAATTTTATCTTTTCTTCTTTTACTTCCTTTTCTTCTTTAACATCTCTTCCAGTTTTTTCTTCAGTTAATCCAGCTTTAACATCAACCAATGTTGTATCCTTCTTATCTTCCAAAACCTTGCCCTCCTCCCCCTTCTCTTCTTCCTCTTCTTTTACAATTCCTTCTTCCTCATCCTCCTTCTCTTCCTCATCTTCAAACCTTTCCTCATCTTTTTCTTCATTCAATTCTTCAATAAGAACTTCATGTTTTTCAATTATTGGTAGTTGCTTCTCTATTGTATCCATTTTAATTAAAATATCGTCTAAAGAATCTCTTCTTTCTTTAAAAATAAAAAATTTTTTTAAAATATATTTAAAAAATAAACCTGTAGCCAAAGCAATTTGATCATCAGCTCCCGAATATTGTTCACCTAAAACTCGAAATTGATCCCAAATTGTCGGAGTTCCAGGTCTAGAAGTTGCACTTGAAGAACGTGGCAATTCTTCCTCTTCAATTGTTTTTTCTTTTGGCAATAATGTAGGTAATTGAAGAGATGCATCAACAACTTCATTGCTTTTTTCTTCCTTTTCTTCTTCTGTTTTTGTTTCAACAATAGTTAATGTCCCTTCTGTAATTGTACTCGATTTTTGTAATTCTATTGTTGGTTTTTGCTCTTCCTCCTTCTGTTTTTCTTCTTCAACTTCTTCTTTCTTCTCTTCTGTTATTGTAGTTGTGGTTGTTGTTTTTGTTGTTGTTGTATCTTTCTTCTCAAAAGTTTTAGCTTTATCCAAAAATGTTGTAATTGAAGATTGTCTTCGTATTAAATCTGTTCCTACAAAATTTATTTTATTAAAAAAAATTTTAAATAAAAAACCTCCAATTTCTTCTTCTTCACATTCCTCCATAATTAAATAATCTTCAGAGTCATCAAAAGCTTTTGACGGTTTATGATGTTGTTGTTGCCAAGCTTGTGCTAAACTTGCAATTCTTCCAACTTCACCAATTGTTGGAATCTTTAAAAAAATTTTAATAAAAAAATTCATTCAAAATTTTAAAAAAATTTTAAAAATTCACTACAAAAAAATTTCCAAACCTTTAAAGTATTTTCTTGCTCTGCTACAGAAAAACCACCACATCTTGTTGACTCTTCAACCGATTCAGATATAACACTAATACCACTTTCTTGTGGAATAACCACTTTTGTTGGTACAGTAGAAGCTGCTAATGCTGTTGTTGCTGCAATTGTAGGTAATAAAGCTGATTGAGTTTGCTTTCCTCCCTTCGAAAAAAATTTTTTTGTAATTATTTTTAAATAAATTCTAACCATTTTAAGTTTTATATTTCGCCATCTTCGTCTAAATATTGTAAAGAAATTTGAACGTCTTTGCTTTGAAGAACAACACCACCAAAATAGTGGAAGAAGTAAACAACAAAGGCAGAATAAAAATAAAAGTAAGAACAACCACAACCAACTATTAAAAAAATTCTTATTAATACTGAGGGGAGGGGGGGGGGGGTGAAAGAATTTTCATTGTCAGCTTAATTTTCCTCTCTCATTTTAATAAGTTAACTGAACAGAAATTATGAAGAAAATAATAGGCGGCAAGGGAAAAAGGAAATATGAAAAAAGAAAATTTGACCATTACAAGGCAGAAATAATTAAATGGAGATTAATGGAGACTTAAGTATGGGGGAAGTATCAGAAATCCATAAAATTTGAAAAAAATTCAACCTTTTCTCTTTCTCATTTTCTTCGTCGGACTTGCTAGTTGTTAATAATTCATCTGATTTTGTAGTCTCAACATTAATAGCAATTGATTTAGTTGACAAAAGCTCCACATTTTCAATTTCTTTCGTAGTAGATTCTGTTGCTAATGTTGTTATACTAATAAACTGAAAATTTAAATTTTAAAAATTCTACAATTTTTTTAGAAAAATATTTATTTACATTATTTATTGCAGGCACTGTTGTTGTAGTTTCTCCTTCAAAACTTTTTGTTATTGCTGTAGAAGTCTCTGTTATTGCCGTTTGTTTTTCAGTCATTTTAGGCTCCGAAATTTCAATATTTTTTGATTTTTCTACTTGTAATTTTGATTCCTCTTCACTTTTCCCAGCAAATTTTCTATCATCCTCGACATTCAATTCTGTTGATTTTGATGAGGAAGTAAATATTTTTTCAAAAGGATAAGTTGGAGTTGTCACAAAAATATTTTCTCTAAGTTTTTGTTGTTGTGATGGTTCAACATTATTATTTGTGTTTTTTATAGGATTTAAAATTTTTCCACGTTGAGGCCACACAAGTTGATGAATATTGGTGAAACTATTGCTAGTATACCCGACAATTGCTTTTGTACTAGTTGAATGAGTTGTTAATCTTTCTAGATTATTAGAGGTAGCTGACAATGACAAAAATGGACGGTCAAAGCTTGTATTGAACAAACCCTTAAAAATAATTTTTTTCTTAAATAATATTTAAAAAATACCACATAACCCGGATCCTCATCAGAACCGTCCAAACAATCCTTTTTCCCATCCATAAGCCATCTGGTTAATATACATTGACCATACCCTCTGCAAGCAATTGAGTTATGTAAATGACAAAGACGACGGCGAGTTGATGCTGTAAAAAATTTTTTTAATGAAAATTATTTGCTTTTTACCATTTAAAAATTCACAAAAGGAAGGAATAGATCCAACACCTTCCATTTTATTTTTTGTAGTACAGTTTGAATTTGAACTCAAAAGAAGACAATCAACCAGATGAATGGAATCTGCACAAAATTGACTGCCACATTCAATTTGACCAGGAAGACAAACTAAAAATTAATGTTTACTTTTTGAAGATTTTAATTTTAAAAATTTCCTTACATTCATCACTTCCATCCATACAATCCTTCTGACCTTAAAACAATATTTATTTTCAAATTTTTATTTATACCGACCATCATGAAAGCGTGAAATAGAAACACATTTTCCATCTCCACAATCAAATTCTGATTTTAAACAGCAGCCAGAAAAGCGTTGCTCAGCGGCTTAAATTAAATTTTTTGATTAAAACCTTAAAATTAAAAATTGCCTTGAAGTGATCCCCAATAACCTGCCACCACAAAACGAGGAAAAAGAGTTATTATAACCAGTAATAAATAATAAAAATTAATTTTAAGGCAATATTGAATTTTAAGAGTTATTATTTTTTTCAAGAAAAAATTTTCTTTTTTAATGATAAAGGCCAACATATTTTTCTGCCAAGTAGCAGTTAACGTTCTATAAGGATATAATATATTTTCTTTTTCAAAAAATTTTTTAAGGAAAAAAAGGGAAAGAAGAAAAAAAAGTGGACAATATAATTTAGTTGTAGCTAATGGCTAAACTAAAAAATGGACAAAACATAAAAATTTTTTCAAAAAAGGAAAGGAAATGTGTGTTTTTGTTAGCTCTGTCCAGCAGTGTGTAGTAACTAACAAAAAGTACTCACCACCCCCAAAAAATCTTAATACATTTCCTTTTGCGGCAAAAAAGAGAAGAATTTTTATATATTCCTAGTTTAATAGTCTCAAAATTCTTAAAAAATCGAAAAAACAAAAAAATTCTTTAAATTTATATTTTTATAAAAATTTTTTTTAACTTACAAAATTCAAAAAATAACAAAAAAATTCAACAACTAATCTCAAAAAAATTCAAAAAAATTCTAGAATTTTGCCTGAATCAAAAACGGAGCATAAACGTAAGTGGAAGGTGGAAGTGCTTAAAATTAATTTAATTAAAAATATACTTATATTTTAATCACTTGAACAATGCTGAAGCCATTTATTTAACAAAGATTGCATACTGAAAAAATACTTTGTTTAAAAATAAAAAACTTTAAAAAAACCTTTCAGTGTCCATTTTAGCATAATTAAGTTTACGAATGTAAAGGTGCTAGAAAAAAATAAAAATTAAATTTGTAGTTGTCAAAAAAATTTTTTTAACAATATTTATTATCAAAAATGGAAAAAATCGAACTTTAATGGTCATAGGAAAAACGAGATTTCGAAAAAAAATCTCAAGAAAAATTTTGTTCAAGATCAATAACCCAAAATTTTTGACTGACTCATCTCTGTCCGGGATTTAATCAAAACGAATTACCAATTGTAATTGAGTAACATTTAATCCTTTGAGCTCCTTCTCCGTATCTTCAGACATTTTTCTGTCCAATAATTGCAAAATTAAAACGCGCTCCATTAATGATTTAGTGCCAAGAGAGAATGGAGAAACTTTGTGAAGACGTTTTAGATGATACTTTAAAAATTTTAAATTTAACATGAAAAATATTAAAAAACATACTAATTGTGAAGAAGACAATTCTTCTAGTTTTGGAAGATTAACAGTTGTTGACGGCAATTGATATAATTTGACTGGTAATTGAGTTGATAACTAAAATAAATAAATAATGTTAATCTCGAAAATGAAATTAATGAAACTGGGTGAGATAGGCGGAAGTGTAATTTATGAGAAAATAGTGAAAATCCTGGCCAAAGATGCTCATGTCAGAACCCCAAGAAAAATAGAGAAAAGCACTTGAGTCAGCTAGGATCGAGTCGAAAAGCTAGCTGATTATCATTTCAGCTTACAATTAGCTCTATTTCCATGTTTTCAAGCGGTCCGTTAACACTACAACGCTGTCACCGCCTCTGGAAAACGACAACCCCGTCCATTTCCACATTTTTAAATAGGACGGGCCCACTATTTAACCAAAAAATTTATATTTAAATATTCTTACATTTTTATTTTTCTCCGATAATTGTTGCAAAATACATGGGAAATTAACATCTTGAATTTTTTTCAATTCGTTTAATTGAACTGAAGTAGTTTGTTGAGGTGTCCAAAAATGTCTTGTTAAAACAAGTTGAGGGCGAAAAATCCTTAAGTAAAAAACTTAAAAATAATTTTAAAGAATTCTCTAATGTGAGTGTAAATATTTTAAAAATTCACAAAAATTTAAAAATGTCAAAACCCCCAAATAAAGTCAAAACCCAATAATTTTTGCCCAACCTAATATAATAACAAAAATAAAATCACACATTGTTAAAATAACCAAGGGAAGACCAAGAGGGACTACAAAACTGACAAACAATAAGGAGACCATCTTTGCTATATTCTCTTTTGTCTAAAAAATAATTTTGAAAAAATTGAAAAATTATTTTAAAAATTCCTTGAGAATTGGAGGGCTTCCTTAGAGGGAGCGAAACTTAAAAACTTTTTCCAAATAACCCAAAGTGATTATAAAAATAAAACATTAAATTCCTCTTACCCTAATGCAATAATTATTTCTCCAACAATTGGGATTTGAAGTAAAAACACAAGAAGGCAAATATGGACCAATTCAGCAGGGAACTTTTAAACAATTTTTTAAACTTTTAAATTAAAAAAATAACCTGCAAATAAATTAAAAGCTCTGGGATTGAGAAATCGGAAAATTTGCGTTCTTTCAAAAGAATTTGCTTGCGAAGTTTAAAATAAATTTTTGTATCGGAAAGGCATGCTTTACTTCCTGAAATTGATAAAATTTACTGGTTAACTCATTTTCTCCCCCACTCAATTTTCTTTAAAAAGTACATAATGGTCAGGCATTTGTCCTTCCAAGGAAACCCTTTCTCATGTATAGAGTTACAAATCAGAAGAAGATTGACTGATTGAATAATGCTACAGGCAAACATGAAAGGAATCCATGGAAGGAAAAATGTATAACCAATTTGTACGTTTAAAGAAAAGTTGAGTGGGGGAGGGAAACGACACAAGCACTCAAAATTTAAATTTAATCAAATAATTGTTAAAAAACCTGATAAAGACATAACATAATAAGAATAAACTTTTGGATGTTTTGTAGCAAAATGCTGCTCAATTTTATTAAATAGAGATGAATTTAAATTGCTTGAAGAAGATGCTTGTCGTTTTAAAAGCAATATATTCGCATATTTTAATGTCTGATTATTCAAAATGAAGGAATAAGCAAATTTTTTATTCAAAATTGACAAAAACATTCCTGAAAAATCAAATCAATATTTAAAAATCAAACTTTAAAAATAAAAATTTTAAAAAACTTAAAATTTTTGCACGGCCTAATGGCATATTTTCCACTATTTACCAAAATGAAAAATTATTTAATTTTGGCATATTGAAATTTTTAGTTTACACTTTGAAATTTACATTTTTAAACTTTGCGCGTCTTGTCTCTTTGTTTGAAATGTGGCTTGGATTTCTCCAAAAATTTTAGAAAATTTTTAGATAAAGAATGCCGAAAAATGCTTTACGGTTTTTTGTTTGTTTATTTTTATTAAAATTATTTTTTAGACTTTACATTCCTCGTTAATATCAAAAAATGGAGCTGCTACAATTATGGAAAATAATCAAATTCATCACTTTCAAAGGCCATTTCTTCATGAATTTCTGAACAATTAATTGCTTAAACTCCAACTTCTACATTTATATATACCTTTAAATGAAGGTATTCAATCAGGTTTCTGCTTTTAATTTAAAACTAGGCTTAAGTTCAATAAGTTTTCCTTTGTTGCCCCCTCTTTTCCCTTTTTTAATAGTTAACCACAAATCTGATCATCAATTCTAAATTACATAGTTTTTTACTCTCCGGTTTTTCCTTAATTTTTCTTCAAACCATCTTACTGTTCATACTCTTTTAGTCTTTCCGATTCTTAACTTTTCAATTCTTTCTTTAAATTTTTCGTCAATCTCATACGTTTTTGTTGTTCAATTTAAAAATAAAGATAACTTTAAACAAAAAGTTATTTGTATTTTTTTCTTTAAATTTGTTTATATCACTTTTAACATTCCATAGATTCCAAAGTTTTTAAAAAATTTCTTTCATTTAAAACTTAAGTTCTATATTGTCAGTTTTATTTAAAATCTCTTTATTTAAACGCGCTCTTAGATCAAACAAAACCAATTAAGTAACATTCCTCTCCTTTTCTCTTTCCGGTAACCTTTAAAAAAGAAAATTTTCTTTGCGTTTTTTATTAGCTAGTTGAATTTTCTGTAAAATTAAATTAAAGAAGAAAAATGTCCAAAAAACCCCAATATATAAAACACGCAATGAAACTATACCAACATTTAAAATTTGTCAAATATTCCACTTTCAAGACTCATTCTCTCTCCCCATTTTTGTCAAATTCCCACGCTTTTTTGCACATTAAAACAAGACAAATTCCATTCATTTAATTGACAGAAAAATTGTTTTCCGTCCACAAAAGTATCTCTCAAAAATATATTTATTCCCTCTTAAAATTCCTTTCCACAAGGTTTTAGCCTTGTCCTCTTTATTTTTTAAGAGAGAAGAATTTACATAAATATAAGTAAAATCAACCAATTTTTTCACTTAACCTATTTTTCTTTTTATTTTCTCTTTTAAAAATTCACAAAAATTTTAATCAATTTACTTAATAATCATGTATTATTGAAGATTATAGCGCCCTTTTCCCACTGATTTTTTCATTTTAGATGTACAAGATGGTCAGTCTTTTTTCCTCAATTTCGCTCTATCTGAGAGACATCATTAAAGATCAGTAAATAGTGAAGTCTGACCATTTTGTACATCTAAAGGAAAAAACCTGGGGAGGAAAAGAAGGTCTATAAGCTTCAATATTACCAATAATCTTTTATCAGTTTCATGCAAAATACATTTTTATCGATACAATTTACTACTTTTTTTTAGCAAATTCCATTGCTTCCTTCTCCTTTATTTTTAACAATTCCCAACTATTTTATTTATTTTCCCCCAAATAACCGTCAACTCTATCAAGTAAAAAATCGATTTGTTCGCTCCAATCGGTAACGACTTTTTTCCCTTTCACATTTTTTAGTAGTACATTTTTAATGTTTATTATAATAGATTGAGCTTGAGAATTTATTAAGTAGAATTTATTTTACAAGATCTGTGGATATCCTCCTAAATATTTTTAAGACTCAATTAAATTTTTTGGGGAAACGATTAGAGAATTTTCGGTCAAAGTGTTGATCTCAAGTGATTTGATCTTTTAGAAATTTTGAAAGAATGTGTGGCGGAAGACTGGCGATTGACATCGATAGGCTTTTTGAGGAGTGTCTCTCCCCCTTCCCCTGTTTTTTATTCTTTGTCTCGAGGAAAGAAACTACTAAAAATTCCTCTTTCCCCCATTTTTATCATTAAAAGAGTTTTTGAGAGAGGAAAGAAAGGAATGCATTGTAGAAAGGGGGCAACGCGTTTTGGGGTTTTGGTGGTTGTGGGGGTGAAGTAGTTGTACAATAAGAATATTTTTTTCTTTTTCTTTACACTAAGGGGAGAAGGAGTCTTTCCCCCTTCAAATTTTGATGCCTTAAAAGTGATTCACCATAAAGTGTGTTGCCGATAGTTAGCGGCGTTCTCTCACACCCACTCCCTTATTTGTCTTTCTCCTTTGCTTTTACAAAACCAAAAACAATTTCCGTTTGATTTCGCAAACTAAAAAAATTTTAAATTTTAACTAATCAATTTTTAAAATTATTTCAAAATTTTATTTTTTCAGTTTTCCTGTCTAGAAATGTCTCAACCACAACAAAATAATAATATTAATAATCGGCAGCAACAATTAAATGCAATTCGTTCTTCACTTTTGCCATTCCAACAGCAACAACAAAAATTGCCACAAAAATTGGAGAATGGTTTAAATGAAGAAAAATTTGAAAATAAAGACGAAGATAACAGGTTATTGGATGTTAAAAAATTGGAAATGGTTAGGTCTATTGTGGATGCTGGATATGATCAGGTAAATTTTTATTATAAATTATTTTGGTACTCTTGGTTACCTTCCTCATTTTATCATCTCCTCCTAATTTCCGTTTCCTTTCTCCAAAGAAGTCCACATGGGTCAAGCGTTGGGTCCCAGCAACATTTTTGGAAAAAGGAAAAGAAATAAAATGGTGGGGGATAACCCAAGAATATTAATATTTTTTATTAAATTTTTTAAAATTAAATTAATTATAGGAAAGTGCTTTCTATGCACTAAAGTTGGTCAATTTCAGATCGGCTGCGGATGCTTTGCGTGTATTGCATACAATTAAAACTGTAAGGTAAAAAAATGTTTTTTAAATACCCTATTTTCTCTTTAGGATATAATTCAACAACATTCTAACCTTAACCAAGCTTCTTCTCATTCACCAATTGTTACAGTTACTACAACTCCAACTTGTAGTTTTGTTCCAACAACTTCCCCCTCGTCTTCAAGGAAACCCCAAAACAATGCTTTGCCTTTTACAAATCGGCCAATTCACAGAACTCCAACGCTTGCACATAGGCCTACTCCAATAACACAAACACTGTAAACTTTTAGTTATTTTTTTTTAATTTTTAATTGAGCTTTTTAGTCGTCAAAGTCAATCATTTGGGCCTTCTGATGCTCATATTGCAACTGCTTCTGTGGCTACTACAAAACTAAATCCTCCTCCTCCTTTTAATGCCCAGCATCAACCTTTGAATAATTCTGGAGGGGGTGGTACAGTTATTCGAATAGAAAGAAACCAAACACAACAACCATTATTAATAAAAAATGATAAAACAACAACAAATTTTCCCCCAAATTTTCCTTCCAAAAATATTGATGAATCAACAAAACCTTCTACCTCTTTATTATCATCTCAAAAACATTCAATTGTGCCACAACAACCGCCACAATGTGTTCAAAGAATTTTTATTGACCCAAAAGTTGCAAACAACAACATTTCAAATAATGCCATACAAACACAAGACAACAGAAGAAGACATACAGAGGAGGTTTAAAAATTTTTTTTAATTTTTTTGATTTATTTTTTACAGTTAAATCGTAAATTTGTTGTTGTTTCTTCCTCTTCTGCTGCTACTACAACTAATAATTCATCCTCCTCCTCTTCCACCCAATTTCAATCTTTTCCAAATCAACAACAACAAATTAAGCGTTCTACGTCTCCATTGCCTGAATCTGTCGCGAAACGCTTGAAGTCGGGAACTTATGAAAGAGGATGCAAACCGTATGTTTTTTAAATATTTTTTATATAAAAAAATTAATATTTTTTTTCAGTTGTCGACCCTCAATGTTTCGGTTTGTTTTTCCAAATAATTAATTGGAAACAAAAATATTTTTAATTTTTTTAAAGATTTTTTATGGAACAACATATCGAAAAATTAACTCAACAATTTCACGAAAGAAGAAAGCGTGCTCGCCAATTAAGCCATGAAATGGAAGCTGCTGGTTTAGCTGATAATGTTAAAGATAATATGCTAAGGCTTTTAAAGTTTGTTGTTTAAATTTAATTATAAAATTATTTTAAAAATTTTAGAAATAAAGAATCAAAATATTTACGTTTACAACGACAGAAGATGAATAGAAGAATGTTTAGAGTAAACTTTAAAAAATTATTTTCTAAAATTAATTTTAACTTTTTTTAAGCTTATACGCCATATTGGAATTGGTGCTTTTGGTAAAGTCACTTTGGTGAGAAAAAAGGATACTGACCAAGTTTATGCAATGAAAACATTGATTAAAGCGGATGTTATTCAGGTTTAAATTTTGAATGAAAAATTGTTTTAATTTAATTCTAGAAGCAACAAGCAGCTCATGTCAAAGCAGAAAGGGACATACTTGCTGAAGCTAACAGTCCGTGGATTGTCAAATTATTCTTTTCGTTCCAAGATGCACAGAATCTTTATTTTATTATGGAATATGTACCGGGTGGAGATATGGTAATTAAATTTAGATTTGGAAATTTTAAATAATTTTTGTAAATATTTTAGATGCAACTACTTATAAATATGGGTATTTTTCCTGAGAGTTTGGCAAGGTCACTAATTAAAAATTTATTTTTTAATAAATTTTGCATTTCAGATTCTACATTGCTGAACTAACATTGGCTTTGGAGTATGTACATTCTTTAGGATTTATTCACAGGTTTATTTTATAAACGAAAATTTTTTATTTGATCATTTTTAGGGATATAAAACCCGACAACATTCTGATCGATAAGGGAGGACATATAAAGCTTACCGATTTTGGTCTCTGTACTGGACTTCGATGGACACACGATAAAAGGCACTATGTTGTTTATGACAACCATGAAGATGGAGCCACACATTTACGTGAAGATTCGTTTTCCTTGCCTTTTGGATTTGATCAGCGTTGGAAAGTTTTGGAAATGAGACATCACCATAAAAGGTATTGAAATATTTTAACTGATGAAAAGTTTTTTTAGAAATCGTGCTCATTCTGTTGTTGGAACGGGAAACTATATGGCTCCAGAAGTAATTCAGCGGACTGGTAATATTTCTTGCAATTAGAAAATTAGAATTTAAATTGTTATATTTATTAGGACACACTCAACTTTGCGATTGGTGGAGTGTTGGAGTAATTTTATACGAAATGGTTTTTGGACGTAATTTTTTTATTTTTCAATTCTTTTACAAAAATATTTTAAGGTCCTCCATTCATGAGTCGTGTTGATGACCCCGCAGAAACTCAATACATGATTGTACATTGGTATCGTTTTCTTGACTTGAAGAACCCGATGGGTGCACGTCTTTCACGTCAATGCATAGAATGTATTGCACGTTTATGTTGTGATCAAGGCATTCGTTTAGGCCATAGACAAGGAGCTAAGGATATTAAAGAACATGTCTGGTTTAAAGTTAAGTTTTTTTTAATTTTAAAAATATTTTTTCTAATTTTTAAGGGTATAGACTTTTTAAATTTACGAAACATTACGCCTGAACATGTTCCTCGTGTACGCCATCCTGAGGATACTTCTAATTTTGATACATTTGAAGTTTGCCGTACAGACGAGGAAGAAGATGATGAAGATAATGAAATAAATAGAATAAATGAAGACAAAAATATTAAACAAATGACAGCCATAACTCCTTCAAATGTTTTGCGTGAAAACAAAGAAAACGGAAAGAAGCACTCTTCGAATATTCAACAACAACTTCCTCCAAATTTTATAGATTTTACTTTTCGACATTTTTTTTCTGACGGAATTGGTGGAAGCACTAGTGGTAAATTTATTTTTGTTTGAGATTGAGTGCTTATTGTTAGTTTTGTCGGAATTCCGGTTTCCAACTGTTTCCCTGAGGCATTTTATCGTCTGGCATTTCCGACACTTTCGTCATTTCCGGTCGGTATTTAGGAAGGAACCTACAAAAAATTGAACATGTTCCTCGTGTATTTTTTTATTTTAAGGCATTCCCCACTCAGCAATTCGGCCAGGTGGTCATCACGGTCCATTACGTCCAAGTTTAGCCCCTTTAATGGAATCTGCTGAAAGACAAGCTGCCGCAATTAAAAAGGCTAACGAAACCAAAGCGACCAATTCAAAAAATAAAATGGTACAATCACCTACAATTCCTATTTTGTCATCACCATCATCTTCAAATAATCAAACAACAATTTTGCAAATTGGAGGTTTTTTGATTATTAAAAATTAAAAAATATTTTTATTTTAGAATTTCCAAGAAAAGAAGATTCAAAATTAAAAGAGGAAGAAGAAAAATTGTTAATTGGGCAGCGTAAAAAATTCCAAGTAAGGTTTTTTCACAATTAAAATTTTAAAAATATTTTTTAGGCACTGAGGCTAGCTGACAATAATGATAATTGGTCTACAAGTAATGAGGATGAAGAGGAAGAAAATGAATGGTCAACAGCGGCAAGTCGTTGCTAAAGGAACATATTTACGTATTTTTTTAAGTTTTAATATTGTAATTTTGTAAAAATAATAATAAATACTTATAAATGTATTTATATTATTACTAAATAAAAATATTATATAATTTATTTTAGACATCTGTTCAAACAAATTAGGGGAAAATTAAAAAAATGTTTTTTGCTGGGAGAGAAGTGAAGAGGTCCTTCTTTCCTCTTATAAATTCTCTCATTTCCCTCACATTTCCTCATTTTATGGACGCCCTTAAAGTCAAAAAATCTCGCGTGAATAATCGATTATTATTTTACGTTGATCGAACGGCTAAAGAAAAAAAGGATAAAGCATTATTTTTAGCCGAGAAAATCTCTGAATGATTTAATAAATACGTGTTTATAGCTTCCCTTTTTCCTCTTGTTTTTCTACTAGTTGTTTTGATGTAAAAATCACTGTGTGTGGTTAACACTTTTATTAAATGCTCGAACACGTTTTTCCTTCTTTTTTTACACTTTTTTTCAAGTTCCCTTTTTTCCCGATTAAATTTCCTCCTGTGTTTTTATTGAAATACTTTTGTAGAACAAAACAAACATAACAAATTAATTTTAAAGTTTGTTTGTTTTTAAGACTAAGTTTAAGTTTAAAAAAATTGTTTGTTTTGAATAAAACCTGAAATGTTTTTGATAAGTATGCCTAATCTAATTATAATAGTTTTATTCTTGTTTTTTTCGTCAAAACAAGAAAAAGAGTATTATACTAAATATTATTAAAGGCCGTTTATAATAGTAAAGTGCGCGAGAGAGGAATTAAAAGCAAAAAGAGAAAAAAGAATTTTTGCATGAAACTATTGCATGAAAGTATTGCAACAATACAAAATGTCCTTTATTTTGAGAGGGTTTTTTAGTTATTTTGTAAATTATTTGAAGTCTTAAAATCCCGAAGAATTAATTCAGATGACATCGACAATGTCAGAATGACTAATGTTAGATCATCTTTCCCTTTCTCCTCCTAACATCAATTTTATGTCCCAAATTTTATTTTTTAATTATAGTACGAATAACCACCCCCAACAATTCCCGTCTAAAATATTCTTCTCCTTTTTGTCTTACCGCAAGTAAAAATAAAAAAAAATGTGTAACTGATTTGTCGCTTTGTTTTTGTACGTTTTTTTTCAATGCAAGTTTTCGATTATATTTTCAACCTTCCGTTTTCTCTTTTATTTTTAAATTATTTTCAATCTCCTCTTTTTTTTATAATTTGCCAAAGAAGGTAGTAAAAAAAGAAAGAAAATAACACCCCACTAACAATTGTGCGCGTTAAGATTTCAAAATCGTTTAAAATTACGTGATCAATTTAGAGCGGAAATTGGTATTTTGTTTTGAAAATGGCTGATAAAATTTTTAAATTAAATTGATAATAAAAAATATACCCAACTTGAGTCATAGTTTTATTCTTTGTTGTTAAAATTAAAACAAAAAAAATACTGGCAGACAAATGGATTCGAACCTTGTGATTAATTGTCATATGTTTCTGACACGTTATACCACTAAACCACGTGTAATATAAATTGTTTTTATTGTTGTTTTTACGGTCTACAAACTTAAGTTTACAACATCTGTTTTTACAAACTTAAAAAACTTTTCAAGCTTTAAATAGATTTTATTCAATGCAAACTCTAGGCACAAATTCTGAACATGCTCAATGCTGGGTTCTCTCTTAATTTTGTTTTTGAAAAAATCTGGTATTAAGTGAGAAAAACTAAAACATATGTTTTCTGAACTTTGAGATTAAAAATAACTAAATTTATTTTTATAAACTTTTCATGAAAAGTTTGCTTTTTTTAGTTTTATTTAAGATAAGTTTTGAGTTTTTAATTTAAAAAATATTAAGAACATATGTAATTAAATGTTCACCTTCTAATGAGTTCAACTGCATAAAAGATGCCCTATATTTACCTTTTTAATCCCTTTTTACAATTTTTTAATTCTCCATTTTTCTATTTTTATTTCCTCACTGAAAATAAAATCAATCCGCGCTTAACTAAAATAAATAAATATAAATTTATGTTCTCAATTTCTACATATTCATTTCCTTATTGGAGGCTAAAAAATAATTTATTTTAGCTAAAATGCCATTTAAAAATACTTATATTTATTTTAATAATTTTTTAAAAATTATTTTAGAATTTTAAATGGCGGATCCAAATAATTTACCGCCTAGACCACCCCAAAGTACTACACCTAGAACAGGTTTGAGATTTAATTAATTTAAATATCGTATAAATTATAAAAGGTGTTCCACAATGGTCGATTACACGGAGAGAACGAACAGAAATGACTCCTCCAGGTATATCTGTCTCTCAAAAAATTATTTGTTTCTCTTTGACAGGTCGTAGCAGTAGTCGAAGTGGAACAGAGGGAGGAGATTCCGACTCTGACAGTGGTGGAGGGATTTATAGAGCTAGAACTGTTACAAGTACAGAAAGAGTTCAAATAGTACAAATGCCAATGGAATTGAGCCAAGTTAGCTCAGAACAATTGGAAATGATTTCATTATCGCCAGAAACTGAAGCGAGCAGAGAAGTAAAAAGAATAAATTTTTTAAAATTAATTTTTATTCTCAAGGTTTGCACAACTACAACAACTATTGAAGCTGGTGCTGTGCCCATTGTTGGAGGTTTAACTAATTCTGGGGTGAATTTTTCACATTTTTGTTTTTTTCACATTCCGGAAAAGTTTTTACAATTTGTAAAATATTTTATTAAATTCCGGAAAAGTTTTTACAATTTGTAAAATATATGATTAAATTCCGGAAAAGTTTTTACAATTTGTAAAACATTTTATTAAATTCCGGAAAAGTTTTTACAATTTGTAAAATATTTTATTATATTCCGGAAAAGTTTTTACAATTTGTAAAATATTTTATTATATTCCGGAAAAGTTTTTACAATTTGTAAAACATTTTATTAAATTCCGGAAAAGTTTTTACAATTTTATTAAATTCCGGAAAAGTTTTTACAATTTGTAAAATATTTTATTATATTCCGGAAAAGTTTTTACAATTTGTAAAATATATTATTTAATTCCGGAAATGTATTTACAATTTGTAAAATATATTATTTAATTCCGGAAATGTATTTACAATTTGTAAAATATATTATTAAATTCCGGAAAAGTGGTCGAAACAGTTATCCAAGGAAGTTATTCAAGGATATATAATTATTTTTTCTCAGGTCCCTATAGTCAGCGGCATTTTCTTAAATAGAGAATCACGTCGAACTACAACAATAATTACAACAACCAAAACAACATATAAAATATTGGAAGATACAAGTGATGATGATTTGGAGTTTGTACAAATGCCAGAATCTACAATATCAACATCCACAGCTACTACAATAAAAGAAAAGGACGATTTTCTAATAATAAATAAAACAGATAGTTCAATAACTTCAACAAGTGAAGATGATGATAATTATGATTTAAAATCTTCAACATCTTCACTTTTATTAAAACAAATTCCTTTAAAAACTAAAAATGAAGAAGATGATGAAGAAACTGTAATAACTACAACTAATACAACAATTGATAAATTAAATGAAAATAAAGAGAAGGAAGACGAAGAAATTATTGTTACTTCGTCTAATATTGTTGTGAGTTTTTGTACTAAAAAAGTTAGTACTTTTCCGTTTAATTCGTTGGCTTTACTTTTGCCAGTGGCCGGTTCCAAAGCCTTTCGATTGATATATATCCTTATGATCGGAAATGCTTGTGGATCGAGTTTAAAGAGACAAAATCGCCTTGATCCGGTGATTATGAACAAAATTATGATTATTTGAAGAGCGGGCGTATAGAAAAGTACTAAAAAAACTTGCAAGGGCAACAAAAAATAAAAATTTTGCACAAAAATACTCCTTTTTTCATTCACCCTTTTTAAAGGTAATCCCCTCAGAAATCCGCTCACCGCCATATTCTCCACATTCTTTTGCAAATACATCTACATTTTCCTCTCCAAATAGTGAAGGTATTATGCACACATTTGATGATGAAGAATTTTGTGCTCAATTGGCAAAAGCAGCTGAAGCTTCTATTTCACCTTTCATGCATAAGACGACAACAACAAAGCCAGTTAGGGAAATTAGTGAAGAACCTTTAGAACACTGGGTTATGTTGCCGGACAGTCGGCAACCATTAAAGGAGTGTAGTACACAAACTATAGAAGAAGAAATTGAAGAGCCTCATCCTTCAACCAGCTGTTGGGATGAAGCAAAAAGTGTTGAGATTGATAATTATGTTAATGTTTATTCTAATGGATACTATTCAAAATTAGTAGAAGATGAAGAGGGAATATTAAATGGGACTAAAAGAGGTGAATTTAAAAAAAAGCCTGCAAGATCCCCCTCCACTGCCTCCCCAGTGGAGGGAAGTACCCCCTAAAGAACACTCTCCCCTCCACTTTTAAGTGCATAAATAGCCTTTGTGGTTGATTAAATTACTCCGAAAAAATTAATTTTGATTCTATTTTAGAATCACCTCTGGCTAATTTGTTTGAAACTACTCAACAGCCACAATTAAAAGAATCTCAACTTGATAAACACGTTAGTGTTTATTCTTCAGGATATTCAGATGAAATTAAACCAAAAACTTCAAAAATGAAAGAATATACAAAAATTGAAGAACCATTTATTGGAAATATTTATGGATTGGAAAGGAATGAATTGGAAGATTTACCTTTAGAAGTTGAAAGGAAACATGATGGATTCTATGATGTTTTACCTTCCACCTCAACAATGGGTGAAGCAGAAAAGAAACATGGAACATTTGAGAAGCTAACAAATATTTTTAAAGGTAGATTGTTATCTATAATCAGAAACTTAATCAGAATTTTTAAAGGTAGCAAAGGTGTGGACGAATTTCCAGTCGATTCCGAGCCTTTCACTGGCCCAATCTTTAACACTAACTTAATTTCTGAAGCACCAAACGAACAGATTATTTCGTTTGTCAATATGTATTCAACAGGGCGTTCTGATGAGATAACAATGGTGCCGACAACTTCAGAATTTCCAAAAATTGAAGCTCCCTTTATTGGCACCCTTTCTGAAACAAATAAATCTGAATTGGAAACGATCCCATTGGAAGTAGAGAGGAGGCATATTGGCTATTACAAAAATTTACCTCTCCTAATTGAAGAAGAAAAGAAGCCTGGAGCATTGGAAAAACTAACTCAGATATTCAAAGAAAGCAAAAAAATCGAAGAATATCCTGTTGAATCAGTTCCGTTTACTGGCCAAGTTGCAAGTACTAGTGCTATGCTTGAAGCTAAAAATGAGCCTATCCATTCTTTTGTTAGCATTTATTCTTCTGGGCGTTCTGATGAAGTTCCAACAACGAAAGCTGCAGAATTTCCCTTTAATGAATCTCCATTCACTGGCAATGTTTCTGAATCAAATCGGCGGTTAGAACTTACTCCAATACCTTTGGAGATTGAAAAACAGCATGTTGGCTATTACGATCATTTGCCTTCAACAAGTAATGAAGAAGAGAAGAAGCCTGGAGCGCTAGAAAAACTAACTCAGATTTTCAAAAGGCCCAAAACAGATGGAGATTACCCAGTTGATTCTGAACCTTATACTGGATATTTAAAGTCATTGAATAAAATTTCTGAAGCTAGAGAAGAGCCAATCCATTCATTAGTTAGTGTCTACTCGTCTGGGAAATATGACGAAATTCCAACAACAAAAATGAATGAATATCCTTCAAATGAAGCTCCGTATATTGGCAATGTTCCTGAGTCTAGGATAGTGCCGGACTTGGAAAGAATACCATTAGAGGTTGAAAAACAGTTTGACTTGCCTAGAGAGCTTCCAACAGAATTAACAGAGTATCCCAACTTTGAGGAAATATTTATTGGCCATATTCATGAGTTACAAAGAAATGAGGTAGAAAATGTGCCATTGGAAGTTGAGAAGAAACACATTGGATTTTATGAAGGGACCCCTTCAACATCAATTGAAGAGAAAAAGCATGGAACTCTAGAAAAACTAACAAGAATTTTTAAAGGAAGCAAGAAAAGCGAAGAATTTCCTGTTGATTCTGAACCATTTGCAGGCTTAATTCCCACTACTAGTGCCATGCCTGAAGCTCAAACAGAACCAATTCATTCTTTTGTTAGTGTCTACTCTTCTGGACATTCTGATGAACAACCATTAACAAAACCGACAGAATATCCACAAATTGAAGAGCCATTTACTGGACATATCACAGAGTCAATAAAAGGGGCTGAATTAGGTGTACAACCTTTGGAGCTCGAGAGGTTACATACTGGCTTTTATCAAAATCTGCCTACAATTCATTCTGAAATGGAACATATGCCAATTGGATTCGAAACGAAGCACATAGGATATTATGAACAGCTGCCCTCAACATTAACTAAAGGATCAGAATATCCCAAACATGAAGAACCATTTATTGGCCACATTCATGATTTACAACAAAATGAAATTGATAGTGTGCCAATAGAGGTTGAAAATAAGCACGTTGGATATTACGAACATCTTCCTTCAACAACTAGCAAAGAAGAAAAAAAGCCGGGAACTTTAGAAAAATTAACTAGCCTCTTTAAAGGAACTAAAACAGAAGGAGAATTCCCGGTCGATGCTGAACCTTATTCTGGCCCTATCACATTGACTAACACCGATACTGATATGACAACAGAACCAATCCATTCAATGGTCAGTATCTACTCTTCCGGAAGGTCTGATGAGATTCACCAATCAAAATCAACAGAATTTCCAATTAATGAAACTCCATTTGTTGATCATGTCCCAGAGTCAAAGCTTCATTCTGGAATGGAACATACACCTCTGGATTTGGAAAAGAAGTATATAGGGTATTATGAGCAGCTTCCCTCAACGTCAACAAAAACCTCAGAATATCCAGAACCTGAACAACCATTTATTGGCGATACTCATTCTTTACAACGAAATGAAGTGGAAAATATGCCAATGGAAATTGAAAATAAACATATTGGTTTTTACGAGCATCTTCCGTCTTTAACTGTCAAAGAAGAAAAGAAGCCTGGAACAATTGAAAAACTGACTAAGATTTTTAAAGGAGGCAAAAATTTTGAAGAGTATCCTGTCGATTCGAAGCCATATTCTGGCTCGATTGCCAGTACAAGCACAATGTCTGAATACAAAACGGAGCCACTTCATTCATTAGTCCATGTCTACTCTTCTGGTCGTTCTGATGAAGCTCCTTTAGTATCAAAATTGCCAGAATATCCAAAAGAACAACAATACATTGGACACGTTCCAGATTCTTCTAGACAAAATGAATTACATGAAATCCCTCTCGAAGTTGAAAGGAGACATATTGGTTATTATGAACACCTTCCTCTACAACCTAAAGAAGAGCCAAAACATCATGAGGCACTCGAAAGTTTAACACATTTTTTCAAAAGTGAACCAAAGCATGAAACTTACCCCAAAGATATGAGTGAGTTTTTCAATAAAATTCGTTTTAATCTCCCTCTCTTTTAGCCCCATTTTCTGGACATTTATTTGAAACCTCACGACCTTTAGAATTAACTGAAGCACCAATAGATAGTCAAGTTGCCGTTTATTCTTCTGGACGTTCTGATGAAATGCCAACAAAAATAATAAAAATATCAGAATTTCCAATTAATGAAGATCCATTTATTGGGGATATTTATGAAGCAAAACTTGAAGAAATTAAAGAGGTTCCTTTGGATGTTGAAAGGAAAAATGTTGGTTATTATGAACATCTGCCTTCTACATCAACAAAAACATCAGCATATCCAAACATTCAACAACCATTTATTGGCCATATTCATTCTTTACAACGAAGTGGGGTGGAAGATATGCAAATGGAAATTGAAAACAAGCATCCGGGATATTACGAGCATCTTCCGTCTTTAACTGTTAAAGAAGTGAAGCCTGGAGCATTGGAAAAACTTACTCATATATTTAAAGGGATTAAAAGTACTGAAAAGTTCCCTGAAGTCACTGAACCGTATATTGGCCCCCTTACAAGCACCAATATAGCTCCTGAGGTAAAACATCAACCAATACTTTCAATGGTCGGAGTTTATTCTTCCGGACTTTTTGAAGAAAACGAAGCAACAAATAAGACAGAATACCCAATAAACGAAGAACCATTTGCAGGGAATATTTATACCTTACAAAAAGATGAGCTTGATGAGAAACCTCTAGAAGTTGAGAAAAAGCACATTGGATTTTATGAAGGGACCCCTTCAACATCAAAGGAAGAAAAGCATGGAGCACTTGAAAAACTATCAAGAATTTTTAAAGGAAGCAAGAAAAGTGAAGAATTTCCTGTAGATTCTGAACCATTTTCCGGCTTAATTGCCACTACTAGTGCCATGCCTGAAGCTCAAACAGAACCAATTCATTCTTTTGTTAGTATCTACTCTTCTGGACATTCTGATGAACAACCACCAGTAAAGACAGCAGAATTTGTTGAAGAAATAGTTGGCAATCTACCTGAAACGATGGTGCATTCTGAAATGGAACATATGCCTATTGAATTTGAAAGGAGGCACATAGGATATTATGAACAGCTTCCCTCAACATCAACAAAAACACCAGAATATCCCAAACTTGAAGAGCCATTTATTGGCCACATTCATTCCTTACAACGAAATGAAGTTGGAAATTTACCATTGGAAGTTGAAAATAGTTATATGTGATATTACGAACATCTTCCATCCTTAACAGCTGTCATTGAAGAAAAGAAGCCTGGGGCTTTAGAAAAATTAACTAATCTCTTCAAAGGAACTAAAACAGGAGAATTTCCTATTGATTCAGAGCCTTATCATGGTCCAATCACATTGACCAACACCGATACTGATTTAACAACGGAACCAATCCATTCTATGGTTAGTATCTATTCTTCCGGGCGTTCTGATAAAGTTCTAACAACAAAAGCTACAGAATTTCCAATTAATGAAGCTCCATTTGTTGATTATGTCCCAGAGTCAAAACTCCATTCTGGAATCAAACATATACCTCTAAATTTGGAAAAGAAGTATATAGGGTATTATGAACAATTACCCTCAGCACCAACAAAAACTTCAAATCCAGAACCTGAACAACCATTTATTGGCCATATTTATTCTTTACAACGAAATGAGGTGGAAGATATGCCAATGGAAGTTGAAAACAAGCATATTGGGTTCTACGAGCATCTTCCGTCTTTAACTGTCAAAGAAGAAAAGAAGCCTGGAGCTCTAGAAAAACTAACAAAACTGTTCAAAGGTGGCAAAACAGTTGGAGAATATCCTTATGATTCAGAGCCATTTTTTGGCCCTATTGCTAGTACAAGTACAATTCCTGAAGCTAGAAAAGAGCCTATCAATTCATTTGTCAGTATTTATTCTTCCGGACGTTCTGATGAACTTCTATCAGCTAAATCAACAGAATATCCCAAAATAGAAGCTCCATTTATTGGAAATATCCCAGAGACGAAACCTGGGGGCGAATTTGATTCATTACCAATTGAAATTGACAAGAAGCATATCGGGTTCTATGAAAAATCGCCTCCACCATTAAAAAAGGAAGAAACTAAATATCCCAAAATGGAAGTCATAGGTATATATTTAATGCTTGATACAAGTTAATGTTCCTTTTATTTCAGAGGATTATTCGGAGCCATTTACTGGTACATTTTCTGAAATTACCCGACACTTAGAATTGACTGAAGCACCGATAGATAATCAAGTTTCTGTTTACTCTTCTGGTCGTTCTGATGAAATTCCAACAAAAATTATAAAAATATCAGAATTTCCAATTAATGAAGATCCATTTATTGGGAATATTTATGAAGCAAATAGACTTGAAGAAATTAAAGAAGTTCCATTGGAGGTTGAAAGAAAACATGTGGGTTATTATGAACATCTGCCTCTTTCAACGTGCGAAGAAGAGAAGAAGCCCGGAGCACTGGCTAAGTTGACACACTTTTTCAAGAGTGGAGAGTCAAAAGATGTTTATCCCCATATTACCGGTAATTAATAATTAATTTTCCCTAAAATCTCGACTTCCTTCAGATCCATATTCTGGACATGTGTTTGAATCTATTCATTCTGACGAATTGACTGAATCACCTTTAGAGCACCATGCTAATGTTTATTCTTCCGGGGAAACTTCAAAAGCACCAGAAATATCAAAAACAACAGAATATCCAATAAACGAAGAGCCATATTTTGGTTACATTCCGGATTCAAGACGTCAAAATGAATTGAATGAAGTCCCCTTGGAACTGGAGAAAAGACATATTGGGTACTATGAACATTTACCTTCTACAGCTACAGATGAGGGTGAAAAGAAACATGGAGGAGCATTAGAAAAATTGACTCAAATATTTAAAGGAAGCAGAATTTCAGAAGATTTTCCTTTTGATAAAGAAGCTTATACTGGACATGTTTCAATGACTGGTACAGCAAATGAAGCAACAAATGTGCCAATTCATTCTTTGGTTAATATTTACTCTTCTGGACTTTCTGACGAACATTTAACAACAAAAATGTCAGAATTCCCTAAAATTGAAGCACCATTTGTTGGATACATTTCTGAAACAAAACGACAATCTGACTTAAATCCATCTACTTTTGATGTGGAAATGAAGAATATTGGTTACTACGAACATTTGCCTACTTCATTAATTGAAGAGAACAAGCATGGAAAACTAGAAAAACTTACTCAATTCTTCAAAGGAACCAAAAACTTTGGAGATTTTCCTTTGGATTCAGAGCCATATGTAGGCCCGATTGCTAGTACAAGCACAATGCCTGAATCTAAAACGGAGCCAATAAATTCTCTCGTCAATGTTTATTCTTCTGGACCTTCTGATGAACTCCCTTCAGCAATCCCCCCAGAGATTATAAAGCAAACAGAAATCGAAACTCAATTCGCTACTAAAGTCCAAGCTGAATTAGAAGGCATACCTTTAGACATTGAAAAAAAGCATGTTGGCTATTATGATCAACTTTCCCTAGCATCAAGTATGGATGAAAAAAAGAAGCCTGGAAGATTAGAAAAATTGACAAAACTCTTCAAAAGAAGCAAAAATGAAGGAGAGTTTCCTTTTGATTCTGAACCTTTTGCTGGAGAAATTAAAGGCACACAAAAAATGTCTGAAATGGCAACAGAGCCAATCCATTCATTAGTTAGTATCTACTCTTCCGGAAGGTCTGATGAAGTTCGAGCAACAAAAATAACTGAATTCCCCATTAATGAAGCTCCATTTGTTGGAAATGTTCATGAAGTTCATGAAACTTCACCAATTGAAGTTGAAGCGCAGCATGTAGGGTATTACGAACAGCTTCCCTTAACATCAACAAAAACCTCAGAATATCCAAAACTTGAAGAATCATTTATTGGTCATGTTCATGAGAATAGACTTCAGTCTGAATTGGCTGCATTACCTCTTAATGTGGAAAAGAAGCATTTAGGCTATTATGAATCACTAACAGAAACATCAAAATATCCAAAAATCGAACAACCGTTTATTGGCCATATTTATTCTTTGCAACAAAATGAAGTTGAAAGTGTGCCAATAGAAGTCGAACATAAACATATTGGATATTACGACCATTTACCTTCAACTAAGGGTGAAGAAAAGAAACCGGGAACTTTAGAAAAACTGACTAAACTCTTCAAAGGAAGTAAGACGGAGGGAGAATTCCCCGTTGATTCAGAACCTTTTAATGGATATATTGCAAGTACTAGTGTATTGTCTGAAGCTCAATCCGAGCAAATACATTCTTTAGTTAGTGTTTACTCTTCTGGAAGGTCTGATGAAATTCCAACAGCGAGAATACCGACAGAATCTGTAGAAGGTATCTAAACATTTCCTTGATATTCTTTAACCTTTATTCCTTTTAAGAACCATCAGCTCATTATTTATTCGAGACTGAAAGAAATTCTGATTTGCCTGAATACCAATTAAATAATCTTGTTAATGTCTATTCTTCCGGACATTCTGATGAAATTACAACAACAAAAATAAAATTCCCTATTAATGAAGTCCCATTTGTTGGAAATTTTCATGAAATAAAACGACAAGAATGTGAAACTTTACCACTTGAATTTGAAATAAAGAATGTTGGCTATTATGAACATTTGCCTTCAATAACAACGGAAGAGGTGAAGAAGCCTGGGTTGTTGGATAAAATAACGCATCTGTTCAAAGAGGATGTGCCGAGTAGTGATTATCCTCAAGTTACTGGTATGAATGTAGAATCATTAGACTTTTCAAATCCTCCTTTTTTAGCTCCATTCTCTGGGCATGTATTCGAAACCAACCGTCCTACTGAACTTCGTGAATCTCAGATAGAGCAACATGTTAATGTTTACTCTTCCGGACGTTCTGACGAGATTCCAAAAACTACGGAATATCCCATAGAAACATCTTATGTTGGATATATTTCAGATTCAAAACGTTTACCCGAAATTGATTCAGCTCCTTTGGAGATTGAAAACAAACACATTGGTTACTATGAAAATCTACCTTCTACAACAGCTGAACATTCAGAAAAGAAGCTTGGAACGCTGGAAAAACTGACTCACTTCTTAAAAGGAAGTAAACCCTCAGAAGAGTTTCCTTTTGATTCGGAACCATACGTCGGGACGCTGCAAAGAACTGAGGCAACATCTGAAGCTCCAAATGAGCCTATCCACGCTTTTGTTAGTGTTTATTCTTCTGGACGTTCTGATGAAATTCAAAAAACAAAAACAATAGAATTTCCTATTAATGAAGCTCAATTTATTGGAAATGTTCATCAAGTAAAACGACATGCGGAGATTGAAACTTCACCACTTGAGTTTGAAGTAAAGCATGTTGGTTATTATGAAGAATTACCTTTAGTAACAACAAAAACATCAGAATATCCAAAACTTGAACAACTATTTATTGGCCAAATTCATTCCACGCGACGAGATGAAATTGAAAATTTACCATTGGAAGTTGAAAATAATTACATTGGGTATTACGAGCATCTTCCATCTTCAACAACTAGCAAGGAAGAAAAGAAGTCTGGAGCTTTAGAAAAGCTAACAAAATTATTCAAAGGAAGTAAACCAGAAGACTTCCCTATTGATTCTGAGCCTTATTCTGGCCCTATCACACTAACCAACACCATTAATGATTTGACAACAGAACCAATTCATTCCTTGGTAAGTATCTACTCTTCCGGACGTTCTGATGATGAGCAACAAACAGTAAAAATAACAGAATTTCCCATTAATGAAGCTCCATACATTGATTATGTTCCAGAATCAAAACTTCATTCTGGAATCGAACATATACCCTTGGATTTAGAAAAGAAGCATGTGGGCTACTATGAACAATTACCCTCTACATCATCGAAAACATTTGAATATCCAAAACATGATGAACCGTTTATTGGCCACATTCATTTTCTTCAACTAAGTGAAGTTGAAACCGTGCCAATAGAAGTTGAAAATAAACATATTGGGTATTACGAATATTTGCTTCCAACCAATGATGAAGAGAAGAAGCCTGGAGCTCTTGAAAAACTTTCAAAACTCTTTAAAGGAAGTAAAACTGATGGCGATTATCCATCTGATTCTGAGCCTTACATTGGCCAAATATCGACAACTAATATCCTTCCTGAATTACCAGAACAATCTTTACATTCTGTTGCCAACATCTATTCTTCTGGACGTTCAGATGAAATTCCGCCAAAACAATTTCCAGAACACCCCAAATTTGAAGAGATTTTTATTGCAAATATTTTTGAGACAAAGCACCATTCTGAGCTTCAAACCAAGCCATTGGATATACAAAATAAACATGTTGGTTACTATGAAAAATTGCTGATTACCGACGGGGAGGAGAAGAAACCTGGTGCATTGGAGAAGCTATCTCTTCTTTTTAAAGGTCCAGAGACTCGAGATAATTATCCACAGATCACTGGTAAATATTTAGATATTCAATTATTGAAGGAAATTTTATATTTTAGAGCCTTACGCAGGACAGATTGCAAGTACCTCTATCATGAAAGAAGTGCCAGTGGAACCAATTCATTCATTTGTCAGTACCTACTCCTCTGGACGGTCGGATGATGTCTCAACAAAAATGCCAGAATATCCAAAAATTGAAGTTCCGTTTATTGGACATGTTCACGAGTCATTTAAACGGAGTGATTTACATTCAGTTCCTCTAGAAGTTGAAAAAAGACATGTTGGTTATTATGAACAATTACCCACTCCAAAAGTAGAACCCTCTGAACGGTCTACTGAAACTTCAACAACAAAAATTGAAGAACAATTTATTGGACATGTCCCAGAGACATTGAAACATTACGACATCCATCCTGCTCAATTTGAAGTTGAAAATAAATATATTGGATATTACGAACATCAGCCATCCTCAACAACTATCAAAGAAGAAAACAAGCCTGGAGCTTTAGAAAAGCTATCAAAATTCTTCAAAGGAAGTAAGACAGTAGGAGACTTCCCTGTTGATTCAGAGCCTTATTCTGGCCCCATCGCTTTGACTAACACCGTTCACGATTTAACAACGGAACCAATCCATTCGATGGTCAGTATCTACTCTTCAGGACGTTCTGATGAAGAACAAGCAAAAAAACATTCGGAATTTCCAGTTAATGAAGCTCCCTTTGTTGATTTTGTCCCAGAGTCAAAACTTCAGTCTGGGATGGAACATATACCTCTGGATTTGGAAAAGAAGCATGTTGGCTATTATGAACATTTGCCTATAACAACAGAATATCCAAAAATTGAACAACCATTTATTGGTCACATCCATGAGAAGAATCTTCAGCCTGAATTGGGTGCATTACCCCTCGATGTAGAAAAGAAGCATATAGGCTACTATGAACATTTGCCTTCAGTAACTACGGAAGAGGGGAAGAAGGCTGGGTTGCTGGATAAAATAACCCACCTTTTCAAGGAGGATGTGAAGAATAGTGATTATCCTCAAGTTACTGGTATGAATGTAGAATCATTAGACTTTTCAAATCCTCCTTTTTTAGCTCCATTCTCTGGACATGTATTCGAAATTAATCGTCCCACTGAACTCTATGAATCTCAGATAAAACAGCATGTTAATGTTTACTCTTCCGGACGTTCGGATGAGATTCCAACAACAAAACTGATAGAATATCCAATTGTTGAAGTCCCTTTCAATGGCATTATATCTGATACAAACAAACATTCCGAGTTGAATATTTTACCTCTGGAAGTTGAAAAGAGGCATATTGGTTATTATGAAGATCTACCTTCATTAAAATCTGAAGAGGAGAAGGAACAAAAGCTTGGGGCATTAGAGAAGCTTACTCAGTTATTCAAAGGCAGCAAAGCTGCTGATGAGTTTCCATTCGACTCGGAGCCGTATAATGGGAAATTAACAAGCACTGGCATAGTTCATGAGTTAACAACAGAACCAATCCATTCAATGGTCAGTATCTACTCCTCAGGACGTTCAGATGAGGATCCAACAAAAAAGATGTCAGAATTCCCCATTAATGAAGCTCCATTTGTTGATTATGTCCCAGAGTCCAGGTTTCAATCTGGAATGGAACATACACCTTTGGACCTGGAAAAGAAACATGTTGGTTACTATGAGCAGCTACACTCAACATCATCAAAAATAACAGAATATCCAATAAACAAAGAGCCTTATCTTGGTTACATTCCGGATTCAAGGCGTCAAAATGAATTGAATGAAGTACCTCTGGAATTGGAGAAAAAACATGTTGGTTACTATGAACATTTACCTTCTACAACAACAGATGAGGATGAAAAGAAGCCTGGAGGAGCATTAGAAAAGTTGACACACTTCTTTAAAGGAAGCAAAAATTTAGAAGAATATCCATCAGATGCCGACAAATATACAGGACCTTTGGCTAGTATTAATCCTCTCCCTGAGGCAACAAATGAACCAATCCATTCTTTTGTCAGCATTTATTCTTCTGGACGTTCTGATGAAGCTCCAACAACTAAATTAACAGAATTTCCCGTTAATGAATCTATATTCACTGGCAATGTTTCTGAATCGCATCGACGCTTGGAACTTATTCCAATGCCCTTAGAAGTCGAACAACTTCATCTAGGGTATTACGATCATTTGCCTTCAACAAGTAATGAAGTAAAGAAGCCTGGCGCACTAGAAAAATTAACACATCTCTTCAAGAGATCCAAAGCAGAGGGAGATTACCCAGTTGATACTGAGCCTTATACTGGACAATTTGCGTCATTAAATAAAATTTCTGAAGCAAGAGAAGAGCCAATCCATTCATTAGTTAGTGTCTACTCGTCTGGGAAATATGACGAAATTCCAACAACAAAAATGAATGAATATCCTTCAAATGAAGCTCCGTATATTGGCAATGTTCCTGAGTCTAGGATAGTGCCGGACTTGGAAAGAATACCATTAGAGGTTGAAAAACAGTTTGACTTGCCTAGAGAGCTTCCAACAGAATTAACAGAGTATCCCAACTTTGAGGAAATATTTATTGGCCATATTCATGAGTTACAAAGAAATGAGGTAGAAAATGTGCCATTGGAAGTTGAGAAGAAACACATTGGATTTTATGAAGGGACCCCTTCAACATCAATTGAAGAGAAAAAGCATGGAACTCTAGAAAAACTAACAAGAATTTTTAAAGGAAGCAAGAAAAGCGAAGAATTTCCTGTTGATTCTGAACCATTTGCAGGCTTAATTCCCACTACTAGTGCCATGCCTGAAGCTCAAACAGAACCAATTCATTCTTTTGTTAGTGTCTACTCTTCTGGACATTCTGATGAACAACCATTAACAAAACCGACAGAATATCCACAAATTGAAGAGCCATTTACTGGCCATATCACAGAGTCAATAAAAGAGGCTGAATTAAGTGTACAACCTTTGGAGCTCGAGAGGTTACATACTGGCTTTGATCAAAATCTGCCTACAATTCATTCTGAAATGGAACATATTCCTATTGGATTTGAAAAGAAGCACATAGGATACTATGAACAGCTGCCCTCAACATCAACTAAAGGATCAGAACATCCCAAACATGAAGAACCATTTATTGGCCACATTCATGATTTACAACAAAATGAAATTGAAAGTGTGCCAATAGAGGTTGAAAATAAGCACGTTGGATATTACGAACATCTTCCTTCAACAACTAGCAAAAAAGAAAAAAAGCCGGGAACTTTAGAAAAATTAACTAGCCTCTTTAAAGGAAGTAAAACGGAAGGAGAATTCCCAGTCGATGCTGAACCTTATTCTGGCCCTATAACATTGACTAATACCGATACTGATATGACAACTGAACCAATCCATTCAATAGTCAGTATCTACTCTTCAGGACGTTCTGATGAGATTCATCAATCAAAATCAACAGAATTTCCAATTAATGAAACTCCATTTGTTGATTATGTCCCAGAGTCAAAACTTCAATCTGGGATTGAGCATATCCCTCTGGATTTGGAAAAGAAGTATACAGGTTATTATGAACACCTGCCTTCAACATCAACAACAGAAACCTTAGAATATTTGAAACATGAAGAACCATTTATTGGCCATGTTCATGAGAATAGTTTTCAATCTGAATTGAGTACATTACCTCTCGTTGTGGAGAAAAAGCACATCGGCTATTACGAACATTTGCCTACAACAAAAACATCTGAATATCCAAAACATGGAGAACCATTTATTGGCCACATATATTCTTTACAACAAAAGGAGGTTGCAAGTGTGCCATTAGAAGTTGAACACAAACATATTGGATATTACGAACATTTACCTTCAACTAAAGATGAAGAGAAGAAGCCTGGGGCTTTAGAAAAACTAACTAAACTCTTCAAAGGAAGTAAAACGGAAGGAGAATTTCCTGTTGATTCTGAGCCTTATTTTGGACCGCTTAAAGAGACTAAAGTCGTTTCAGAGGCAACAGGAGAACCAATTCATTCCTTAGTTAGTGTTTACTCTTCTGGAAGGTCTGATGATATTCCACCAACAGAATATCCCAAAGAAGCTCCATTTATTGGCTTTATCCACCATTCCAAACCTCGATTAGAATTGAATCAACAACCTTTGGACATTGAAACAAAGCACATTGGCTTCTACGAACAATTACAGCAATCTTCACATGATGAAGAGAAGAAGCCTGGAATCTTGGAAAAAATGACAAAGCTTTTGAAAGGAAGCAAAAATGAAGGAGAATTTCCGTTTGATTCGGAACCTTATATTGGCCCTATTTCAAATACTAACACAATTTCTGAACTCTCAGAAGAGCCAATTCATTCTTTAGTTAATATTTACTCTTCCGGGCATTATAATGAACAGCAAAGATTGGATAATATTTCTGAAGCAAAAATAAAAGATGAATTAATTAATATACCCTTGGATGTTGAAACTAAACATGTTGGTTATTACGAAAATTTAGAGCAACCTCCAACAATAATTAAGGAAGAAATGATAATTGAAGGTATTTTTAGTTTGAAATAGGGTAGCAACCCTAAGTTGGAATTAAAATATTTTTAATATTCAGAGTCTTTATTCCAAACTGTTCGAACTTCAGAAATGAAAGAATCAATGCTAGACAGTCATGTGAATATTTATTCTTCTGGATATTCTGATGAAATTCAGCCAATAAAAACTAAGAAAGAATATCCTCAAATTGAAGCTCCTTTCAAAGGAAACGTTTCCGAATCAAATCGTCAATTAGAAATGGATTCATTACCTCTTGAAACAGAAAAGAAGCATTTAGGTTATTACGATCATTTGCCTAAAACTGAGGAAACAAAGCTTGGATCTTTGGATAAACTGACACAAATCTTTAAAGGAAGTAAATCCCTCGAAGAATTTCCCTCAATTTCTGAGAGATATACTGGCCCTGTTAATAATACAAACATATCTGAAGCTAAATATGAACCAATCCATTCTCTCGTTAATGTTTACTCTTCTGGATATTCTGATAAACAACCAACAATAACTACAAAATTATTAGATTATCCAGTAAATCAAGCACCATTCCTTGGATACGTTTTTGAAACTAGACAACAAACAGAATTTAATTCTTCCCCATTAGAAGTTGGCAATAAGTATATTGGTTACTACGAACATTTGCCTTTAACAACAGCAGAAGATGAGGAAGAAAGGAAGCCTGGTACATTGGAAAAGCTAAAACATATTTTCAAAGGTGGAGTTTAAAAATCAGAATTTTTAAAATACAAAATTTTTATTTAGACAGCAAAGCCGTTGAACAATTTCCTTTCGATCCTGAGCCTTTCAGTGGCCCAATCGCAAACACCAAAATCACTTCTGAGGTCACAATGGAGCCTATCAACTCATTTGTCAATGTTTACTCTTCCGGTCGTTCTGATGAAGTTTCAGCTTCAACAACAATTCCAGAATACCCGAAAATTGTATCAGCTCCATTCCTTGGCACTGTTTATGAAGTAAAACGACAAGGTGAATTGACTGTTACTCCATTGGAGGTGGAAGACAAACATCCTGGATATTACGAACATCTTCCATCTTCGACAACTATCCATGAAGAAAAGAAGCCAGGAACTCTAGAAAAACTGACAAAACTCTTCAAAGGAAGTAAAACGGAAGGAGAATTTCCTGTTGATTCCAAACCATTTGATGGATACATTGCAAGTACTAGTGTAGCACCTGAAACTCGATCCGAACCAATCCATTCTCTAGTCAGTGTTTACTCTTCTGGGCGTTCAGATGAAACTCCAACAACAAAAACATCAGAATATCCCAAAACTGAAGCACTATTTGTTGGACATATCCCAGAGACAAAACATTCCGATCTCCATCATGTTCCATATAAAATTGAAAAGAAGCACATTGGTTATTATGAACAGCTACCCTCAACATCAACAAAAACATCAGAACATCCAAAACTTGAACAACAATTTACTGGACACATTCATTCCACGCGAAGAAATGAGGTTGAAGATTTACCATTGGAAGTTGAAAATAGGCATATTGGCTTCTACGAACATCTTCCTCTCACAAACCAAGAAGAGAAGAAGCCCGGAACTTTGGAAAAACTAACAAAATTCTTCAAAGGAAGTAAATCTGAAGGAGAATTTCCTGTTGATTCGGAGCCTTATTCTGGCCCTGTCATATTGACCAATACTGCTACTAACTTGACAACAGAACCAATCCATTCTCTGGTTAGCGTTTACTCTTCCGGACGATCTGATGAAATTCAAAAAACAAAAACAACTGAATTTCCAATTAATGAGGCTCCATTTGTTGATTATGTTCCCGAGTCAAAACTTCAATCTGGAATTGAACATGTACCCTTGGATTTGGAAAAGAAGTATATAGGGTATTATGAGCAGCTTCCCTCAACATCAACAAAAGAATCATTTATTGGTTATATTCATCAAAATAAACTTCAGCCAGAACTGGCAGTATTACCCCTCGTTGTGGAGAAGAAGTATATAGGCCATTATGAACAGTTGCCTACAACATCTTCAAAAACACAAGAATATCCACAACTTGAACAACCGTTTATTGGCCACGTTCATTCCTTACAACAAAATGAAGTTAAAAGTGTGCCATTGGAAGTTGAACATAAACATATCGGATATTATGAACATTTACCTTCTAAAGATGAGGAAGAGAAAAAGCCTGGCACTTTAGAAAAGCTGACAAAACTCATAAAAGGAGGGAAAACACACGAAGGATTTCCTGTTGATTCTGAGCCTTATATTGGCTCGGTTGGAGAGTTCAGCAAAATTTCTGAGATGATACCAGAACCAATTCATTCTTCAGTCAACTTATACTCTCCCGGGCATTATGAACTTTTGCCAATTAAAATGATCCTCCAAACTTCTCCAGATAATCAAGAAATAAAAAGTGTGCCTCTCGACGATAATTTTGTTAAAATTAAAGAAATTAATGGAATTTCTGATAAAAAATCGCTAAAATCTGAAGAAGGGTTTTTACGAGGATCTGTTGAGACAATTGTCCCAGCACCTTTAAAGGAAGAAATAAAAATTGAAGAAAAGCCTATTTTGGAAGAGAAAAAATTTTTAGCTCTTAGATTAAACAAAAATGAGATTAAAAATGTTTTGATTGAAGATTTTGTCAAAGTTTACAATAATGGGTATTCCTTTGTTATTATTGAGGAGAAGGATATTCCCTTAAAAAAGGAAATAAGTGAAGTTATAACAGCAGAAAAATTAATTAAAAATGTTCAGAACAAAAGTTTTGAGTTGGATTATATTCCAATTGAAAAAAGTGTTTCTTTGTATCATCATGGATGGTATGGAGGAAGACTTGCCGAAGTTGAGGATGAAAAAGATGGGATAGATAAAAGACAAATATTGTCTCATATGAATGGAACATTGAGCGATATTGAACAGAAAAGGGATGTTATTGGAAGTGTTGGTTAGTGGATATATTTTTAATATTTTAATAAATATGAGGGATAAACTTTTAAAAATAGAGCCAATACTGTAACAAAGAAGAGATTCAGCTGGTTAGAAAAATCCAGCTGGCCTTAATCGGTACAACAGCTGTCTGGACTTTGGGTCTAATTTCTTACTGAATAAAGGGAGATGTCTTATAAAGAAGCACCAAGCATTTTTAACTGAAGGTTTCTTATTTTAGACAAAACCCTCACCAAACCCGAAGAAAACCAAACTGTTGAACCCGTTGAATTACACGTTCGTATAAGTGAATTAAAGAAGAAGCCTATCATTCCTGAAGAAAATGAAAAGAAGAAATTAAAACAATTATCGTTTCCAACAACATTTCCTGTTAAAGAAACTAAATTTGAAGAAAGAACTCTTGGAGAAGATCAGTTACAAAGTATTTATGCAAAAGCGGCATCTTTTAGAGATGGTGAGGAATCTTGTAAATTAATCAAGAATAATGTGTTTATTCCAGAAAGACTTCCTGTTGCTGCCACCCAAAGAATGAGACGTCCAATGGTCATGAAAAGTGAAGATCTGAGTATAGATTCGAAACGTATGTTTCATTTTATAATTTAACAGCTTCCGGTTTAAAAATAAGGGAGTGAAAATAATTATTAGCCCCGAGGGGATCCGAACCCATTTATGTTTTAAATTTATTAACCAGCGCCAAAACTCGCCAGTTTTGGCGTTATGACGTTTGGCGTGTTTTAAGAATTCGATTTAAGAAGCACCTTATTTTCCAATTACTTTCTCTATAAGGGCTTTTGCGCGGAATTCTGGTAGAATGCTTCTCGTTTCAACCTCTTTAACATTAATAATTTTCAGCAAAACCACTTCCCCGTACTCAATATACTTCACAATATTCTGACCAACTCTATAAATATTCATCACCAGGATCTATTCGTAGACCTGTAGGTGCTTCCCCTAGAGGATGGACAAGTGTAACTGAGGCTACTACAATTACTTTTGCTAAACGTCATTCATTTGATAGAACAACAGAAGAGGGGAAAGTGCAACATGTTGTTGAGGACATAATTGTCTATAGACATGGAGGAGGTGGAAGTGCTGGTCCTGTTCGGCGTATGCTTCCTCCAGGGCTTCCTAAGGCTCCGGCAACCAAAAAGAATATTTTGCCAAGCTCTTATTTGGATGAACGTTATCATAATATTAGTCAACGCTACAATTATTACAGGTACTTTATGGGTTTTATAGAACCATTTCTCTCCTTTTTAGAAGCCGTTCCCAAGATCAGGAACAAAGAGGGCAACGAAAACACGATAAATGGTTACAGACTGATCCAGAAGAATTAATGGAATTAAACAACGTTCCCTTTGAACACACTTCTCGAAGTGTGGGAAGAACAACAACAACAGAAAAAAGAAGTCATCATTTACGTACTTATCGTTCATATTCCTCACACCTTTATGACAGGTTGAAAGATTTTTTAAAAATTAAAAAAAATTTAACTAGGCATGCTTATGCCCGAGACTATAGCAGTCCAAGAAGGAGTTGTGATGCAAGTCCAGAAACATTTGCTTATCGTACTGAACGCTCTACACATTCATTGGGAAGATTAAATGATGATTCTCCAATGCGGAGTGGTAATTTTCTTAAAATTATTTCAAGAATTTAATTCTTTTCAAGGCTTTCCACGCGCCACAACCGCGCCAATTGCAACACAAACACCACCACTCCAACAACGTCGTACTTTTATGAACTATGAAAGTTCCATAAACAGGCAACAAGCCCCTGATCAATCGCCTAGGATGGTATACCTTGTTATTTAAATAAAAATTTGGGGATTCTAAGGTTTATGCCCCTAGGTTTTCTTATCTCTCCGAGATTTCCCTTTTTGCCTTTGCAAAAACTCCCTTTTTTGTCATTTCCTAAAAAAATTCTTTTATAGCAGAAGCAACTCATAGCGCAACGTTCCAATATCGAAGAGACACCTCTTTCAGTTTACTCGCAAAATGGAGTTGATGAAACTCGAACAACAATACAACGTTTGATTTTTCTAAAACAATTTTCCTTTTAATCTTCCCTTTTCAGATTCAAAAACCCTGCCATTAGAAACGCGTATACTTCCCCCAGGCATTCATACACCTCCCCCACCTCTTCCACACTTTTCAACAATAAATGGTGGAAGTCATGAAATAGACGAAATTAAACATGAGAAACAGGGAGGAAGTCGAAGAACCTCCCGAGCTTCCTTGCGCCAAGCACGGCAACGTATCCGAAATTATTGTGGGGTGCTATAAGTTGTGAATTTTTTTAATCAATTTGTGATAACAAAAGATTTTCTAATTAAAACGGTGCTAATTTCGATGCCTTTTGTTTTCTCTCAAAGCCTTTTGACACCGATAGATCCGGTTTATTTGTTAAGAAACGCATTTTTGTTTTATCTTTTTATATTTTTAAAATGCTCATTTTTCAATTTTATATTATTTAATGTATCCAGAAATTTATTATTTTTTTATTGATTTTTGGAATAAATTTAAAAAATTTTACAAATTTTTAAAATTTCAAGTCAGGAAGGGGTGCCAAAATTGAACACAGGCATAGTAGACAGAATGGAACTTAAGGAGGGATTTTATTCATTTCCATTTTTTAAGTTTATTATCACCAAAATAAAATTAAAAATATAAAAAATAACAACAATTGATTGTCAATTAATACAATTGCAGAACCAGCTCGAAGATCTGGTTCATAAACAAGCACCTACAAAAATACAATTTTACTTTAATCTTAAAAATGATAATTACCCCGTCTATTAAATGCATAAATCCATTAATTCCAGCAATTTCACCCCCTTCAATAATTCTTGCCACTCGATTACCTCTCGGCCAGTAAAGTTCAAAATCTATAAAATTAAGGGGAATTTATTTTTAAAAATTAAAGAAAAATTATACATCTGCCACGCCGTCTAATAATCACTTTCTCATCATTCATCATCACATAAGTTCTCTCACGCAAATCTGAAAAAAAAATTTTAAAAATTAATAAAAAAAAAAGTAAAATATTAACCTGTATACATAAGTGCCTGTCCTTGGAGAATGTGCCGCTGAAAATTATTTTTTATTTAAAAAATCAGAAAATGAATCAGGGATGGGAGGCAGAAGTGCTCACAAAAGTTCCCTGACTGAACTAACCCACGGAACTGAATCAAAACAACTAGAAATGTTTTTGAAAATCCCTAAAATATTTTGAGATCAAAAATGCGGGGAATTCCAACCAAACTTCTGATCAAAAAATTCTATTAAAAACATAAAACCTTATAAACATATTGCAATGCTTGCCAGTGATTTCCGTCAAGTAATCGATTCTTCATTGACGGGCTGACCTTTTAAAAATTTTTATTAATGTTTATGCATAGTTTTATAAAAGAAAACCTTATCCCAAGCCTCATCAATCGGCACAAAGAAGGTCATATTCTGTTCTGGAGTAAGCACTTGCCACGGGTCGAGAGTGTATTTGAGCTTAAATTAAACTGATAAAATAAATTAATTTATTCTAATAATAAAACCTGTAAATTATTTAGCATTTCCATAGATTGATGGGCTCTAGTTTCATTACGAAGTACTTCCCAGAGGGACTGAAATATTTAAAAAATAAATTAGAAAACAAAAAATTGCTTTAAAAACCTGATAGGGAACACCCAATACTCTATCAATGTAATGAATTATTCCATTTGTTGCTGTCACATCCTCCATTTGAATCTGTTTAAAAAATAATTTTTATAAAAAATTAAAGAAATTATACAGCTGTCCGAATTCCTCCACCAATAACATAATAAGTTATATTATTTTTAGGCCATTCAGTTTTTGAAAAATATCTGTTTTTAAATAAAATAAATTTTGATAGGTTGTTTTCGGTTATGTTCACAAGTCTGTAAGTTGTTATCCAGCAAGTAGGGTATGAGTTGGATAAAATGTTGGGTCTTGCGGAGAGGTGATGCTGGACTTCACAAGCGGAGGATGTCGGTCCTAATCTATCTGGCCAAAAAACTCCTCTTAAAATAAAAAATCAAAACTTGCGGACTTGGAAACATAACCGAAAAAGAAAACCTGTTTTTTATATTTTCAATTAAAATTTTCCCTTACAAATGTCTCATATTGTCCACTGTAGCAATTATTGTATCATTTGTAATTTCTTCACTAACCAATTCCTTTGCTGGGACAATATGCAATTTAAGAACTTGTTCCAGCCAAATTCTATCCCTCAACAATCTTCTTTCAATTGGTTCAGGAATACGTTCAAAAGCCTCATTCCATGGAGCAAAAAATGTGACAAGACCTCCAGTTGCTGACATGTAATTTCTGACAATCTTTAAAAAATTTAGAAAATTTTAAAAATTAAAAACCTGTCCAATAGTAGCCATATACCTCATTAAAGTTGTACATCTATAATTGTCCATAAGCATCTAAAAAATGAATTGAGGATCCTGAGGAAGAAAAGGATAACCTGATCAATTGTGTTAGTTACTATCCCAAGAACATTATCAACAATATGCACAACCTTTAAAAAGAGACAAGAGATTTTCTAAAATTTTAACAAACAAACTCCGTTTTGAACAGGAATATTTGGAACAAGAATTTTGGCCCATACAGCCCCTCTTCTAAATTCTCCATAACGCTAAAATTTTAAAATAAAGCTAAAAAATATTTTCAAAAAATTAACCTCATAAATAGTTGATACTGCATACAAATCCCATTTGCCAGTTCTGTGGTCTGTAATATTTCTCATACTCAATTTGAGTTTGTAATTATCCTCGATTATATTTGAAGAAAATCTGAATTAGTTAAATAAATATAATTTTAAATAAAAATAAATTAAACCTGCCTAATTGAAGGATAAAAATGAATTCCTCCATCAAATAGCCAAGGATAGGTGAATAAAACCTGAAGATGGAAATGAATATTATAAATTTTATATTTTTGTACAATATATTTTATAGTAAATTTCGGACGGAAACTTCAATATTTTTCCCCAGACAATTGTTTTCCATAATCCACATTTGTATTAAATTTTAAGCTCACCCACGCGATTCATTCCAGAAACATGAGCCAGCAAAACTTCACGATCCACCCGATTTCGATCAATCACTTTGGCGAATGCTTTATTTGTTGGTAGAAAAAATGTATGGAAACCATTCCATGCTGAACTTCCATAAATTACAAGAGCTAAAGTTTTAAAAATTTTTTAAAATTCTTTAATGTTAAAAATAACCAATATCTGGCACACGATCGAGTATATTCCTCAATTCACTAAAAAAATAAAAATTTGAATTATTCAAAAAATAAATAAAAATTAACGTTAAGTCTCTATTATCATAATGCCTGTCCACAAAAATAGCATTTTCATCATCTCGAACAAAACTTAAGGCAGTTCCAGGGTAAGGACGATGTCCCATTGGAGTGCACACTTTGTAGAGATACCAAAAATAAATTTCAAAAATTGATTAAAGTCAATCTCTTTTCTTACTGTTCACCGCTGATAATTCCCCATTGATTGGAAACATGGTTACAAATTGTACCAGCATTTGCAAAGTAGGACTAGAAAATTAAAATCATTTTTAAAACCTTTTTTTGATAATTACAAAATTCCCAGGCGGTCCAGGATTCTCAAATTGAGTTATATAAACATAACCACTATTAATTGTTGACCGTATAAGTGTTTGCTTCTCCCAACGTCGACCGCTGCTGAGTTCTGGTACTTGAGTATCCACTAATAATAAAAAAATAAATTTAACAAAATTTTTCGAATTAAAAATATACCAATATGTGAAAGAACTTCTTTTTGATCCATTGCCCTGAGATCTGGATTATACAGAAAAACATCATTTACAGGAGCAAACATGGTGACTCTTGCATTGACATCCTCCATATAGGCTTGAGCAACTTGATAACGGGAGCAAAGGAGACGCCACTTTATTTAAAAAAAAGAGGAATAGATATAGACGGATAAATAAAAAAATTCAGAGGTTCAATTTAGAATAGCTGACATACCCTGGCCTCCCCCTCCCCCGAAAATTTTTATGGCTACGGGCCAAGTTGAAAATTAAAAAAAATTCTACAAAAAAAATCAAAAAACCTGTTGCATATCACTCATCCGTCCAGTTTCTGACCAAAGACTTGCAAAGGCACGTTTCGACAGGATCAAAACAAAAATAAATATAATTGAGAAAAAATTATAAGCAAAATTCATTTAAAAACTTTCGATTGTTGCTTACTTTAATTTATTCCCAAAAATGTGTAAGTTAAATATATAGGACCACTAATGAAAAAATAAGAGAAAACTATAAGAATTTGAGCAAACATAACCATCGATTGGCCGAAAAAAGAGGAAATGGCTGTAAACGCTTGGCGCAAAAGATGACTAATTCACCTAAAAGTACCTCCTAATACTGATTGTGAGAATTAATAAAAATAAGAATAACCTCAAATTCTTCCTGGCCTGATTTCTGTTGTAATTCATCCCAATATTTGTAGACCAAAAACAATTAACAACGCCAAACTTGAACGATTTCGTGTTGTACAATGATAAATTCCAAATTTTTTAATTGGAAAAAACTGATAAACGCTTTGTGCCCGTAGACTGCTAATGTAGTCTAGAACTTTTTTGCAAGGATAAACCAATATTTCCAATGATTAAATGCCCCCTGAACAGGGGACCGGTCCCATGTACAAAACGGCACATGGACACTCCAAAATTTTTCTCATGGTCACCAGCGCACTGCCTCCGCACAAACACTATTGGCAGAGCCACCGAAGCGCACTGCCACCAATAGTGCTGCCAGAACGCACAGCCACTGATGTCTACCTATCAGTAGTGTCCACTGGTCGCACAAACACCGAAGCGCAGCCAACCAGCTTTCTGCTACTATAGATAGTCCGCCGAAGCGGTCCATGGATGAAGCGGAGGAGAATTCCCAAATTAAAAAGATTTGAACATAAATAATTCTTAGACGGTTAATAGAAAGGGTATAGAGAACACTAATTATTCTTCCTTTTTTAATTTCCTTTTTTTCTTTTTTTCTTCTCTCCTTTTATGCTTTTGCATCTCTAATCAATGTTTACTGAATAAAATCAATAAATGCAGAAAGAGTGTGGGAAATATAGAGACAGTAAACAGTTAGAGGGTTGAGGTCAGTTCAGTGCAGGGTTGAGGTCAGTTTTTCGGCCTCAGTTTCTCGTAGATTCTGTTTCAACCGACAACCCTACTCCTGACCATTTAATCATTAATAAATTTATTTTAGATTTCTAAATTAAATACAAAATAAATTCTTTTGTCTTCAACAACAATGCCTCCAATTTGTACCAATATTTTTCGTCCAATGCTGCGTCCTCTTTCCCGTTATGCGCACTTGAATGGAACTCCGGGAATTTACAATACTGTTCCGAATTGGAAGCCTGGACCGGGTTGGCGACCACAGAGTCCACAAGGACCTTATCTTGATGGCTGGGCTATGGGGGTAAATTTTTTGAAAAATTTTCTTCATTTTTTAACTTTTTAGTATTGGCATTATACTCGACCACACAATCTTCCATTACTTTTTGCTAAAGCGGCAGTCTACCTTGCCTCTGCTTTTTGGCTTCCATTTTTGTATTCTTTAAAAAAATTTTCTTTAAACTTCTTCAATTTTTAGCGTTGTGGAATATCAATTGAAGAAGTCAAAGGCAGCAAGTTGAGAGCCTGAACGTACTCTATAGACGCTTTATGAGAAAAAAGTTTGGAAAATTGTCTAGGAAAATATTAAAGGTTTAATTTTGTTTATGAAAATGTTTTTTGGGAGATTTTGATTAAAAAAATGTTTTTTAATGTCGGAATAAAAATAAATGTGTGGGCTAAAGTTTTGTTGATTCAAAATTTAGTTTCTTGTTTTTTATGTCTGTAGCAGGAATGTCACGGGTAGAGAAAAACGCTGGGTCGGGTCTTCAAAATTTTCTACGGAAAGGTTTCGGGTCAAAAAAGATTCTGGTTACGAGTCGGGTCAGTCAGGGGAATTAGGAGGGAATAAGACTGGTTTCGGTAAACTTCTAGGATCGGGTTGGGAAAGAAAGTCCGGATAGCTGGTAGCTCGTGACATCCCTGGCCCGTACATCGAAATTCAATTGCTGGGCAAACTGGAAGGTCTTTGGAAGGTCAGAGACGGCGCTTGGTTTTCCTTGCAAAGTATTCTATTTGCGTTATAGTTAGCCTAGGCAGAGGTTTTTATAGTTTCTAGGCTTCTATATTTTTCATTAGGCTTCATAGGTTTCTTCATAAATTCTAGACAAATTCTCCTCCACTCTCATAAATAAATTATTAAATTTTTATCATTAAAAATAAATCAAAAATAAAATGAAAATATTTTCTCTTCCAATCCCTTCATCTTTTCTCTTCAAATTTATTAATTTCTGCTTCCAATAAACAAATTAAATATTTTTGTCTCGAAATTAATATTCTTTTAATTCCTTCATTTAATTCCAATTCTTCTAATAAAAATATATTTTCTTCCATTTTAATTAATTTTTGTTTAATTGTTGGAATATATAAATGTTTTAATTCATCAGAAAATTCTGGGTATTGACGTATAATACTTTTTGTTGAACGCTGAAAATTTAAAATTGAAATTTTAAAAATATTTTGTGGTTAAGTAAGGAACTCCTAGGAAGTTCTAAATTCAATTTTCTCTTGTCTCGTCGCTTGACGCAGATTTCCTTGCCCCCAACTGAATCGTGTCCTGTTTCACCCTCAAACATTTTCTGACGACACGTTAACAAAACCTAAGCCTATTGAAATGGGGACAAACGTCCAATGGGTGGGCCAGGCCCGTAGCCAGGATTTTTTTTCGGGGGGGGGGGGGCCAAGGGGCCAAAAATTTGATTTTCAGCGCCGCAGGCGAAAATTTTTTGAATTTTGGAGCTCAAGAAGCCAGATTTTTTCCTTTTTTAGCGCCGCAGGCGAAAATTTTTTAAATTTAAGAGGCCGTAGTCCAAAAAAATTTACTTTTTTTGCCCCAGCCCTTCCCCAAATTTTTTCCTTTTTCCCATTTCGGGGGGGGGGGGGGGGGGGGGAATTCCCCCCCTCACCCCCCCCCCCCTGGCTACGGGCCTGGGGTGGGCTATGTCCAAAATTCAATGTCTTAATCGTATATTAATAAATTAGACTATCGGCCAATTTTAATTAGTGTCTGCAAATGTTCGTCCGCAAAAATCAGACAAAAAAATTTTTCCACCCCCCCCCCTACACCCACTTCCCAATAAATTAAAGAAATTTTCTAAACCTCTTACATTTTTTAACATTTCTTCCAAAACAAAAGGAGAACAAAGGGGAACATCTTCAGCCATTTTAACACTTTCCTCAAAAAACATAATTAAAAGTTTCGGCCCTCGCTGTTTAATCCAAAAATTTTCTTGTTGATTTTCCTCCATATTTTCTTTTATTTTTGAAGATTTTAAGGCTAATTGAACTTTGCAAAATAATTTGAAGATTATTTGTTCGTCAGAAATCCAATGGGAAAGTGCTGAATTGGTTTGTTGTGGATTTTCTTTTTCGAATAAATCGATTTTGTTTATTCTAAAATTTAAAAGAAATATTAATTTTTAAATTTTTCCACCCCTCCACCCTTATTCCATAAGATTTTTTTGTGAAAAAAATTTTCTCCGAGGCAGCCAGACCTCCTAAATTTTATAAGGTTATAACACTCCTACTCCCGCCTTTATAAAAAATAAAAAAATAATTGGCAGCCAAGGGAGGTCAGCTAGCTCCCTACAACTTTTTTTGGTTTCCCCTTGAAGTTAATTTATCGGACAAAATCCCTCTAACTCCCCTTAAGAATAAAAAAAACTTTTTTCTCTCACATTTTCTCCAAATCAAAAGAAATCAGCATTAAAGAAGCAACAATTCTAGCACAAAAAATTTCATAGAAAAATGGTTGATTCTTCATAAGTAAAACAATAATTAAACGTGTTTGATCAACAAGTTCTGCTTCCCATTTAAGTTGTTCCTGCAAAAAAAATTTTTTTTTGAAAAAGGTTGTCAAAATGGACAGCCTCGGTCCAAAAGATCCCGACGGACGTAGGATATCTGGCCCAAAATGACTCGTATGACCCAGTCCGATATAAATAAGCCGGAAAAATGTCTCCAATACCGTTCCAACGCGGAAACGGGGCACTCTAATTTTAATTAAAAATAAATTTAAAAAAAATACAATGTATCTGTCACAAATAGTCATCATTGCATAAAAATTTTGTTGTTTATTTTCCTTTTCCAATTTAAATTCAAAATTGTCTCGACAAGAAATCATTGTTTGGCCTTTAAATAAATCGTCGAAAAAATTGGAGAGTTCAGCAATTTCTTGATTTGTAACAGTCTTTTTAGATGTGTCGTTAATACGTTCAGCTAGAGTTCTTGATAAGTGTTGACGTAGTTGTTTCTTTAAAAAAATTAATTTTTTATTAAACGATTTTAAACAAAAAAATTTTTTTGAGGCAAATGAATTCAGAAAACATATTTTATTACTCATTTGAAGTTAAAATAATAATAAACGCTCAACGGGATCGAACCCGAGACCTCTCATGGGAAAACCAGACGCTATCCAACTTAACCAAAACAATCACTTTTTTCGAAAAAAAATTTATAAGAAAATTTTTTGACACAAATTTTATTTATTAAGTTACCCTCGACGGGATCGAACCCGAGACCTCCCCTTGGGGGAAAATCTACCCCTATCCAACCTAACCACAACAACCATATTGAAAAAATTATAATTTTAAAGGGTAAACCTGTGTCAAATCTGCTTGGAATTCCTTTACTTCTTTTACCAATTCAGAATTAAAATTATCAAAATATTCAAGCCATTTAAAAATTGGAGATGAATTTGTGGAAGAAGCAATATTTTGATTGAAAATTGTTGGAGACTTTTTATTAAATTCAAAATTTGTTTGGTTAAATAAAGGAAAAGAAGAATTGTCAACATTTTCTGTTAAACTATCTCCAAGAGTTTCAACATCAACAAAATTATTTTCATCATTTTCGGCTTCTTCCTCTTCTTCCTCTTCATCACTAATTTCAATAAAATCTTCTGGTTTAAGTTGCGAATAGTTTATTTTTCTGCAGATTAAATTTAATTAGAGTTGAGATCTTTGGAAATTTCTTCGGACATTCGGAGGGGAACCCAAAAAACCCAACCCCCACCCAAACCCCCCAAAAACCCAAACCCAAAAAAACACAAAGATTCAGAATAAAAAAAAGTCCGCAAAATTGTGCGAACTTCACAAACCCCTTCCAGAGATTAGAAACTAGAGAACCTGAAGGTTTTGAGCAACCAAAATATTTTTGAAAAATCCGCAAAATAAAGAGGATTTTATAATGAGTACGAAAAAATGTGGACCTGTTAATCCGAAAATCCCTTTTATGAAGAAAATAACAAAAAAAACAAACCTTGTATATAAATCCTTATTTTTATTAAATATAAATTCCTCATTTTGTATAATTTTTTGTTGCTGTTGTTTTTGTTGATATTTATATTTATTAATTAAATTAATTTTATTCTCAAATTCTTTTAAAAAATTTAAATTTTCAATTTCCAAACTTCTTTTCAATTTTTCATTTTCATTTATTAAATTATTTGTAAAAGATTGCCTCTTTTTGTTTTCCAAATATTTAAATGATTTGAAATCTGCGCTTCTTCTTTGATACCAATCTCTGAAAAAATTAAATAAATTTTATAAATATAAAACAAAAAAACCTCAAATTATTCAAGTGATCTTCAGAATTTTTATATTGATGTCTCATTTTATTTTTGAAAAAAACTAAATATTAAAAGTTAAAAAATTTACTGGAAAATTAAAAAAATTTCTTTAAAAAATTCCAGTGTACCATTTTTTCATATATCATTTTGTCGTAAAACCATTTTGTCTCATTTTGTCGTAAAACCATTTTGTCGCAGTACCATTTTGCCGGTGTGCCATTTTGTCGCGGTACCATTGTGTCCGTGTACAATTTTGTCAGTGTACCATTCTGTCGTGTTATCAATTTGTTGTAACCTCGATATAACAGAAAAAAGAGAAAGAGAAAGAAAAAATTTTTGTTGTTGTGTCTAACAAGTTTTTCAATTCCACGTTTTTTATTTTATTTTTTTAATTATTTTTTTTTATAATTTTTTAGTTATGGCAAGCAATAACGGCATAAGTAGTTTAATTTCTGCATTTTTTGTTTTTGTTTGTATTGGTATTGGACAATTATTCAAACAATTTTTGGCTAATTCGCGTCAAGGAAATTTGTGTGCTGGAGGTTTTTTTAATTAAAAATTTTTTCTAAAATTTATTTTTAAGTTTTGGGTGCTTTTATATTTTGTTTTACATTGACAACAATTAGTAATATGGTTTGGATTTTTTTTTATTTTTTAAAAATTAATTTTTATTGTAAGAGTATTCTCCACTCCTTCCACAAGTTAGTCTTTTTGTTGACATTTAGTCCTTCTCGTCGACCCCGTATAAATTCTTTTCCAGTCTAATATTATCATATAGTCATCCAAACCTTATTTTGAACACAACATATGAATATTAATAGTTTTGACCCTGAGCGGGTTCGAACCTTTCCCACGTCTCACCGTTGCGTAACTTACCAGATCGGACACCCCCACTAAAGAGTTTTCTTTCCAATTTTCTTTACGTGCCTGACTATCCTTGTTATTTTATAGATTATTTGGGTTTGAGAATTTAAAAAATATTCAAAAAAATTTTAAAAATAAATTTTTCAGAAAATGGCCCAATTTGGAATCAATTCAAAATCCGGACTTTTTGATTGCTTCATTTCCTTAATTATATCAATTATAGCTTCAGCATTAATACACAGAATTGCAATAACTTTAACAATTTTGTTTTCTGGCGTTTTTCTTTTTTTCTTGGTTGGAATTTCACACAAATATTACGATTTGAATGCTTCAGTTAATGTTGGTGGAGGTGGTGGAGGGAGTGAAAAAAGAGGCAAGAAACATTGAAAAGAGAAAAATAAATGGTTTTTAATTATAAATTAATAATTTAAATGTTATTTTAATTTTAAATAAATTTAAAACGAAATTTTTTTGAATTTAATTTTGTGCGGACAAAAAAATTTTGCGGACAACTTTTGCGGACTTTCTCATTTTTATTCAAATCCTTTACAATTCCGTGGAATAAATAATTTTTTATTAATTCCTCAAATTCCGTTTTTTCTTCCCAATTTTCAGCTCTTTTCCCATCTAAAAAACATTTTTCATTAAATTCTCATTGTTTTTTTTTTCAATTTATTTTTATGCCAAAAACAAACAAAAATAAAATAAAAATTCTTCTCAATTACTTTCTTCTCATTTTCACGAGGATTATTGCTTTGCTTTTCACATCCCTAACTTAAAAAAAAATTTTTTTTAGTATTTTTTTAATATTTAAAATAACGTAGGAAAAATTTGAGTTATTGCGGACTCAATATTTGCGGACTATACTTGCGGATTCTGACGTATCTCTCCTTATGGTCCTAGCCGGAGATTGGACTTAGACGAGATTTCAAACAAACATTCAAGGCTACTAAGAATCCGGATTTTCTCGAGATATCGTTATTGCCTCTCGTACGACACTTCCACCCCTCCTCCCTTTCCAGACCCTTCCTTCTTTAGTTTCGACTTTTCTAGAAAAAAAATATATTTTCCCCAACAATTTAAATTATTAAAAAAATGATTTTTAGCCTAGAAATATTTCGTTAAAGTTTCTGAAATTGATAAATGGATTTATAAATATTTAAATGGGAGGAGCAAAAAAAGGAAAGAAAGGAAGGGTCATTTCATGTTTTTAAAAGAGGATATGAGCAATTTTGGTTAGTCTCTTAGTAGAGTAAATAGCCATAGAAAGTGTATATATTTTTTAAAAAAGCATTTTCTCTTTCTTAATTTTTAGTTTTTTTTCAAAAATCAAATTTATTTTGTTTTTCATCTCCATTTTTTGAAAAATTTATTTTGTCATTTTTTCTCTTGAAAAAATTTTTTGAAGAAATTTAATTTTATTTTTTGACCAAAAATGCATATTTATCATTTCTTAAAGAGTCTACTATAGTGAGAGTTTACTAAATAGCAGGTTGATTATATAAGATAAAAACATTTAATTATAATCGGAACTTAATGTTAGGATATAAACAAGGGATGATTTTAGGCGAAGCTCTAAAATTAAATTTGCGGACAAAAAATTTTTGCGGACAACTTTTGCGGACAAAAAAATTTCTTTTAATTTTTAAACTAAGACTTGTCCCTCTTTTTATATTCACAAAATTTATTTTTTATTATTCATTCAATATATAATATATCCACTTTTTTCATCACTTATTCATTAAAAACGATTCACGCAGAGTCTGTCACCATAAGGTATAAAATAATAAAAGAAAAGACTTTCTCCTTTATTTTTTTGAGGTTGAATGATTTTGAGTTGAAATTTTTATTAATTTAAATAAATTTTATCTTTATTTCTTTAAGTGATCCAGTATTTTACTTTAAAAACAAAAAAAAATTTTTTTGGGATGAAATGTCACCTCAGAAAAAATTTTCAAAGGACAACAATAATTAACTAAAAATGACATCATATTTCTCCTATAATCCTTCATTATCTTCAATTGTTTTATTAGTAGCAGTATTCCTAAATCTCTTACCTTTTAAATTTTTTGGTAAATTTTTTTTTTAATTTTTTGAAGATCCTTATTCAGACACCCTAAATACCCCAGAAAATAATCCGTTTAAGAAAATAAAAAATATTTGACTTGCGGATTAAAGTTGCGGATTTTTGTGGCATAACTTCGAAAACAGCCCTTATTTAAATAAAAATAAATTTCCAAAAACAAGTCAACAATAACCTTTTTAAAAATCCAATTCGCGGTCACTGATTTATTTGCGCACTTTTTAATTTTTTCGTTCCAATCCAGAGATTTGTTTTTGTATTATAAAAATAATACAATAACAACAATAAAACAACAAACTTTTTATTCATTTTTAAAAGAGGGAAAAACAAATTTTCCCCCATTAATTATAAGAGTAACTTATACACTATTAGTAGGCAAAGTTGTTTTTCAAGTATTTTCTCTCATTGACTTTATTCCCAGAATAACACAAAGTTTTTTTTAAATTTTAGCAATGACCCTTTAGAAGGAAAGAAAAAGTGTGAATAAGTAAAAGTATAACATTATTTTCTATTTCCATAAATAACTAAAATATGTGTCCCACTAAATTTGTGGAGAAGGATTTGCGGACAGAGAAATTTTTGCGTACAAAATTTGCGGACAAAAAGAATTTTTGCGGACAAAAATTTTGAGGACAAAATTTGCGGACAAAAAAATTTTTGCGGACAAAAATGAAACTTATTGAAATTGAGGTTGAAAATCGAAACACAATTCCTTATTTTAAAAAATATCCGCAAATGTCGCCTTTACTAAAAATGTTGTTTAAACTAGATAATTTACATTCCCAAGAGTATAAATGAATATTTTTAGCTAGTTAGTAGTTGGTTGAGTTTGACAAGTACATCCAAAAGTGTTAAAAAGAAGTTTGGAAAGAATAAAACGAGAAAAGAGGGATTGACCATTTTGCGTCTTTTTAAAAAATTTTTTAAAGTCTCCAGTCTTCGCCCAAACCGTTCACCTTTAATTTTGGAAGAATCTATGAACAATATAACAGGAATGCGTGGAGATACAATTGAATTTAGATGTAAAATAGAAAATGCTGGAAAATACAAAATTGCATTTTTCCGAGAGGGAATACCCCCAAGATTAATTGCTTATGATGGTTAGAGTTGAAAATTTTTTTTTGAAATTTCTTGAAAATTTTTAGAATCTATATTTCGTCGAACAGATAAATACCAACTTTTATCTAAACTAAATGGAAATCAATGGCTTTTGAGGATTAAGGATATACAAGTAAAAATAAATAAATAAAAATTTGCGGACAACATTTGCGGACAGTGAAAATATTTGCGGACAGAAATTTAAAAAAAAAATTATTTTTAATTCCCATTTTTAGTTTTATTTTTGTTTAGAAATAATTTAATATTCGAATAATTAAATTAAAAATTAATAACTTTAATTTTAAAATAAAGAGAAAATTATTTTTACAGGAAGACGACTCTGGTGGTTATATTTGCCAATTAAATTCCAATCCGATTTTAACAAAAATTGGCTATTTAAATTTAAAAAGTAATTTGATTTTAAACAAAAATTTAAATGATTTAAAAGTTCCTCCAATAATTTTAAAAAGTTCAACTCCCGCAGCTGTAGAAGTACGTGAGGGATTAAATGTCACCTTGTCTTGTAATGCTAGAGGCAATCCTTTACCTACCATAGTTTGGAGGAGGGCGGATAAACAAATTATTAAATATGGAAAAAATGATGGGTATGGAGGTGAATAAAATACTACTTATAAATATTTAGGGAAAAAAATTTTAAAAAATTTTTGCGGATGAAAAAAAATTTTTGCGGACGAAAAAATTTTTGCGGACATTTTTTGCGGACAAAAATTTTTAAAACAAAAAATTCAAATAATTTAAGATAGTGTACATAAAGGCCCAGAATTGGTGTTAAGAGGGGTTTCTAGACAACACATGAGTGAATATATCTGCACTGCTTCAAATGGAATATTTCCAGACGAATCTTGGACTATAAAATTACACGTTCTTTGTAAAATATTTTTTTAAAATTAATTAAAAATAAAATTAATTAAAAGTCGAGCCCGTTGTTGTTCCCCAAAGGTTAATTGTAGAAGCACCTTTAAATGCAACCTTTGTAAAAATGGCATGTACAGTAGAAGCCTGGCCTAGGGCCAATGTAGTTTGGCTATTTCAAAATAAACCGTTACACGATTCTGAAAAGTATTCAACGGTAGGGGAAAGAAATTTTTAAATTTTTTAAATAATTTTAAAAAAATTTGCGGACATTTTTTGCGGACAAAATTTTGCGGACAAAAATTTGCGGACATAAATTTTAATAAATTAAAAAAATTCTTTTTAAAGGAGCAATCAGTATCTGAACGTTATCGTTCAGTCCACATTTTAAAAATTAAAAATGTTAAAAATTCTGATTTTGGAAGTTACAAATGTGTAGCTAATAATGATTATGGAAGCCATTTTGGTGAAATTAGACTTGTTGGTTTGTAATTTTAGGAAAAAATTTTTTTATTAAAATTTAAATAGAATTGCCTTTAAATCAACAATATTCTTATGCAAATAATTATCAGACAATTAGTGAAGGTAAAAAAAATTTTTTTTGAAAAATTGCGGACATTTTTTGCGGACATTTCTTGCGGATTTTTAAAATTAAAATACAGTGTTTTATTAATTAATTAAAAAAGGCTCAGGTATTTACCCAAATATCGATGAAGAAAATGATGAGGAAGAATGGGGCGATACAGGTATTGAAAACCCTTTCGGAATACTCACAACAACAACAACTTCCTCTTTGTGGTTACAGAAACAGCAGGCAATTTCTGATAAAGGTTTTTGGAATTTCAGAAATTATTTTTTAAAAATCAGAATTTATTTTTTTTAAATCAGAACTTAATTCTAAGTCAGAATTTATATTCAAAATCAGAATTATTTAAATCAGAATTTATTTTTAAAAACCAGAATTTTTTAAAAATCAGAATTTATTTTTTCAGAATTACGAAGAAGCATAACTCCCTCTTCTTCTGTTTATTTTCGTAATTATGACCAGATAACAACTTTAAATAAAAGTTTAAATAATAGAAGAGCTTTTAATTGTTTTATTTTAATAGAAATTGTGATTATTTTTATATTTCGTTTTTTATTAAATTTTTAATTTAATTTTATGGCTCAATAATTAAATAAATAATTTTTTTTTAATTTAAATAATTTTTTATTTTTTTATATTTTTTATTTTTTCGTTTACGAGTTTTAATGATGATTTTGATGATATTCATGATCGCCAAGGTCACTAAGGTGTTGAAGGGAATTTTTAGATTTGCGCAATTTAAGTTGGGCATTTTTTGATATTTCTATTCATTTTTATAAATACACAAATACAAAATGTATTTACAAAAAAGACAAAATACAAATCAGAATTCTAAATTAGAAAAAAACAAAACACAAAAACAGAAAATACAAAAATCAGAATTTTAAATAAAAGAAAATACAGAATAAAATCAGAAATATTTTCTTTAAGTTAATTAAAACTAATTCTGAAATGAATCAGAATTACAATTTACAAATCAGAATTTTAAATTCTGAAAATATACAAAAAACACAATTTTTAAAATACAAATATCAGAATTAAAATAAAGGAAAATACTTTATAAAATCAGAACTTGTATTTTAATTAAAACTAATAATTCTGAAATAAAACACAAATACAATTTTACAAATTGTAATTCTGATTTTCTTTTTATCTCTTAATTAATTTAAAAAGTATTTTTATTCCCATATTGCCGCCTGCTGTTTTCTTCTATTAAAAGTTTTGTGTGAAAATACCTAGATATATAGCAGATAAGGAGAAAATACCTTTAATAAATCGCACGCAGCAGTAAATATAAAAATACCTTTAATTTATTTATAATTGTGGCTTATGATTGATATAAGGGGAAGATCATCTTAAAAATAATTAAAAGTGAGAGGATTAAATATTAAAATTTCCCTTTTAAAAATTTGCCTTTAAAAATATTAAATATACCCAGAAAAAATTAATTTTTTCTGACAAATAAAAATAATTGCTAAAATAAAACACTAACTGTTTTAGAACAAAGCAATTAAATATAAAAAAGGGATCAACGAGGGCGGGAAAAATGACAGGTAGAGAGGGGAGGATTAATTGCAATTGTGTAGAGAATCGCCGAATTTTATCCATTCACTCAACACACAAAACACATAAAAACCTCCGCAAAATGGCGGTGGATGCTATTATACTTTTAAACTTTTTTTTATATATAAATAGTTGTATTTTTATTTCTCTCAATTACAACTAATAAATTAAAAAATACAAATCAGAATTCTGAAAAGAAAAATCAGAATTATTAAAAACACAAGATATCAGAATTTTTTTAGAAATACATTCAGAAAATACAATTAGAAAATACAAACTATCAGAAATACAAATGTCAGAATAAAAAATCAGAATATTTGTAAAAAATACAAATTACAAAATCAGAATTTTTAATTGTAAAATTCTTATTTGTATTTTTCTAAATAAAATAATTCTGATTTGTATTTTACAAGTAGAAATTCTGATGTACTATTTTATTTTGTATTTTTAAAAGATATTCTGATTTTTTTAAATTAATTAAAAACACATTTTAATTAATTAAAAACACAATCTCTTGTATTTTTCAACCGGAACTTAAAAATTCTTCTCCTTTATTTTTATGGGCGGGGTTTTTCCTCTAAATTATTTCCCTAGGTTTTATTTCCCTCAGTAAAGCTTAGAAACATTTCTGCTTATTTTTTCTAAAGACTTTTACTCCAACAATAGACAGTTTTAATTAAATATATTTTTAAATATTTTATTTTAATTAATTTTTTAATTTTATTATTGATTCTAAACCCCTCCCCTTCCTTTTATTTTTTCTTCATTTTCTATTTATTTCCTAGTCATATATTTTTATACTCCCTCCTCATCCATTATATCCTCATCCAATTTTGGCACTTCATATTTCTTTTACTGGCCAATTTTGAGAGGGCTTTCCCTTACATTTTTACCTCTTTTTGGGTAAATAAACAATTTTTTCATTAAAATAAAATTAAATTTTTAAGATGTATTTTTATTTTAAAATTAATTTTTTATTTTATTTTTCTTTTTTTCCTTTTATTTTTAAAATTTTATTTTTATTTATTTTAATTATTTATTCACAACAACAACAACAATTTCAAGAACAGAATATTCGATCAGAACTTGTTGAAGGTAAGAGAATAATTAGATAAAAATACAAATTAAAGAAAAAAAATACAAATTAAAAAAATACAAATCAGAATTATAAAAATTAAAAAAATCAGAATATTAGTTTAAAACACAATTAAAATACAATTAAATAAAATCAGAATTTTTAATTGTCAAATACAAAACAGAATTTAAAATCAGAATATAAGAAAAATACAAAATATCAGAATTTCTTAAAAATACAAATTTGAAATACAAACAAAAATACAAAAATCAGAATTATTTTAAAATACAAATCAGAAATACACACAAAAATACAAATATCAAAAAAATATCAGAATTTTTAGTTGTAAAAATACAAATCAGAATTTTACCCTCAAATAAAACTTCAATTTAAATCAGAATTCTCACAAGTTTACTAAAAAAAAGATAACCTTGCTTTACTAAAATAAAATCTTTTTTTTTATTTTTTAAATCACCCTTTTACCCTAAATAAAAAGAAAATTGGCCAATTTGTTCTCTTTTGTTATGCGCGCATCTTTTTAAATATAAAATTTTTTGCCTTTCATTTTACAGCTGCAAATAAATAAATGGAGAAAATAGACTAATTTCGCATAATCGGCTTTAAATAAAAATTTTTTCGGCGATTTTTAAAAATCTTTTATTTAATTGAGGGATTTGAGAAAATGAATGAAGAAGAATTAGAGTAAAATTTCGAGAAAAGAATTTAATTTAAAAAAAAAGATATTTTCGTGACCTTGTCACGTAAACCCTTCGATTTGTGTGGCCTGGGAAGGTACCATTAAGAAGGTCCCTCAATAAAAAAATTTAAATAAAAATTTAAATTAAATATTTAATTTAAATATTGAAAATAAAACTTTTTAGACTCCCAAAAAATTTTTTTTATTTTTCCATCTAATTTCTTTTAATTTTTTAAAAAGCCCTTCTAACGGACTCTTTACGTCTTCGACTCATCCAAGCATGTCAAAATGACCGAGTTAATTTACAATGCCCCAAGAACACTTATATTTCCCCCCATAATGCTTTCTTTGGTCGTTTAGTGCCAAGCAGTGAACTCTGCCCTTTTACTAGCAATTTAAAAATAAAAGAAAATTTTGGGGGAAAGGAGGATACAAGCTGTGACTTTGCTGAAACACTTTCTGTAAGTCTATTTTTTTGAAAAAGTTTTTTTTTAATTTTCTAAATGGAACGAACTCTTCTAAATTTAAAAATAAAAATTGAAAAAAAAAAAAATTGGGAAAAAATTTGGTAGAATTAAAAAAAAATTGAGTTCGCAAATGTCGTATGTCCGCAAATGTCGTACAAAAAATTCCCAAAAATTTTTAATTTTTTTAAAATTTTTTCTATAAACAGAAAAATCTCTTAAAATCCTTAAAATCATTATTCCTCCTTCTCTCAGTATATTTATAATATTAAAAATGCGAAACAAAAACATTGCGTGCCAAATTATGCAAAGCTTATAAAAGACTAAAAATAGTAGTTAAATTAAAAAAATATTTTTTTGTTTTATGACTGGGGGTTTTTAAATAAAAATAGAAAAATTAACATCTTTTTATTGGTACAAAAGATTGATAGGATTTCGAGAAAAAGTGAAAAATATTGTAATGATTAAAGCTGTGATAGTTAGGCAAGTAAAATCAGTAAAATAGGCGCCTAAAATAGGCACCAAAAAGCCAAAAAAGGCACAAAAATAGGCACGTAAAAAAGGTTATCAAGCCTATAAAATTAAGAAAAAAGCAAGAAAATACCCATTTATTCATCATTTTTTGAATTATAAACTATTTTTTAAACCTTTTTGTCATTTATTCGGCATTTTTAATAATTTTTTGAAAAAATAGAGTAAATTTTTTAAAAATGTCTATAATTGACAAAATGGAAATCTCGCCCAAAACACAAAACGCCGTACCCCAAAACGTCCCAAAACCCAATCGTCCCAGTTCAAAATGTTGAACAGAGTAAAAATAAACAATTTATCGAACTAAAAATAAATAATGGGACCTGGCACTGATTTTTTCTAATTTAGGACTGATTTTTTTAGATTTTGCATTGATTTTTAGGCAAAATTTCGGAAAAATCGCTAAAAAAGGCAAAAATAGTACCAAAAATTTCAAAATAGGCAGAAAGGCACAAAAAGACCAAAATAGGCAAAAATAGGCAAATTAAAAGTCATGCTAGACTTTTCGGACCAAGCTAAAAACACGTTTTTTGAACGTATTACATCATCCCAAGCTTGCAGAAAAAATAGGCATTTGCCTATAAATCACAGCCTTAGTAATGATGTAGGTTGGTTGAGGTGATACCTAAAGGAGAAGCAAGGAGAAGCTACTGTGGAAAGGTTGCTTGCTGGGAAGGTTGCCTGTTCAAATACCGTCCCTAGGCGTCTAAACTTAGTGCCTAACTCTTTATATAATATTCAAAAAAATTTCAAAATTTTTAAAAAATATTTTTTTATGTTTTTCCCCATTTTTCTTTCCTTTTTTAACCTCCCAAAAGGCTAATTTTCTCAATTCTTATCCCCTTGTAAGTACATATATACTTTTACTATCTACACATAGTCAATCCCCATTAACACACACCAACTTCATCCATTCATTGACCAACGTCCATTTCCGTAGGGAAATTTTTGCGCGCACCGTCCAAAAGCTTTTCAATCTATTTTTGCTTCAGTGGCACATTCCTCTCCTTCCCCCCCCCCTTCATTTTTAAATAAAAACGAGGTAAAAAAGGGAGAGAAGGAAAATTCATTTTGCGCCAACCAACTGTGCCAGCCACATAATATATTATTATCCACAACACTCATCTCTCCTTTTAAATTCATTTTGTGGCCAAGAAGGGGATGTTGGTGGTTGTTAGGTAGAAAGAAAGTGGTCAATGGCCTAGTTACCTTTTTTAAGAGGGGGGAGTAAATGGATTTTATTTTTATGACTAGAAATATCCTTGAAAATTTCTTTAAAAATTTTTGATTAAAAAATAGAAAAGAAAAAGTGTCATAAAAATTCTTCGTGGTCACTCCTCTCTAATTTCATTTGGGAATTTATAAAATTAAAAAGATATACCTCTCCGTTTCCCTCAGTTTTTCCCTCATATAGTCAATGGAAGGGGAGGGGGAAGAGGTTTTAATTTTGTAAAGGATGAGTGATGAAATTGAGTAAAAGAGACTTTAAATGAGAGGAATTTGGAAGTGATGAAATTGAGTAAAACAGGAATTGAGTGAAGAAGATTAAATTGGGGGGATAACTAGCAAAATTGAGGGGAGAATTAAAAAATATTGGAGAGCGACAAATTGCCACACACCAAAAATTCGACAAAATGCCTAATAAAGCCTATAGTTGTGCTTTTATCAGTTATCACAATACTAGAAGCTTTATTTTATTTTCTTAAAATTTGTTTATTGTTTTCTCGTATCTCTTCCTCTTTTTTCCAATTCCCCTTCCAAATCCTTCAAACAAAATTCTAAAAAAAGAAAAAGTCTAAATATCCCGCGGGGCCATATACCCCTTTTCTCTCCCTTAAATTTTAAGTAACGGTGTATTAGAGTGGTCATTGTTGTTTCCTCTCTCCCTCATCAATAAAATTGTGTTGAAAGGAGGGAATAAATAAAGAAGACTAATTGTTGTAAAGGGGAAGAAGAAATCCCCCAAAAACTTGCCGTCATTGAGGGCTTGTTACAATAAATAGAGGGAAGGTTCTAAATGATGAATGGGTTAAAAACAGATAAAAATAAAAAAAGAAAGAGGATATCTAAATACTCGACAAATTAGTATGTAGTAAATAAAGGATGTTGTTGATTGAATAAATTATTTTAAAAAATAAAAGGAGATAAAAAAACTTTTAATGTGGCCGCCGGGCTTGGGATCTGTGGATGACATTTGCGAACATAAAAAAGCCCCTAGATTGGACTCCTTTCTGGGATTTAGGAATGAGATAACAGGGATGTGTCTAAACTGATTTAAAAAAAGCGAAAGACGAAAGTCGAAGGTCAATTTAAAAGCAGACGGCGAAAGCCGAAATGCGAAACACGAAAAAAGGCGAAAATCGGTGAACGACGAAAAGTGAAGATGGCACACCTTAATCAGAAACTAAAATTCCTCAATTTCTTTAAACCTGTTAATTAAGCTTCTTTGAAAAAATAAAATTTATTTTTCTTATATTCTCCCACTCTAATTTCTTAAAGAAAATTTAAAAAATTTTTATTGGCATCCTTATGCAAATAATAAAAAAAAATAAAAACAATAGAAACCCCAAATGTCTGCTACCAAAAAAATATTTTTTTCTATATTATTTGACCTATCATTCAACAGCTGTGGCCTTTTTTGAAGGAAATAATTTGGACAAAAAAAGAATATCCCTCAAAACACACAACAATACGGAGTGTGCAATGGCCCAAATTTTTTAAAAATATTTTTGTCAATAAATATATACAACTTTAATGATTGAATGAGAATTGTGGAGAGATTAATTGTTATTTTGGACAAATTAGTGGAAAAATAAATGAGAGAAAATTTAGGGAGATTTTAGGGATATATTTGGTGCGACATTTGCGGACATTTATAATTTAGCGACATTTGCGAACATTTATAGTTTTGCGACATTTGCAGACTGCAAAATTTATTTTAATTTTTAAATTTATTTTTAGCGTATAACAGACTTATGCCGTGCCAAAAGAAAATGTAGGCTTAAGGTAGAACCGGAAGTATTTGGAGAAAAGGACCCTTGCCCTAATACAGGAAAATATTTACAAATTGGCTATAAATGCACACCAGGGCCCTATTTCAATTGTCCACAGATTCTGCGGTCTGCGTTCTGTGCACAGACCACAGAACCACAGAAATTCTGTTTCAATTATTCCACAGATTCTGCGGAAAAAGAAGTCCGCAGATTCTGTGGAAACATGCACAGAATCTGTGGAAACATCCACAGATTCTGCAAAACATCCAAAAACATGCAAAAACCACAGAATTCTATTTCAATTATTTTTCTGTGCACAGAAAAAAATCCACAGATCTGTGGCTTTTTTAGTCGATTCTGTGCATTTCTGTTTCAATTATTTCTGTGGTCTGCGGAAAATACACAGAATTCTTTAAAAAATCCACCCTAAAATTTTTTCTGCGAACTTTCTGTGGAAAAACTTTAACAATTTTTTTCTAGGCCTAGGCTTAACCAAATTTCAAAATTTTTAAAGATTATTAAAGTTTGAATCATTCTCTATTTTTTGATATAAAAATTATAATTTTATTACCTAAAATTATTGCTTAAAATTAATTTTGAAAAAGGTACATCTTTTTTACGCAGTTTTTGTTATATTCAAGCAATAAAAAAATAAAAAACGTGAGAGATTCTGAAATTTAGAGCTATGATGTTCTAATCATCATGGATATCTCTAATGAGGGGATGTTTACCAGGATCTATAGAAGATATCTGTATAGCGTATACTGGGATATCTCCCATGATCTCTCATTGATATCCGTCATAATCTCTCCTCCTATTTAATGATAGATTTCCTCCTTAATCACTCCAATATATTAAACCTCAAAATCAATGGATATCCCACTTAATCACTCCTCTACGATTTTAAAGTTCCGATTTGACTATAATTTTGGATTCCAGGCATTTTCGATTTCCAGGAACCTCAATTTCTGACTAAACAATCCCCAGTTTTGTAACATTTCCCTCCCTTGCAACAACTTCTATCGTAGTTTGAAAAAGCCACATGTCGGATCGACATCTCCTGATTTTTCCGATCCGAACCCTGCTTTAGGACATTAATTTAATTGGAGATTTAAGGATATTGGATGAACAAGAAAATTAAGCGGTATATCAGCGGTTTTAAAGTGATATCAAAGAGATTTAAAGGGATGTTATGTGATTTGGAGGGAAAATTTTTAAATCTTTACAATATTTTTCAGTTTAATTTAAGAATTTTTAAAGTTTTACTTCAAAAAATCAGGTACCATTAATACTGCGGTAGTACCGAACTGTCCAAACCATTTTTCGTTTCAATAAAACTGTTATTTTCAAAAACGCGGAAATAAAAAATTTGAATTTAGAAGAAAAAATACACAGAACCACAGAAAAATAATTGAAATACAAATTCTGTGGATCAGTGGAAAAAATCCACAGATTTTTATATTTTCCACAGAAATTTTCATCCACAGAATC